GACTTCAGTCCAAGACAAATTTGGTTTTGGTGGACTCCTCGCTATTGTATGCTGGATATCTTATAGTCTCAGCCGCCGATTCGGCCACTTACCCTTGAGGCTACAACACGCAGTATCTTTGAGACGCTTCTTCCAGACGCCAACGCCAACCGTGCTCCAGTGGCTGGATATCCCGTCATACGTGCAAGGGGGAGTGCTTGCAGCCCTGGTGATTGCCAACTTCATTGCGGTCAGCTTTCATACTCAGAACTGGGCGGGCGTGCAGAGGCGAGCGGGATGCTTAGCAGTCATACATCTTGTTCCCCTCTGCTCCGGATTCAGCCTCGATCTTCCAGCCCACGTCTACCGTGTCAAGCGGGACAGCTTCCAATGGGGTCATCGGTGGCTAGGCCGCATGTGCGTGCTGCATTGCCTGGCTCATGGGTCTGTCGTGGGCACAGTTCCTGGAAATACTGCTCTTGGAACTTCCCTCATCATTCCACTTCTGGTACGTGAAACGGGCCACAGAACGGCAGCTCTCCTATATTTCCCGCGGTGTTTCTGACAAAAGTGACTCACATTGCACAGGCCGGATGCAGTCTCGTCTCGATTTTACCTTGGACGCTCGCTACGATCCTTCGACGGTGGCCCCAACTCGGTCTCAAAGTCCACCATATTCTTGCCTCAATTGCAACCGGCGCTCTTTTTTATCATTTGATCGACCGGGGGTCTCCCTACCGCTGGGTACGACTAGGAGGTATTTGCGCTGGATTTGCATGGGGTGCCGGGACGTGTCTTCATACCATGTGGCACCACAGATCGTGGCGTATCACCTCTAGACAAGCCCTCGCGCGGACTTCGAACCGGCTTCTATGGCTTGATATTGTGGTGCCGGTGGAGTGGGTGGCTCGGCCGGGGCAGTATGTACAACTCTGGGCACCACACTGGGGATTCAGAGCATGCTTGCAGCTTCCTGCATTCTATGTTGCTTCGGTGGACACCGTGCAAACCACATCAGAAGCACGAACAACTCGCGTAGTACGAATAGTCACTCGGCCTCGGCTGGGCATGACGAAAAGAATCGCACGAGCTGTGGATCGTGCGCAAGCGACAATCCACTTTCCGGTATGCATGCTAGGTCCCTACGGACACTCGCCTCCTCTGGGCCAGTACGGAACCGTCATTCTTGTACTGGAAGGTATTGGACTCTTCCGCGCGCTGCCGTTCATGCGGCATCTCGTTCAAGAAAGCCGAAGCCGGAGGAACACAGTGCGACGGCTAGAAGTGGTGTGGCAAGTTGAACTCAAGGATTTCAGTACGTGTTTCCCTGTTGCAGATGCTCTGCATTGTTGTGCTGACCAAAATAGACCATCCCCATTGGGTAGTGAATGAAATCTCGCAGATCCTGGAACTCGATCGTATGTTTGACCGAGACGATTGTCCCGAACATGGTCATCGAGATGACCGGGGTTTTGATGTGAGTGAAGCCCTTCGTGCTGATTATACAAGAAGTGGGGCTAACTTAAAAGCAGATCCTGCAATTTACCACACACATCCTAGGTGCTCGACCCGTGGATCAACTTCGTTATCGCAACCGCACGCGTTTGAAATACCGTTTTGAAGCTATCAACATTGCCAAGGATTTGGCGCACCTGCTGGACAGTACAAACGGAACGACCGCGGTTTCGGGTAAAAGTCCTTCAGCAGGTACCCTGTGAGATTACGCCAACGCTAACCGATCCCAGTATGCGCAAGCAATCCAATACGTGCAGCTGTACATCATATCGTCCAGACCAGAGCGAGTGGTCATCTCCGGCTGATTGACCTGGATCTTGAACCTTCCTGCCCGTGGTGGACAGACGATGATCCGTTTGACCCTGCAACATCCGCAACAACTTCAGCCGAGACTAGCACAAACTCTGGACCCGCTTGGATACCGGCTCCCTTGTCAGTTGCGCACACTGTCCCTGAACAGGCTGGACGTCTTTCAGGAGAGACATTGGTCGATGACAGACGATCCTGGCAAGGTGATCCGCTGGGTGTGGGGGGCCAGAGTTCCAACCACCGAAGGTGGGTCCGGCAGAAAATCACCGAAGGCGGCTTTTGATCAGCCAATTGTATCGGAGTTCAGTCACCTATGAGCTTCTGCCATCATCTCTCAGCCTGCGCCTTGTATGGAATATCATTCGTAGGGCGAGCGGTGGGCTATGCAGAGATTGGCGCTGGGTTCAGGGATCACTCAAACATCCGGAACGGGTAACGATGAGGGAGCGTACCGCAGCGAGCAGTATTTCGATCGGTCTTCTGAGGTAACGGCTCGTTGTCAAGAACTTTTATGAGCGCCGGTGTTGGAGTGCAACGAGGAAGGGGGTAGACATGTGCAAAGCCCATGGGTTTGCATAAGTGGGGTATAAGGGAAATTATGAAAAGGTGGTGCTATGTCAGTTGAACCCCCTAATTAGGCAGTTGAACCCCACCGATCCCTTCTCGGATATTACCTAAATAGGTCATAATCCTTCTATTGAATTGCCTAATTAGGTAAGAATAACGTAGATCGTTAAAGTTGGTGGTTATTGAAAATATATATTTCGACCATATCACTACACCACCATTCTCACCCCCCAAAATAAATATATTTTTCTATAATCCTACAAAAGCAACTAATTTAGATTCGCTGATTCTTATAGTATTAGTATTAATTAAAAATATTGAAGTTTTTGAATTATGCAGATTAATTTATGCAGTTTGGATTCACCCGTGGGTTTTGTTAAAAAACCCATGGGCTAGGGTATGCACATGTCTAGAAGGGGGTAGCATGTTATGTAGGCGGGTCGAGCATGGTGGGCTAGAGAAGCGACCGTCGAATTGATCGGAGACCCTGAGTGATTGTGGTATCCGCGGGCCAACGAGGATGCTGTACGATATCGTACTCGTATGTGTGTCGCGGTAGAGGCGAGACGTTCGCACATCCAGGGCTGATTTGTTCGTGGAACGCGCCCACCCACGATGCCCGTGATTGAGGTGGTTGTCTACAGATCATAAGATCAAAGTGCCTTTTTGAGCTTTGATTAAAGAGACTAGCCGTTGCGTTGGCTCTATATTCGTGGTATTGTATTTTTCTGTTCTACGCCTTGCGAAGGGAGGGTTGTAGGCGAGTCTTGCAAATATTTCTGGTCTTTATATCAAACATAACTCAATAAAAATAAGGTTTGAAGCGTTTTAAGTCGAAAGTTTGGTTCATTGTTCGGCGGGACATATGAGGCTATATTACAGCGAGAAAATCAAATTAATTTCCAATCAACTTGAGTCTTCGTATACATACATCGAAATTGATTCCGATGGTTCGGCTTGGTTCCAGATCTGCACCAGCCTCATATCACAACAGAACCACGTGTTTGTACTGGTTTGCTTTGTCACCTGGGACTTCGATGATGTTACTGCCGTATGGGTTGCCAACATTGCCCGAATGGACTTTCCCTTCGCTAGGAGGCGTTGATCTCGCGAGATTTGTGATCAGGTAAATGCGCGGTGAGGTAAGCACATCCTGTCTAGGAAGATTTGCCATTTTCTGAGCACGTGCATTGCTGGTAGCCCTGGCAGCAGATTCCGAAGCATATAAGCACGCCCATAAATCGGAAGAGGTACGTATTCGCTAAGGACGCGGTATGGTATTGGGAAGTCAAAATGAATGGGATTGATTGAGATTGGGCAGCGACAAGGAGGAGGCTCGACTTCTTATGCTGTGCTTCACCCGCAAGTTTTTCCTCTGATGTCAGATGATGCGAGATGCCGTTGAGCCATGTAGATTGATACGTTGAGCGTGAGTATCAACAGTAATCACAATATTGTAGATGCCTTTTACTTGCATTTGAGCCTAGCTAAATGAAAGTGTTTTCTTTGCAAGGTCAATTGATTACAACTGGTGAAGGAATCTGTCTTCCTGATATCAAATTCCCTTGTACGGCATTGGGACTAGAGTTGAACACCATGCCATAATACGCCAGAGCCCGGAGACTAGGTCCCAGATATCGCCCAAGAGAGTATATCAACCTTCAAAAAACATTAGGATTCTATTAGAAATGTCCATCCGGTACCCCTATCAAACCAACGTCCACCTGTCGAGGACAGCCGTCAAAAGTCATTCCCCCTTTCAGAAATTATTACAATGGGAAAATGGTCGGAAGTGACATGCATATGGTCATCCTCTATAATAGTCTTGCCACATTGTTGACTGCCGTAATCTCACGTCAAAAATCCACACAGAGGATTTTCTATAGCAAAATAATCATCCAAACAAAACGCGTCTGGTTCCTCACCAGACCACGTCAGATCCTCGACAGGAACGAACCAGAAACGGGGCACATGGATAGACAATGAAGAGTCCACAGAATCACTTTCAACAGGTTCCAGGGTTTTCCACCAGAGGTGATTATCTTCTCTGCAATGCGCAATTTCATCTTGTATGTCAAATGCATCATCAAATACTCGTCCTCTTGCAGCTGATCTCCATTGATAACTTCGATAATCTTTCCATGCCTTTTGCGCTGCCTCACTTAGCTTGATGGACACATTCTCTTCAAGGTCCCGCATTCCAGGGAAGATCCCACGATCATCTGACACACTCAGCGACAGAAATTTCAGTAGATATAACTGGAATCGTTCTTTTTCTTTATCCGTTCTCGTGCCGCCAGTTACCAAAGACAAAATATCAAAGGGGGTCAGAAATGACTGTAGACGTAGGTGAAAAGACATCCAGTTGTCGATAAATGTATCGCGGGTATCCATGATATCGGATTTTTGAGCATCGTCTGCCCAGCTCAAGTGTTCCGAAGGCGTACTAAAGGCTTGGAGGAGAAGAAAGTTGGACGTATAATCGAAAATTTCAAGATTTTCAAAGCTCTCTTGCAAGGAACGGCCGGAGTATCCACGCCATATATTGATGATGTTGTTATATGAACAGCCTGCGATATCAGATTCGTTGAATTCCGGAAGAATTGCAAGCAAATGCAGTGCTTTCGTGTCTAGGGCACGAGCCATGACAGCACAATAAATCTCCCTTGAGAAACGGTCTTTTCTTCGGGGCTCTCTGTCAAAGGAAAAGCCCGAACGCCGATCTGGTATACAACGTCTGCATAGCAGGCCATCGCATACTGCTGTCTCTCTTCCTGAGGAATATGTTGAATGCTGTGATATGATAATGCGTGCCTATACTCACTCATGTCGGAAATAAAGCTGAGTCTCAACATATTAGCCTGCTTCCACCATAGGCGGATTCGTCGGAGATGAAGATCTTTCGTCTCTATGGACTTGGTCGTGGCCGAGAAGATAGAAATATAGTCAAGGCAGTGACCAGACAGATTCGGATCCTTAAAGCTAATATCCTCGTCTTCGCCATGCATTGTGTCGACTAAATAACAAAGCATGGCATCGTATTTGTGATATTCCGACGAACGCTGATGCATGTTTAGTATCATATTCCCGCAGCTTAAATAAGCATAGAAAGTTGAACGTACGATTATAGACCATATAATGGTATTCTTGTTTTGTTCAAATAAATTCCGAAAAGTTCTGCAAGTCGATGCCAAACGTGGGGGACAATCGATTGTCGGAAAGCTCTTGAAAATGAGTAGAAGTAATTCGAATGGTAAGCGTAGGAGTAAATTTTCACGGGAATTCATTATTATTTCTGTCCCAAAATGCTGTGTTTGACGCTTAGGTGCAAGGTCTAAAAGACGAATGTGAGGCTGAGTCTAAGGGGGCAGCGGGCAAGTAAGTCGGAACAGTGGATCATGTAATCAGCTTTATTAGTCAGCTAGAGAATAGTTAACTCGTTAACTAACTAACTAGTTCGTTAACTAGCGTGTCCTATTTAGGACATAAACAAGCTTAGGAAAAGAGCAGACTTTCACACGAAAAAGAAGGATCCCTATTGTATGCCAAGACTTTCCATTATTACGTGATCCGACATAATACCTAGCATCCCCCAGGCTTTTCAGCCATAATCATTTCACCTGCTCACTGAGCAGGGGGTGAGGAAGAGTGAGCAGATGGAGTCGCTCCCCACCCCCACCCCCCCGCTATGTGGTTGAACATCGCCCCTCCTAAAGCCCTCCTCCGTCAACGTCCAGAATTCTCTTCGCAACATGGCGCCAAGACGTTGCTGCGGCAAACACGCACGAAATAGAACAAGTGCAACAAGCATTGCAAACAGAGTTTGAACGATCTGGGCACCCCGCAATCATTCCTCGGGATCCAATTCGACTATCACGTCGATGGGTCCGTGTCTATTCACCAACAACAGTACATCCAGAAGGTGCTCTCCGACTTTGGCATGGAGACTTGTCAGCCGAAGTCTACGCCGATGAATCCCAAGCAAAGCCTGAATCATGATCCAGAGGAGGAAACTCCGGACGAGGAAGCAAAAGCTCGTTATGCTACTGCCATCGGTTCGTTAATGTATCTAATGGTCGGCACGCGGCCGGATATTGCGTTTGCGCTGGGCATGTTGAGTCGCTTCACGTCTCAGCCGCAATCGCAACATCAAGTCGCTCTGCAGCGATTGCTTCGCTACATTAAAGCCACGCAATCTCATCACATTACCTACCGCAGTGGGCAGTTGATCGGATACACGGACGCCGACTTTGGGGGCTCCGTCGTCACTGACGGCGCATACTCCACGTCGGGCTATGTGTTTCAACTTGCAGGTGCACCAGTTTCCTGGTCATCCAAGAAACAGGGGGAAGTGGCCACGTCTACCACCCATGCCGAATACATCGGGCAGTACAATGCCATTCTGCATCTGCAGTGGCTTCGCACGTCTCTCTCCGAAACGCAGTTGTATCGGTCTCCGGTCACCAACATCATGGCTGACAACCAGTCCGCCATCGCGCTATCTCGCAACCCCGAGTTCCATAAACGGACCAAGCACTTCAATGTGAAGTTTCACTATCAGCGAGCCGTGCTGGATGCTGGCGAGATTGAGCTTCAATATATTCCAACTGGGGAACAGGCCGCGGACGGTCTCACCAAGCCATTGGGACCTATGGCCTTTGCCAAGTTTTGTAGTCTCTTGGGAGTCGATGCTTCAGAGACTCCGAAACAAAACGCGTGATAGCACAGGCGCTCTTTCCACTTTATTTTCCCACGAAGGATTTTTAAGTGGTTTTACTGAGGCCTGACTGCTCTGCGTAATCTCAGTATTGCCCTGCCAGCAAAGCGATCCTGAGGGGGAATGTTGTGATATGAGGCTGGTGCAGATCAGGAACCAAGCCGAACCATCGGAATTAATTCCGGTGTATGTATACGAAGAGTCAAGTTGATTTCCAATCAACTTGATCTTCTCGTTGTATATATAGCCTCTTGTTTCCCTCTAAATAATAAGACGATTGATACCTCTGAATAATAACAATTCTAACGGGGGTCGGCGGCGCACGGGAAAATGAAATTCCGAATACGCTATGGAGGATAGAAGAGGGAATACAAGAAGGTTGACGACAAACACATTTTAATAGAACGAAAAAAAGCTTATTGTCAGCAGCACCCGAGATCCTGCGGGATCTGTCCACGGTAAAAGTGAAAGATCTATGTTTGACCAGCAGGGACTTGACAGAGAAGCAGAAAAACCGCAATAGAAAATACCACCGCCAGGCAATCCCGACATTAGAATAAAACTCAAGTCATCCACACGATGACTCTATACTTGGACATGTCTCCTTTTCTGGGCGTCTGCATGAATGATTTCCTTCTCACTAATATCTATGCTTGGTGAATTGTCTGCGGGGCAGACTTCCTGGAGGTTCTTGATCGATAGTCAGTCTGAGCCAATTATGTGGTTACTATCTGTCGTAGTACGTACGATTTTGGAATAGCGAGTTCTGCGGTGACACTGATGGCGATTAAGGGACTCTTTGTCTGCATATCCACGGCGACGTTCACAACCGGCGTAGGTGCACACTAAACTCCGGTCTGGATGGACGTCATCTCGATGGGTATCCAGCAGTTTCTTAGTCGTGAATGACCTTTTGCATTCTGCACACTCGAATGGTCTTCTCTCGCGATGCTTTTTGAGATGGCCATCCAGAGATTCTGCGTTTGCAAATCCATATTGACGTGGGCAGCCTTTATAAGTGCATTTTATATTCGGATCCGGATGCATGTCGTCTTGGTGTCTGTAACAATTGCCTTTACGCCGGAATGATTTTTTGCAGTCGGGATAAGAGCATTGGAAAAGCTTTTCCTCTGGAAACTTCCTTGGCGGGTCATCATCGCGCTCGCTAGGGTCTCCGACACGGAATGGCATTTCAGAAGAGGGTGGTGCAGTCGTCAGCTGGCCAATCTCTTGCTAAAGCTCCTTAATGCATTGCTGAGCTGCTCGAAGGTGCCCGTCCTTGAGCTGCAGCATTTGAAGAAATTCTTCATTTTCCTGACGCAGTTGTCGTAGGTTGTCCGTCAAGGTGACATTTGCATGAACTAAATAAGCATGTTCCCAACTGATCTCAAAGAGAATTCCCTCAAAGCGACTGGAGCGAGAATATTTTACCGGCTGCGGTATTCCTGGGGGATGATTGGAAGGGACGGATCGATAGATGTCTGAAGTGGGCAAGGGGGCGGATGAGTATTTGGTCTCGGCGCTATGGAAATCCATGGTTCCTAGTTGATACGACTGGTGGTCTAGGACGCTGAAGGGTAAATCATATGAATATTGAAGAGCTCTTCTCGGGTTCTCAGAGGAATTAAATACCCCCACGGGCAGTTTAGCGACCTGGAGTAAGGAATAACGAGCAGATAATCTCCATCGAGATTCATTGGCTGGATAGCTCCAAGAAACCACTACGGCCCTGAGAGTAGACCAGTGATTCCTGAAGCCGCTATCTAGATCCGCAACAAGATGCACTGAGATCAGAGTCTCAAAAATACCTCACTTGGGTCCCAGAGAGGCCAAACCTGGGCCTGGGATCTTGATGGAGCATTCTAGGAGCGCTATAGCTCCCAGGACCGGTCAAGGTAATCCTCGAGCCTATCAAATTGGAGATGGGATAGGTCTCCAGGGGTCTGGGACTGATTCCGAGCTTTTTCGAAATCATCTTCCTTTGCAAACTAGGCCTTACCTTTCCTCTTGAATACTATATTGTCACTTCAAATCATAAAGTCACCGTCGCATTGAGTGCGGAAGCTAAGTTGATTACAAAAGCCTATGACTGTGTGGAATGGCCTCCGCTGGATCTGGCTGTGGAGAAAGATATATGCTTCGGCTGCGTAAGTCGTCCAAGCCAATCTTCGCGAGTATCATCTAATCCAATCTATGCCTATAGGCGTTTTTTCCTTCGTGTGAATCCAAGCTCAACGAAAATTCATACAGGGATCAATGGACCGACTTGGAGACAAGTGATTTGCAGAAACTCTCTTTGGCATTCGTCACTTTGCCTGACCAGTCCCTTCAGTGGCTGCTGGAAATAGGAGTGACCACACGCTATCAAATTTCCCTCACCCAGCATCAAGTAGCTATGAGCCTCGGTGGACCGCCCCCCTTTTGATTTGTTCCCTTTTTGAAATTGCCTGTGCTGGCGAAGCTTTGTCGCAACCCCCAATGTACCTGTAGTCACCTCTTCGTGCCAACACGGACTTGAAATACGAGAACACGCAGTGGCTTAGGTTTGCTGGGGACTCGGACAGCTCGACTTTCCATGTGGGAGAGACCAAGTAGTTACTTCAGAAAGCTTCTGAATGCACCTGGGAAATATTTGCGTGCCTAGCGCTTTTTGGATTCAGGCTGGCTCTGTTTAATCTGTCTTGTCATAATACATACAAAACAACTTTAATTTTTGATCGCCACGTCTGTAGTAATGGATAGTGTGCACATCCATTTCTACATTCCGATAATATCAGTCCAGAAAAGCAGCATAGACAAGTACAAGAAATTAAATTGTGTTCATTGGCTGCCTCTCGACCCGTCAAGATCGGTTTATCTGGAATCTCATCTTGAAAGGCTCTGGATCCGACGGCTAGCTTTGGCCGAAGTCCGGCTTATGGTGTCAATCATCGACGTGTGTTGTCCCGGACAGGTCAAAGTAAAAGCCATAGTACTACAGTCAATGTGGCAAGACTGCAGTACACTCGGTGGAAATCTTCCGAGTGGGCGATGGCTTAGACCCTGAAAGTTCGATCATCAACAAGGCGACTTTCGCAGAACACAGCATAATCGTCGGACTCTGTTTTGAATCAACAGCCAATGCCGAAGTTAAGATAATGGTGATGAAAGCGCATGCTGTCGCAGTTGATCATTAATCGCTGCCCATCGTATTCAAGTGTTGAAAGTACGCTCGTTGAGACAAGGTTGAATGTTGATCAACGCTCTTCAGACAAAAAATGATTGAATATGATTTTTTTTAATGATTTATTATTAATTGAACGTTTCAGAGATTGAATTGAGGGCATAATTCACCCTGACCATGACCGTTCACTTTTCACCTGCCTGTTGACTTTTGCATAGCCCGTCACCTCAGTAAGTCGAGGTTCAACAGGCCTGACTTTGCACAGGCAACTTCGATGCCCCCGAAAACAATGCACCCCAAAAACCGACAGACAGAAAATCCTTCACCGCGGCAAAACAAAGCGGGCGGTAACAAAATCAGTCAAAAGACCTATAAATATGGCCTCCTTCCCCGGTTCTCTGTCAAAATAATTCTCTTCCTTACTACATCTGACGGTTTCCGTCAAGCCGAAACCAAGAGGCCTTCCTGCAACAGACTCATGATAAGTCCCTCCTATCTGATCCTCAAGCTCTTGCTGTTGCTGATAGTGACAGTGCACACCCAAGCCACTAAGCCACCTAGCTCTCTCTACCCACCGGGTGATTCAATCCACTGTACACGTCTTCATGCCCGCCATTTAGACCATGAGTCTTGGCTGGCCACAATCCTTTTGTAAGTGCTCAAGTATCCATGAGCCTTGTCGAGCCGAGCTAATAACGTGACTTCTGACTAGCTTCTCGACCACCAGAGTGCAAGTGAGGCATCCTGCAGGTAAGTCCTTTGTCAGCCGCATACCGTCGGGCAGTGCTGAAACACCCAATGTTACGACCAGCCGGGTCATGTCAAATAGGACGGACCCAAGTCAGCACTCCAAGGGCTGTACATCTACCTGCCAGCCACACCGATGACCGAGTCGCCCATGGGCCCCAAGCTCTTGATGTGAGTCATGGGTCTGGACTTTGGTTCTGCTCTTGACAAGTGCTTGTCAAACAGGGCCTTCAGCGAGTCCATCAGCCAGACCTCCAAGTTTTGAGCATTCCTTTGGAGACGGTTTCAAAAGTCAACGTGGTCTAAATTGCCCAATCACTCCAATCTTTTGCCTAACCCACTGATGCCGACTAAGAACACCAACTTGTACTCCACATCATTGAAAAGCTGACTCAGCCTTGCAACCAATGTACCGACCGCCAACATGCGGTGCTTACTGAGGTGATGGAACCTCCATCTGATGAGCCTGGGTATCGAGGGACTCTTCCGCGGTGGGGCCGGTCTCCACACCTGTGGAGGGTATGGGTAAGAAGGATCGAGACGATGATGCTCAGATTTTGCTTTCTGGAAACGGATGTCGATCGCCATGGACCAGTCCAAGAAGATGACCACGGAGCATTCAGATGTACCACAGGGTTCGTCGCTTTCTGCGATCGCTTTCTATACTTTCCTCTCCCCTTGTCAAATATGGTGTCGTTGTCACCAGAGAGAACAGAGTCATCGCTTTCGACGACAGTCACATTTCCAAGATACATGTGGCTGTCTTGCAACAGCGGATCGCAGGCATATCGTTCATCCCGTTCGGCAGGACCAGCGACAGCGCCAACTCCCTGCAGTCAGGCGATAAATGAATGAAGCGACCCTTGGTCAACTCCTGAGACAAAATGCTTTACGTCACAATCGCCCAAGCATTGCGTCCATCCTGCCTGTGACAACTGCGCGAGACGTCTCTTTTGGTAGCTTGCCGGTTTTCTGCCTCTACAGCGCATTGAACATCCTTATCCACCATGCGCATGTTGCCATCCATGACTGGATGCTACCATTGGGCAAGAACATCATCCGAACCCTCTTCCATGGTGTACCAGAATCGGTTGTGGGCAAATTCGTTGACACAGCGCTCGTCACCGCCGCTGGTGAGATGGGCATGATGCATTTATGCGAAAGGCTCCCTTCTGCTTTTACAGGCCACTACCCAAGATGAGTTCTCCGCCTTTGATCTTTGGTGCCGACGCTCGGTACTCACTGATACAGACCCTACACCTCCCGATGGATGCACTCATCGAGCTCCGTTGCCCGTTGATGTTTCGCCATCGGTCGTGTCTATCAGCTAGGGCCAGGGTCACGAGTCTCAACCGCATCATTATATCCCGCGTGGATGACACCTGTGAGCCTAGCCACCAAGCCGACCGAATTTGCGTCTCTTTCTCATCATGACAACACGAGCGATTCTTCCTTTGCAGCTATGTCCCGGCCAGCCCAATACAATTGAAGACTGCGCCGAACACCGAACTTGCGACCAGCCCAATCCATCAACCACCTCAGGTCAATACTACAGGGGTGGTTCGACTGTCAGCCCGGTACCTAGAAAGGTGAGTCAGAATCCGTTTCCTGATTCAGTCACTAATACAGGATAGATCGAAATCAGATTCACCACTTGAACACAGAGATTCTTTCTCAAACCCTCTGTCGAAACACGCTATACCAATCAACGTTAGTCTACCCCTAGCCCCGTTCTTGGCAGTAATCCAGAACAGTTGTAACTTGTAAATGACACCACAAAGGTAGCTTCCGTATTAGGCTTGTATGGTCTTTTGGGCCTCCAATATATTGATCCTGCAAACAAGGCGAACAAAATGGTTACTTTGAAAGGGGAAAAAAAATTCCGGGGCTTATGTTGCGAAGAGAAGTCTGAACGACGTCAAAGCCGAGGACCTCAGTCAAAGGCGGCAACAATAGATAGGGGCATGACTTGCTCATTGAAAGAGTCAAGCCCGCAACATTGTATCCATTACATAGGTCACTCTAGGTAACATATTTCTGCTCCCGGGTGGGGCTTTCCTATCTTAGCTGCCGCCGCTTTTATGAGGGCGCTCAGAGTCAGGCTCAGTGAGTAAATCTCAGTCCGGACTCAGGCTCAGTGAGCTGCTCAGTCATATCACGTGATAGATCAGTGAGGTCCAATGAGCACACACTGAGCGCTCACTGAGCGCTCAGTGAGTATGATTGGCTGCTCACTGATCCATCACTGATTACTCAGAGATTGATCAGAGGCATCTATCGAGCACTCAGTCCACGCTCAGTCCAAACCCAAAGGAGCACTTTGCCCCACAATACTGTTTATTTCGTGACTTACTTTTTGATGGCCCTCATCTCTTACCATGCCCCTTTTTCTTGAGCTGCTCGATCTTCCAATCTCGTTTCCCTCTCAAAATAACGCACTAGAGCATGATGACGCACAAATCAAAGGCATGGATCTATCTTGGGGCGGCGCAGTAGAAAAGTCTTCGGTTATCCTAAACCACTGAATTATAAATTGAACCTGCATCCCTGCTTCAAGCCTCCATCCAATACAACTTTCCCTATTTTCTACCTTCCAGCGATTTGACTTTTTCCTAGCATTTTGTTGGGATCTTATCCAGCTATGGGTAGAAACCTCTTTTTTGCACAACAAGATGAGATCGCCAAAGAGAAGCGCCGCAAACAACTGGCAGAAAGCGGCTATGTGTTTGGCGCTCATGCAAAGGAGGATTCCATCCTAGATAAGGATAAAAGGATACCCAAGACCAAGAAGATGTACTACAACGCTTTGAATCTTTGGATGAAGTGAGTTGCCATGCAATTATACAGGAGGAATACTTGTCGAACCAGATACTGACTTGTTTTAGATTCGCTGAAGAGCAAGGTGTTGAGGGCTACAAAATGGGGCCAGGCTGTGCGACTCCAGACCATACAATCATCAAAGAATTTCTGCGCTGGTACAGTCATTGTGCGCGAGGAAAGAAAAGTAAAAATGGACGGCCTGTGATGACATCGGTTCTTAATTGTGCGGAAAGGTTGTTTGGTGGTTTCGAAGAAAGAATGCAGATAAAAATCGTGATGGAAGATCGGAGTGAGGTATTCAATGTAAGCGATCTTGTGGTCTTCACATTTCATGTTCTGATTGTAAGCCAAGCTGATCGCAACGCAGTGGATAAGGAGAACATTGTCAGGAACGGAAGGAACGGTTGAGAACGTCGAGGATCCAGACCACAGCTTCACCAAGAAGGATTTCCTCCGAATGATATCGTCTATGTGGCAAGTGGATCATCGCAGATTCATGCCCGGATTGCTCAAGGTCATCATCATGTTAGCTCTCCAATTATATCTTTTCACCGGAGCAAGGATTGGAGCTTTTATACCAGCCCACGAAGATAGAGACCAAAGAGGCCTGCGATATGAGGTAAGGACCCTTTAGGTCTGCGATTATGCATAGCTAAATCTCAAACAAGCATATCACTCTGGTTTTGTTTCCATCCTCTACGGCACCTTGGAAAGTAGTCTGGAAAGTCAACCAAGTCTGGCTTAAAGGGAATCGAAATCCAGACTACACGGTGTAAGCTACCCTATTTCAATTGTGAACTTACTCGCTGACCGAAATTAAGGTTCGGGATCGGTATCCGTGACACTAAGAGACCACAGTTTGCGTCTGGTTACATTCTTCTAGCTCTTGCCCTCCAACACGGTGCTCTATTTGGTGTCGAAACGGTGGAGGACTTGGCTAGGTTTGACCTTTCAAGTGGACAGCCTATTGAATTACGCTGGAAGGATGAATATCTGAAAAAGCCTGTTCTCAGAAATGTCACAGCTGATGGTCCACAAGACGTACCACTCACTAAGGAGCGGTTCTGTGAGTTATTACGTGGAATAGTCACGACCGCTGGATACAACAAGAGTATAACGGTTCACAAGATCCGAAAGAATCTTGGAAGTGTTATTGAAGGTAGGATAGTTATACTCACAGCTCGTTCAAAAGGAAAAAGAATCTGCTAATCACTGGCATAGGAAAGTATGGTTCTGCCCCTGTATCTCAAATATACGGACACAAAGATGCTGGGACATATCCTAAAGACTATTTATTACACTGCTCTTCGATCGATACAGTCTCAGCCGTTCTGGGAGAGGAAGAACAGTCGAATCACATCGAATACTTCCAAGGGTTTGAGAGATTTTATGAGCGTGGACTTCCGGGGGAACTAACAGCAGAAATTGAGGCGAGCATTCTGCAGACGCCAGAACTAGTCGATACAAAACATCGGATCGAACAACTTGAGTCCTCGAACGGCGACAGAGAGTCCATAGCTGCTGAAAAGCTGAGCTACAGAAAAGCCTTGCTTCGACTACGCCTTGCAGGGCTAAAGGAATACCAGAACCGCTGGATACGAGAGAGACGAGACCAAAGAATTCTCAACCGGGGCAAAGAAGAGCCGGCGTTTACTGAGAATGACGTTTGCACGCGGGCTCAATCCTTACTTATGCCAGAGATTGCCCGAATTTCACCATTGATGTCTTCTGACAGGGAGCTTTCCTCCGATGAAATGCTCCTTTTCGTGGAGGATCTAAAAACACATTGTGAACGTGATTTTGATGTGGCATATCTTCCACGCGAAAGCCCCATTCAAGGTCATTGTCCGGATGAAGCTTGCCTCGAAGAGATGAAATGGTGAGTTACTCTATCGTGTAATGATGAAATATATACATACTAACGATTTCAGTCTAAAAAAGTCCGACAGAAGTGCTCATATTCACAAGTGTGTTCGACGTAAGATTGCTTTGGATCTTCAGGTCGCTGAATCAGAGTTGAAATTTTGTTACGAGTGCATGAAATGGATACAGTCAATTGAATGGCGGGAACATTGTAGTTCCCACCTCCAGTCATGGAGGACCCTGCACTGTGAAGTCATTGTATACCGCCACACAGTTATTCGACCCGGCTACTGCCCCTTTTGCTTGTGGAACATGGGTTCCTTCGCAGAAGACCGATTGAATTATTGGTTGACAACTACCAATTTGAAGCGACACATTGAAGAACAACATATGCTTGAAAGCCAGTGGCATGGGGCGAAGCCAATATGCGGCTGTGGCCAAACTTTCGACAATGAGCGCGGCCTTCGACATCATTTGCACGACGCCCACGGGATAAACAAAGCCATATGGTTAAATCCGAAGACACCGAGAAAGAGGAAGCATACTTGCAAGGTGGAAGCACAAAGTCCTTCAACAGAGCCAGAGCCAGAGGGGCAGTGCTTCAAGAAACTCCGCTTTTACCGGTATCCGCCTCCGCGTCATGAAAATGAGTATCAATTGCTAGACAAAATTTTCTTGTCAGTACCCACATTGCAGTCGTTCGTCGAGGAACATCCAGAGCGAGATTACGGTTTGGATCCGAGTAATCGGTCAACCAAAAGCAGCACAAGTAGCTCAGTTGTGTCTTGCTTTTCCGCAACGAGTTCACCTTCCAGCTCGCGGCCAACGACTCCTGGACTGGAAGTTATTGATCCTCGAATCCTCGAACCCTCTGAGATTGGCGAAGAGCGTGAAGGCCAGCCTTATGATCATATTTCCGGGCGTGTAAAACCACCTAAGATATCCATGGACAGGCAGGAGATCGGGAACAAATCATTAGGTGCTATGCTACGCACACCGTCCCCCGTACAAAGCCTTACCATTCAGCCCACCCTTGGCTTTGAGATCAATGATCCTCGAACCCTCCGCACTCCTGATCACTGCATTGAGGATGCGCTTCCACCTTGTAAGAGCATTGCAAGCCAGCTAAATCCTCTCAATATATGCCCGAGTGAGGCTGAGGCCAAAACAATGTCACCCAGCGACATGAAAGAATCGCAGTGCCTTTCCCCAAGCTTTGTCGCAAGCAAACCGATCGAGGGGAAAAAGACCTTGCGAAAAGACAATCTCGCCTTCATGTCAAGCATTAGCCAGTGCTCTACCATGGAGCATAAGTGCGAAATCAATGGTCCTACTCAAGAATTACGCGATAAAATGACGCGTCGTGGCGCGGGTCCGGTCATTAGCCTGCGCGGACCACTCACTAGAGCCCAGACAAAACAACGGTCGACTCTGCATTGTCCGGATGATTTGAAAAATTATAAGCCACGAAAGAAACTCAAAGCAGAAGAAAGACGAAAGCTGCATGAGTTCAAGGGTCAGAATTGGACTCTGAGGCAAGTTGGACCTCATTTCGCGGATATAGATACGCTCTTTCTGCGGCAAGCTTGGATGGACATCAGGCTTCCTCAGCGATGCACCAGATCACGAGCTTACCGGAAAGACAGCTGATATCAATTGATCCTTGGTCAAGGGCTATCTACCATAGTAGATTAAATTTGTACAAACAGAATTATTTTTCCATGACAGCTTCTATCCTGAGCATTCTCCCGTAGAGGCTAGCCTCCAGAAAGGTTTCTGCCTATGTCGACCCTTAACGCCTAGGGACTAAATTTAATGCAACTGCTGTCTCGCGGCGAGAAAGCGTCAACCGAGCTCTTAGCTAGACAAGGTTTAGAAATATGTAAAGGCTGCTTTAGTTTCATTCTAGATTGTGGATAAGTTGGCCATTTCCTTCTTGTGCTCTTGAAAATTCGAAACTAACCTTTGGAGTCGGACGGTAGCACACGCATGGTAGCTAAGATGTGCCGACAACTCCTTTGTTTTGACGGAAACTTATTACAACTGTCTTACCATCATGTAAGATTGACTTACAATACAGTCACATAGCCTGCACCGCCACACCTGATAGGAAAAAACCATACCCCACTATATTTCCTTGCGGTAACGTAATGTATTGGGTAAGATTTCGGCTCTACAATACGATATTGCCGGTTATTAATAGAGGATGAATGAATTGGCCGCATTGATTTGTCCTACACGTAGTGTCGACATAGCCTCTCAGTTTCTTTCCGAAATGAATCAGAGAGGGGAAAATGTCGATAACATGCTCATTTGGAATGGAAAGCTATGGATAAGTCATTGCAAGTTAATTACGCCCGACCGACGTCTCTACTGTCCGCTCAATTAATAAACCCAATCAATCTATAGTTAGATTAACATTAAAAGATACAGTGTACACGTACATGTTAGAAAACCCCGCGTAAACATTTGGCAGCCTTTGGCTGGTACTTTTGGACTGCATAATCAAAAACTAGATTTGCAATACTCCAGTTGTGACGCGATGTCCAACCCAATAAGCGTTGCTGGGAAGACGTTGAAAAGAATCGATCTTTGACTCAGTATGATCACTTCGAGCTTGGAATTCTGGTCACTCCGGACCGAGAATATGATCTCACACTCATTTTGACCACTCCATTTTGACCACTCCATTTTGACCACTCCATTTTGACCACTCCATTTTGACCACTCCATTTTGACCACTCCATTTTGACCACTCCATTTTGACCACTCCATTTTGACCACTCCATTTTGACCACTCCATTTTGACCACTTCATTTTGGCCACTCCATTTTGACCACTCCATTTTGACCATCTCATTGACCATATCATTCTAACCGTACCAAGTTACCCGCCCGTCTTTGCACACCTCAATTGAATCACCCAACTCTAAGTGTCTACTCATATGACCTAATTCTCCTATCAAATTGCGCAAATGGCCCACATTTACTCTTCCCCGAAGCCTTCTTTCCTCCCTCAATATTGCTTTCATTCTCTCGGGCCCCACTGTCAAGGCACTAGTGCTAATATTTATTTGACAGTTATCAATAAAGAGTTCGACTGTTAATGGCATTGACCGGTATTTGAAAGCAGGGTTACGGTTCCAAATTTACTAAACATTGTGAAGTGTCTTTTTGATGCACTCGAGTACTGGACGATGCACGTTACTAAATTCCTTTTTATGGAATTGGCTAATTATCAAAGGCCCATCGGTACATGCGGCCATCAACTTACTGACTACAAGAACAGTTTGACAGCAGACCCTTGAAAGCACGAGGGCTCAGTTGCCAGAAGAGAAAGAAAGGTTGTACGATTGACCAAATGGATTTCAAACGGCACAAATGACAGAAAACGTGCGTAAATGTATTCACTTCTTTTGTAATCATGTCCCTCTCAAAAAAAGGACAAAGTGTTTGGGACCGTTGATTGGCCCTCCATATTACGTACGTCAGCAATAAATTATAGTCACGTGAAGATTTGTTTACATGGCCAAGCAAACGTCTAACATTCCGGCCATCAGTATCCTCTTTTTCCGCCCCAGTTGGTGGGGTTGGAAGATCTGGTGGGGTCAATGGCTGGGGAAGTTTCTTGGGCATGATGTTTAATGTTGTAATCTTCTTTCAACGTCGGTGGGGTCTGATTACAGTATGACTAGACTTTGCGTTTGAAGGACACAGTGCTAGATTTGTATTCTCGCTATGCGGACTGGCCTCGTACAACCTTTTTTCCACATTGTTCGGGCGCTTGACGCTGAGGCCATCCGCCCCACAATTGGTGGCACTCGATAAAATTGACATTAGAGTTTGTAGGCTATGACAGTGGCCAGTAGAGCATCGAGTTCTCCTCCATGATCATCAACATGAAACAACTACGGTCGCTTTCGTGGGACAACCCCGCACCGAAGCGCTTCGATCTTCCTTGCATTTGCATCCAAGCGTCACATTTCCCCATTGTCCCGTCTCGAACGACAGACCAAGATGAAGATGCTGACAGGCCTAATTTCATATCTATCTAACGAATGATATCCCGCCACCTAGGCGATGGTCGCTACAAACAGTCCTCTTGTCCACGCGCTGAAAAGTGCCACAGGTGTTGCCGGTGCACTAGTAATTACTCTTAGCCATGGAAAAATGACTCCACCCTGTTCAGGTTGCGCATTATTTTCGAATGACTAGAAGCCTGTTGCTGCCTGATGTGAGATGTAGAAATTTGCAATTGCGAGGGGATATGATCCCAATACTCGTCACATTCTTGCGCTCATGCCCAATCGGTTACAAGACATTTGACGGTCTTACTCAGTCTCAGAAAAAGCCTATAACATTAGCTCCTTTTCAGAGGCGCAGAATTTGAGTAGGTTCAAAGGGATCTGCTCATATGTAAACTTGCATCCCTGAGCCGCGTTCGAAAAGAAGATTCTCTGGAATGGACTCATAATAGGGCCCATACAAAGACCAATATTTGCAACCATAATGGAACTTGGAACGCGACTGCCTCGTATAGAACAGTCATGATATATGTTGAATGCTTAGCTTCTGATTGAGATTATTATCCCGAGGTGGAAATTGCTAATGTCCAATTTGCGCTTTAGAGTCAGACGGAGAGTGTATAGCTCCATTATCCTCGGTAGCTGTGGCTAGCTCTACGCCGCTAAAGACATCCTCTATTTTGTCTTCCACTCCAGTCTCCACCCCTCTTATTCGTTCAACTCCCGCGTCGAGCTCGGCTTCCCTCACTCGCTTAACCCCCTTGTTTAGCTCAACTCCTATTTATCCGTTATACGCTCAACGCCTTTAGTTCGCCCAACCTTAGTGTCTCACTCGGCTTCCTCCCACATTTCCTCCACTCCAGTCTCCAAATATACAACAATCCTAGTTTCGGTCCGTAAGTCGACTCCGCTTTCTTCTTCGTTTACTTCCGTCTCAGTGACCCGATCCATTAGATTGCCTTCGCCTCTACCCCCTAGTAAAGTTTTGACCTCGTTATATTTTACTCGATCTACTCATCCGGTTTCTTCTTTGATTTCGAGCACAGCAACACTTTCCCCGGGAGAGAAGACATATACTCCGGGATCGATAAGTTCTTTAGCTAACAGCCCTAGTGTCTAGAGCCCAACATCCTCTGCTACGGGTATTATAGTCACATCAATTCCTGGAAATGAACAGTACCCTACATCTGCGATAACATCGAACGTGGCCGGAGAGACAGAAGTTGCTCAAAGTACTCATGTCAAGAACATGAGTGGGGACAACCCAACTTTGACCCAGGCCGAGACGGGTAGCGGATCTGAGAACGTTGCTACATCTGCTGTATTGAATGAGAGCGGCATTGGAATCTCACTTATTGGGTCGAAGACATACTCCGGCCCAGTGGTGACTAGCACTGATTTAAAACAACCTGCTTCACCCAGTGCATACCACACCACAATGGCAGCCGGAGCCCATTCTACACTAGTGACAGCTATTGGTTCATCCAGTTCTAAGTCTACGGGCAACAGTCTTCCGGGTCCCGTCTATACTGATGTTTCGTCTACGCAGAATGTCCAAACTGACCTTCTGGAATTTATAACTCTCGCTCTTGTATCTTTGCTTCTGTGATGAATTGTTTGACGATATGTGGCTTGAGTATCATGTACAGGTTTAATACGTTCATTTGGATCTTTTTAATATACACCTGATAGTTCCCGAAGACATGGTCTTTGGTTACATGATCATGTTCAAGCATAAATGGAATGGAATCTAACCTACGCATCTGGATGGTTCTATAGTTCGTAGCCGGGTGGTATCTTTGCCACCTTGCGTGTTGTCCCTCCATACCAGTCGTCCTTTTGCGTTCTGATGCGACGATTCTGTTCCCATATCTCCTCGGCAGTATACCCATACCAGTTTTTCACCTCCCGCCATACCCTTTCACCATCCGACAGCCCACGAAGCAATGTGATTGCATTTTCATTGATAACACGAGCCCCAGCCAGATAATGCAGTGGAGTATTCAAGTCCGAGTCCTGGAATCCAATATACGGTTCAAATCCCGAGGACAGGAGATAACCTAACATCTCCATTTGAGCCGGGAATTCCAACTCGCACTGCTGTATCGAGGAGGAACCTTTAGCCTTGCACCGGAGATTATGAATAGATTCACGCGTTTTGGATGCGTGGTGCTGTATCATGGACGACATACACGCGATATGAAGAAGTGTGTGCCCTGCAGCGGTTGCACCAGCAGCCTCGAGGGGAATACTCTGCTCGACACGTTGCAGAGCCTGCAGGGAATAAGCTGTCGCCACGTGCAATATGTTGACAAGGAGGTATGGGGTGCGGATGATGAAATCGATACGAGGGTCATTCGCCAAGACCTCGTACGCCATTTCATTCCAAGGTTCACACTGAAGGAAAGTTGCCATCAGAGGAGTGATGCTGGTACATACGTCCCCAAGCGGAAGAACGTTTGGGTTGAAGCCACCTTGAATTAGATGCTGAATTGTCTCTATGCTCTGAGTGGCGCTTGAGATTGCCGCATGAATTGGAGAGGAGAGGGCCAGAGAGGAGGGTGTCGGTGGCTCCGGTATGTTCCTCAGCGCGGGAAACGCCGTCCAAAACGAGGTATCCACGTCTGTAGCAAGAAGTTGTTCCATGATTGTGATTAGTCCCGATCCAGCTGCAATAACCAGGGGATGTCCAAAATTTGGATACTCGTCGCAAAGGGACGATTCTGTTTCTCCCTTCCAGAATTCTATCAAGTGTCGCGACCCCACTTCTGCTTCGGTAACAGGAACCGTCTGCTGTGTCGGAATATCAGCTAGAATTTCGGTTCTCTGGTAATCATCCCATAGATTATTGAGGTCGACTTTTGCTCGGAAGCGAAGAAACAGCGCCTGCCAGGTTTCAAATGCCGAGGTTTGGTACCCGTCTGGGTTCGCTCCAAGTTTCAGCAGAAGTTCAACCTTTTCCGCCGACCGGGCTCGAATCGCTGCTATCAGAGCACTGTAGCAATCTGGGAGAGGGTGCCATGATGTGGCGTAGTTGGGACTGTAAACGCAATTTGTTTGGTTGCAGAATTCGTCTTTTCTTTTCGACCAGTATGTTGAATGCCCTGCATCCAATAGACAGGGTGGCAACTCATTGGCAGCATGTTCTTGTTGTTGAAGGAAATGCTGCCATCCAGTTTCAAGGTATTTATGAAGGTCGTCTAGAGTGCCTTGCGCGGCGACCTCAAAAACTGTCGTTCTGCCCCTTTGGTTGCACTTGCATTCGACAATAGTGTTGGGATTGTCGTTTGAAGACTCCATTTGAATTAAGGTATTGCCTCCTGCCCTAAGCATTGATGACAGGTGTAATTAACCTAGGTAAACAAAAGTAGTAAAATGAAAGAAGAAATGGAAGAGAGAAGGGTGTATTATGAGAAGCCCCACCTCACCCGTGGATTCAAGGCGCTAACCGTATTGGTCTTTAACGCATATTACACTCGTGACCGTTTTCGTATTGAGTTTACGGTATACTAAACAACTGTACTAGTTGACAAGATGAGGAATTGGTGTACTGGCTAGTACTGAACATGTCCAATAGAATCAGTTGATTGATTGAAGGTGTATCGATCGGTTGAGCGATTTCTGGGGCCTACATAGTCCGTGCTCTGGCGTGTTATGACACCGTCTCCGAGTTTAGTCCGAATACCATCCAAATACTAGCGGAAATTGGGTGAACGATGAACAAGCCTGTCCCAAAAGGTCATAGCGGTAATCGACCGCTTCCTTAGTTCGTCACTAGTACATACCACTGTGCTTGCTTCTTACAATCCTGACAACACACAGCTAAGAGACACACAACCGCCACATATCTAGGCATGAGGATACCCGCTCAGATCTGGAACATCAACCCCATCGTTTCGGAAATTCGCAGTCTCATGTCCTCGCGTATACGAGAACCCCGTACTTGTGTCATAGTTTGGGAATGCTGCTGGAACCACAATGTTGTTCGCGTACAACCACTGACCAAATTCATAGATATTGTAGTTTCCTTCCGGCATGGTGCCTGTCAGCGTATAACCAGGCAGGAACTCACGCGAGATCCACTCATCGTCATTGTCATCCTCGCAGTTCAGTACGTGTGCACGTCGATTTCTAGCGGCTATTGTGATAGTGCCGCTGTCATTAGGATTGAAGCCAGGATAGACCCGATAATCTCCCGTGCTTGTTATTGGGATTACCGTCTGGCTGTGGTATACTCCAAAGGAGCGGACACCAACAAAGTTTCCGGCAAGTTCCTCCACATGGAAGCTAGAAAGGGTTAGTCTGCGATATCTCGGCATTGAATGGATTTGCCATTGGCTTACTGGAAAACAGCAAAAATATCGTCCGTATGTTCTTGGAGGGTAGGGCTGTCAGTGATATCAAAGGCAACTGCATAATCAGACCGAATATCAGTAATTATTTCGCGGGTCTCCATCATATATATTTGCGTTTCATAACGGATCGGCGCATTTAGGTAAAGCGCCGTGTGGATGTACACTCCTGACTCACCCTCAAGAATATTTTGGTTCACATAGTAACGAATCCCATTATGTGTATATGACCATCGGTAATCAATTCGGCGAGAATAGAGATAAGTGACGTCGTTGCCATTCACAATGGCATCGAGCAGACTGTCGTTTTGAACATAGTAAGCACCAATTCCTTCAAGAATGACCGAGAGTAAAAGACTTACGCTCCAGTAAAAGGGCGACCATGTGTAGACGTCGATCCTGTAGTCGATGTGGTATCTGCATCGAAAACCCGCTTTTCATTTCTCTCACCATTGTTGACAACTTGGCCGTAGCGATGCTTGTGATGGGTCCCATGGCTTAGATGGGATGCAGGTCTGTCATCGTTATCCACGACTGGGTAATGGAAACTGCGCTTTTTCGAAGCCAGAGATGGGTTGATACAGAGATCCCCATAAGAACCTTCCATGCTCACCAAGTTGTTGTAAGCCGACTTTCCTTCGCACAGAGCAGAGACCATAGCCTCGCCGACTGTCAAATCCGTGCCCATCATTGCATAAGTCGTGAAATTTGTCAGTTCTTCGTAAGAAAGTCCGTATTCAAGCCCGTATATAGAATCAAAGGCCTGGATTCCAAGGTCCGCGGTATATGTTCGGGCATTTTGGAATGCAGCCAATTCGTTCATCAATGTCATGCCTCCAGCAAGTGAATAGTCTCTAGCCTGAAGATCCCTTTTCTTAGACGAAATTGGATCAACCTCATCGGCTGGGCAGCTGAGTGGGGTGATGAAGTCCGTCAGTCGGTTTTTGAGGTCAGTCATTGCGTTGTCATTATATGTTGATGGATTGTCGCAGCAAAGAGCTCGTGTTCCACCCCATGAGCACCAACTATCTGTCGCTAGCAAGACCTTCCCGGACGGGCATGTTCCCGTGCACTTGCGGCTGTTTGATGGCGGTGGATCCTGATCTCCTTTGGTATACCAGGTGCAGTTGGTCCATGGGGAAGGGTCGGTGCAGCAAAGACTTTTCAACATGGAGGCTTTGTAGTCGAAATCACAAGGTTGTTGGTTATCACCAGTATTGCTATGTGCAATAAGAAGAGGCTTCTCAGATGGACATGAGTTGTCACGCGAGCAAGTTTACGGCAGTGGACTCCATTGGCCAGCGCTTCAGGTCGTCGACACCAATAGCCCCATCATCTTTAGCGTACTTCAGCACGAGCTACATTGTGATGGACGGTATGGCGGCGATGCATGCTGCTTCAAACTAGCTTTTCATGCAGTCCATGCAATATCAGGTGGATTTCCAGTACTTCGAGATTAACTCTGATAGTTGAACTTGGTTCCTGATATGCACCAGCCTGATATCACAACAGCAGCTGGCCGGGGTTCTACATTGGTATGTTGCACGTCTGATCAGGGCTATTGCTCCATGGCCATTCTCATTGATTCGGCCACAATCGTAGCCGGAGGACAGAGGAATCAGAAGCAAACTTCATAATGCTACAAGAACGGGGATGAGTTGGTGGAACGTTGGAGGTCGGGCCCATCCATGCCAGGGCGATTTTTGTTGTGTCCGCAGTCTATCGAGCATCTTTAGTACGAGCCAAAGAGTGAACAATGTTGAAATTAAAAGATAATAAGTGAGTCTCGTCATACTGTACTTCATGCATATTGGCACTCTATAAAGAGATTTTTTCGACCTACGCCACCGTCCCGGCCTCATTAGAAATCGGGTTGTCGGCAAGCATTGCGGAGTGACCGCATCGTACTTAAAATCTGGCATTCTCCATTCGTTTTCTGCGCAATTATCGACATTCTGATGGATTTTGCCATAGAGACGGTTTTCCACAGATCAGTTGCCGCCAATGCGGACGTCGACGTCCTGGGATACACCACTAGATCTCTGTATCGTTTGGTTGTGACGACAACGTATTCAACACCGGAAATATGTGATATTCTTTGTTATATGACAGGTAGCTCACCACAGGCGAGTTCGTCATCCTCTCCGCGAAACGACTCTATTTACCGCGCGACTATTACTCAAAGGCCTCAAGCTGGAAGCGTCCTGCGAGAATCTCCTCACGTATTCGCCATAGGGATTCCATCTCCCGCCCATAAATTGGCCGTCCATTGCACTCACATGGGTGTTTCTTGCCAGCGAATCTGCTCCCTTATTTTTGCAAGAATGCGCGGTAAGATGAGTCGAGCTCCGAGTTTCCAAAGGATCCTGATAAGGGGAATTCAGGGAGGAAAAATACCCGAACATGCCCTTAAAGCCGGCTCACAAATAATGGAAGAGGGAATGCCACTGGCGTTGCATAACAGTGCTCGTTATGTATCATGAAGCTGTCATTGTTTGTATATCCCTTCTTCTGGAACGCTGAAAACTGTGGACCCTAGGTAGCCACTATATCAACCACCATTCTTTATGAATTATATATACAATCCAGACATGTCAGGCAAATGGTTCTTATGAATAGTAAAGAAAGCTAAATTTTATAAGAGGAATGCGACTATGATAATCTTCTCGCCATTTGTTACATGCCAGTTCCAAGTAGACGGAACACTGAAGAATCTGACAGCATGGTACTGTATGTATTGCGATAGACATCCACACAGTATTTTTTTATTCCAGATCACCGGCCCCGCCAATAGGAAATGAGAATATTGTAGTATTTAAGCATACCTGAGCTCTTGGCTTCAAGGGTGTTTCCGGCCTCCAAAAAGTTGATTAGGTTCCTCCGAGCACGACTTAAGAGGTTTTTCATCCTACTCTGCTCACCCACCTGTCATCCGCGCTTCCTTCTTTTACGTTATTCTGAATCCTCACAATGCTGCTACAAACCTTCCAAACCAACGCCCTACGGGATCTGTGTACCGAAGAGCAGCTAGATCTTCTGAATTCCATCGATACCCTCCGTTCTCAGGGTATAAGCCATTATATTTCTCTGCCACAGATCATAGTCTGTGGTGACCAGTCCTCTGGCAAAAGCTCTGTCCTTGAGGCAATATCTGGCGTTGCCTTCCCTGTCAAAAGCAACCTTTGCACCCGATTTCCTACCGAGCTTGTCCTACGAACGCATAGTCATGTTGGCGTTCGTGTATCCATAGTGCCCCACCATACACGGAGCGATGTCGAGCAACGATCCCTTGGTGATTTCTGCGAGGAATTGAATAGCTTTGAAGGGCTACCTATCCTGATTGAAAAAGCTAAAGAAGCCATGGGAATAACAACACACGGAAAGGCGTTCTCGAATGATCTTCTGCGCGTCGAAGTGTCGGGTCCCGACCGTCCCCATCTGACTATCGTTGACCTTCCTGGACTTATTCACTCGGAAACCAAAAAACAGTCCGCAATAGATGTTCAGCTTGTGCAGGACGTGGTTCAGTCTTATATGAAACAGCCGCGCAGCATCATCCTGGCCGTTGTGTCTGCTAAGAATGACTTTGCCAATCAAATCGTCCTTAAACTGGCTCGAGATGCTGATCCCTCTGGGAAACGCACACTTGGCATCATAACCAAGCCTGATACCTTGATTGAAGGGTCCGAAAGTGAAACGATGTTTGTGTCGTTGGCAAAGAATCAGGATGTGGAGTTTCGGCTTGGATGGCATGTTCTCAAGAACATGGACATGGACAAAGGCCGATCTTCCCTAACACAACGAGACTTGGAGGAACAAGATTTTTTCTCCCATGGGATTTGGAAAGATCTGCCAAGCACACTGGTTGGCATCGGGAGCTTGCGGATACGGCTGAGTAAAGTGCTGTTGTTGCAGATTGCCACCGAGCTACCGAGCTTGATCATAGAGATCGAAGATAAAATCGGACATTGCAGAACTCGCCTACGAAGACTTGGTCAACCTCGGACTACCATAGATGAGCAGAAGTCATATCTTCTGCATATAAGTCAATCCCTGCAGGAACTTGTGAAATCCGCTATTGATGGCACATACAATGACCCATTTTTTGGCGATGCCCAATCCACCAATGGGTATCATAAAAGAATACGAGCCATAGTGCAAAATCATAACGAAGAGTTCGCCCAACGTGTCCACCGGAGAGGCCATTATCGACGTATCTGTGAGCCCAACGATGGGCAAATACCGGCCAAGCACCAGATTGGGGTCACCCGGGAGGAATATATAAAACATATCAGCCATCTTCTTAAGAGGACTAGGGGCCGCGAGCTACCTGGAACTTTTAATCCGATGATTGTTCGTGATCTGTTCTTGGAACAGTGCTCTCCTTGGGAACAGATAACGCGCAGCCACACGAATAGTATATGGGCTGCTGCCAGAGATTTTCTCGCCTATGTGGTCAAACATGTCACGGATGACGCAACGTCAGCCGCAGTGATCGAAGAGATCATACTCCCAGCCTGCAACAACATCAAACGTGATATTGACGCCAAGACCAAGGAGCTACTCATGCCACACCAGACAGGGCATCCTATCACTTACAACCACTATTTCACGGAAAACCTGCAGAAGATTCGGGCGGAGCGCGAAGAACACGAGCTCGCCAGAAGTTTACAGAGTTTCTTTGGAGTAGATAGTTTGAAGGAGCCCTACTGCACAGACCATTCAATCAATCTTGAACAACTTCTGAAATCTCTGGTAGCGCAATCAGAACCAGACATGGTGCGTTTCGCGTCGATCGAAGCGTTGGACTGTATGCTGGCTTACTACAAGGTGATTCATATCTCCTTCTATTTCGTGGGCTTGTCAGTCAAATGAAATGCAGGTTGCACTGAAGAGGTTCGTTGATGACATTGCCAACGAAGTTGTAGAAGCCAGACTTATGTCCTCCTTGTCCCGCATTCTGTCGCCGGTTACCGTATTCGACATGCCGGCGAACCTTGTCACGAGGATCGCTGGTGAGTCGAAAGAAAGTCAAACTATTCGTGAACAGCTCAACAGGGAACTCCTGATATTGGCTAAAGGCTCTGAGACCTGCAAACTATTTGTTAAAACAAAGACTGGCGGTACGCCAAACCCTCCCTGATCTTACAGATCTTGAAGTTAATTCGATTGCAGACCTCATCTTTGATCCTTGGTTAGCAGACGACTACTTGGCAAGGGAGAGTAGTGATGAATCTATATGTGAAGAAGTGAGATTGGATGCAGAAGAATCCGAACTTTCTGACTCGTCAAATGACTTAGTCGGCACGATTGAGGCTCTAGATGACCTTATTGACGAGACGACGACCCCTAGCTTCGAGGAAGAGCCCAAGCCCAGCGTACAGATTTCCAAAAATGCGAGTAAAAAGAAGAGCAAAGGGAAAAAGAAGGTGGAAGGCATTGCGTCTCTAGAATTCCAGTGATTTCAATGAATGCGGTGGGAATCAAAAAAAGAATTTATTCAATCGAAGTTTTGTGTGAAGCCTGAGCATGATTTTGAGGTACAGAGCCATTCTGTCTGCGACGACCTTGTCGCGTAATGTTCATCCAAAAGGTGGCGGGCCTTCGCCGCTGAGAACTTCGGGGGTGAGCCAGAAATCCCAGTCAACGGCGTCTTCATTCTCGGATTGCAGACAATCGGATTGGGAGATCGCCTCCTTCTTTATTGGAGCTTCTGCGGTGACGTTGACGTTATGTGCAGCAAACACATTTCTGGGAGAAATGACTGCAAGAGGTTTTGTCAGTAGGGCTGCATTTTTGCTTCAACTGATAGACTTACCTGGCAGCTTGCTTCGTTCCATTTCTGGCACAACCAGCGATTCTTGACCAGGCATGAGACTTCTGCGGGTCAGGAAAAGAAGAACGTGCGAGATGTTCCTCGGGGTTGTCAAGGATATATGGTGGAGCTGAAAGTAGAGATAAAGTCAAAACAGTCTTCCTGGATACCTGAACAACAAAACGTGGCGAAGGTTTCACGGTCAACTGGTCATCAACCCCGACAGTTCGTCATTCAATCTAGCGCACCTCTGAGTTTCTGCATCAAATTTGGGCCACCAGGCTTTCGAACCTCGACTGTATGTTCATTAAGTATATGGCTTCATCAAATTTGATCGATGTTTAACTAATCAGACAGAGCGTTGAAAATGGTCGCGTAGGGATGAGACTAATGTATAAAGTATCACAAGTCGTTACATGTTCAACGCACCGCCTCACCTCGCACTGCATTCCTTGGGTCGCATCTCAATTGAACACACCTCGCGCCAAACGACACTTCCGCTTCCTTGATCGAATGTGCTTGCGCAGCAGATCAACCACGCTGGAATGCTGCCCATGCTCTGCCCACCAGAGTGGGGTCCGTCCTTGATCATCAATCAAGTTCAGGTTGATACCAGGATGTTCCAGCAACGTTTTGACCCCTGAAATATACCCGTTAGAGGCGGCAAAGAAGATGGCTGTCCATTGTTGATGGCCACGGGCGTTGATGTCGACCATTTTTCTTTGTCGGAGTAGCAGAGATACAATGGATAGATGATTCAAATGAACAGCCACTTGGAGTGGCGTTGTTCCAGTAGGGCTTTTTTGATTAGCCTGGACTGACCTCAGACGAAGCAGTGCCTCCACTGCAGGAGAGTTGCCTGCGCGGCATGCAGACCAAAGCGGAGGCACGATCTGGGTAGACTGAGAGTTGATGCATATCTGCCGCTGTTCCAATAGCAGTTCAAGGACGGACAGAACAGGCCTCTCGGCAGCTCGGGCTAATGGCGTCACCCCATATCGATCAGGATCGTTCAATCTCAAATGGCTCTGACGTAGAAGTAACTTCACAAGGTCATATTGGCCACGGTTGACCGCGTGCCATAGGGCCGTTTGCCCGTTGGAGTCCGAGATATTGACATCAAGATTCGAATGTAGGAGGAGAGACTCAACCACGAGGGCAGATCGCTCTCGATTGAGCCTTTTCACAGCCAACAGGAGAGGGGCATCATTGTGGGAGGTCTGATGGTTTATATCGATTGCTGCATGTCGCACCAGCATCTGGGCTGCTATATGATCTCCTTCGAGAACCACAGCTTGCAGTGGCGTCCAGCCAAGAGAATCTGCGAGATTGACATCCACTCGAGGATCAGCAAGTAAAATTTGGAGGGCATAGTACTCGCGATGCTTCAGCGCGTATACTAGGGCAGACAGTCCGTCCGAGCATCGATCGTTGACATCAATCTCCTGAGACTGGAGAATCCGCTCCACGCTAGCAGCATTTCCGCCGATCACTGCAAGTGAGAGGGGCCCTCGACCTCCAAAGTCGCAGCAGTAGCGGACGTCGGGCCGATACTGCAAGATCAGATCCACCGCCTGTGGGTATCGCAGGTCAATAGCGAGAAGAAGCGCATTCTTGCCAGCGTGCAGATAATCAATATCGACGTGGTATTCCTCAATGAGCAGCGCTACAATATCCAGTCTTTGGGCCTCCACGGCACGAAAAAGCAGTGGGACTTCATCACACACGATGCGTCGGAAGAGCACATCGGTGAAAAGCGAGTAAAAACGTTGGCAGACCAGGCGTAGCGCTAGAATGTTTTTTCTTTGTAGAGACTCGCAAATCCCGAGCAGGAGCTCTGTCGGAAGTTCGGAAAGCATGAGAGTGTAGTGATGTCCTACTGAATATGTTCGGGAAAGGAAAAGCAGGAGACCGCGGATTTCCTCACCAAGGTCTCACAACGCGAGATGTGCTTCCCTTTATGTGCACACTTTAGCCTAGCATACTCAAAATCTGGAAAGACTAAGTTCCGCGACTAGACTAGAAATGCTAAAGTGCAAGGATGCCCTACTTGGATCCCCGAATGAACCTTCATGGCCCCGAGATCGAGGACAACAATTCCAGAACACGACCTAGGAGCCCCAGAAGCGACCTAGCTCCCAGGCCCACTAATTGTATTCCCAATCCCATTTCAGCCATTTGCAGGATCACTGATTGAGATCCCAGAACCAGTCGTCTAACAAACTTGAACGTAATGCCTCGTCATGTATTTTGAATCCTTCGAAATTCAGAGATATCTTTGGCAAAATTACAGTCATTTCGTGTATGTACATTTGGCTGGTTGTATTAGGAATCCGCACCATAAACTGCCAGGGGATACGTTATGGAAATGTCAGACTTGTAACACCTGCCGAGGGCCTCTGGTTAAAAAATGATCTCTGAACACGTAATCAAGGTCGAAAGGCCTGTACCAATGGTATGGGTCACGTATATGTACTTGTCTGGTATCCTCTAGTCTCCACCACAACAGTTTGTGTGGTACGCTGACTAATAAAGCTGATTACATGATCCATTGGTCCGACAAATGTTCCATGTCACGTGCTTCGTGGGGGTCTGAGCCGAAGAGCTGGAGCCCCCTTATTTAAAGATGACCGCTTCGCCAACCTTGGTGAAAACTTTCTCTAACAATAAAATTTTATACTCAACGAATAATCTTGATTAAATTTCAAATTTTGAGACAATGCAATCATCGAGCGAATTTGAGTCCCTCCGGCGAAAACTGCTGCAGAAAGCTAAAGCCTCGGCTACCGAAGCCCCCTTGTCAGAAAGCTATGGTCTGTTTCAACTCACATATCCTACAACGGATACAAAAGCAACGCAGAGCAGGGTTCTATTTCTTTGGTTATTGAACAAAAATCGACCAGCTATCAGGGATTTCGAAAAGAACTGGCAGGAAAGCACAGACAGGCCCCATACTGAGTACCAATTTCAATATTGGAATCGGGAGCTTGCGCACCTCCAAAGAATTGCTGAGAACGAAGGACTTGAGGCTCTGGAGGATGAAGAGTTACTTCGTACGTAATATAAATCGCTCTTGCTGGGAATTTACCACTCACGCTCACTCTACAGCCGCCAACCATCCCGTTATCCTTCCAGAGTTGACCCGCATGGGATTTTAGCGGTTGAGACGGATCGCTGGTTTAAAAACGCAGTCCCTGTATCTCTGTTTATCACTTCCAATTATAAAGGTATCGGGTTTCACATAGGAATAAATCCGACCAACACGTTACCGGCCATATCACGCGTTTGGCTTTGATGATGAAGGAAATTTTGAGGGATGCAGCTGGGATGAGTCAAATTGGCTATCAAAATTCGGAATAACATATGTAAAATACCCAGTGAAGTCTTGAAGATCAGAGAAGAACTCCTTGATTGGATTTAAGTCAGGCGAGTAGGGAGGCAAGTACATCAACTTTACGCCTCCGTCAGAGCACGGTTGTTTTATGCGGTTAGAATGATGGACAGAGGCGTTTTCCATCACCAAAAACGGACCTAGGCTCCGGCCACTTCCAGCAATGCTGGAGAAGCTCCTCGTCAAAGTCTTCAAGAACCAATGCGTCGGTCGGGCCCTGAAATACTCGTGACATGACAATGCCATCTTGAGAACATGCTGGCAGTATCTGGTACCGTTGATCGCGATGGCTTTTAGATATTTGGACCGGTGCGATCCCAAGCGGTGACTAAGCTGTTCTCCTAAAGCCAATCCGTTTACTGCATCACTCCCAGACTCGTCGATATACACCAGATGGTACGATCGGAACTCGGACAGGTTGTGTAGATAGCAATCTCGTAGATCGGCATTACGTCCCCTTGCTTTCTGTTGAGATATCGACTTTGCCCACTTCTTGGAGATCAGCGCCCTCCTAATGCTGGAGGTTGTTGGGTATTTGCCAAACTCATCCCACAGAAAAAGCGCAATTTCATCGAGATAGAGAGTAGACTTTTCCAGCAGATGGCCGCAGAGGGTCTCCAACATTAGTAGTGTGGTGCTACGTGGTCGACCTGCTCGAATAGGAGGGGCCCTGGTACCACCGAATTGGCGCAGATTGCTGCGGATAGTGGTGATGGAACGCGCACTGCATCCAGTGGCTTCGGCGATTTGAGATGTGGTCAGTGATTTGCTCAAGACCATATCGCGAATAAATTACCTCATGGAAGAAGGCAGGTTTGGAGCCATTTTGTGCGTGGCTGGTGGTATTGGAGGTGATGTAGTTGGTCGTCCGGGAGATTGAGGACAGAAAGCGTTTAGCGGGACGCATTATTCAAACGACCTTTATATATCTGTCTTGTCAAGTAATTTACATTTCCATTCTAACAAGCAGGGTTGATGTGCGGCCTAGCCAACTATGGCCTAGGCGATTTCACCATTGTCTTGGTTGTGGCTCTTGAGATAGTTTCTCTGTGTGAAACATGGAAGTCAATTTCGAATATTGCTGTACAAGGTACACAAGAAGCACAGACAATCCGCATGGTACGGATAGTCACCCGGCCTCAGCTAGGCCTGACTAGGAGAATCACACGAGCTGTGGATCGTGCGCAAGCGACAATCCACTTTCCGGTATGCATGCTGGGTCCCTACGGACACTCACTCCCTCTGGGCCAGTACGGAACCGTCATTCTTGTACTGGAAGGTATTGGACTCTTCCGCGCGCTGCCGTTCATGCGGCATCTCGTTCAAGAAAGCCGAAGCCGGAGGAACACAGTGCAACGGCTAGAAGCGGTGTGGCAAGTTGAACTCAAGGATTTCAGTACGTGTCCCGTTGTTCCAGATGCTGTGCGTTGTTGTGCTGACCAAAATAGACCATCCCCACTGGGTCGGGGATGAGATCTCGCAGATCCTTGAACTCGACCGGATGTTTGACCGAGACGATTGTCCGGAGCATGGCCATCGAGATGACCGGGGTTTCGATGTGAGTGAAGCCCTTCGTGTTGATCATACTAGGGGTGGGCTGACTCAAAAGCAGATCCTGCAATTTACTACACACATCCTAGGCGCTCGACCCGTGGATCAACTTCGTTATCGCAACCGCACGCGTTTAAAGTACCGTTTTGAAGCTATCAACATTGCCAAGGATTTGGCACGCCTGATGAATAGTACAAGCGGAGCGACCGCGGTTTCGGGTAAGTTTCCTTCAGCAGGTACCCTGTGAGATCACGCCAACGCTAATTGATCGCAGTATGTGCAAGCAATTCAATACGTGCAGCTGTACATCATATCGTCCATACCAGAGCGAGTGGTCATCTCCGGCTGATTGACCTGGACCTTGAACCTTCTTGCCCGTGGTGGACAGACGACGATCCGTTCGACCATGCGACAGCCGCAACAACTTCAGCCGAGAGTGACACAGACCCTGGGCCCGATTGGATGCCGGCTCCCTTGTCAGTTGCGCACACTGTCCCTGAACAGGCTGGACGTCTTTCAGGAGAGACATTGGTCGATGACAGACGATCCTGGCAAGGTGATCAGCTGGCTGTGGGGGGCCAGAGTTCCAATCACCGAAGGTGGGTCCGGCAGAAAATCATCGAAGGCGGCTTCTGATCAGTCAATTGTATCGGCTGGCTCGTTTTTGTTGAAGTTCAATCTTAGACGATCTATGCCACTTGCATTTGCAGGCTTTTTGGCTTAAAGGAAATCACAACAGTTTTTGTGTCTGATCTGCAGCAGCCTCATATCACAATACGCATCACTGAGTCCAAGATTGTTATCAAATTTATTCAATACTATATGATTTTCCAAGATGATTTCTACAGTAGTGGTATAGTAAAGAACAGATCTGTTATTGCCGGCATGTATCTTTCTATTAGAGGTTGTGAGGTCTCGGCTCATCTGCTTACACCAAATATATCTCACGGTAGAATGTGGGACGAGCAGAAACAAATTATGCAAAGCGCGGCAGTGGTCCAATGGATTCCTTGAATTGTACTTGGTCATAGGGATCACAACCAAAATGTCCTCGAAACCCACGCTTAATCCACCATAAACGCACCGCTTAATCAAGTCATTGATTTGCCGCTCCTTCGTCGACCAAAATCTGGATGATGCGGCGGTGATCCAGTTGACAAGCGACCTCCAACGCACTTTGGTTCTTCTTGTTTCTTGCATCAAGCCGTGCGCCCCTGATACCAAGTAGCCTCTTCACCAAACAAGCATTGCCCTCACGAGCTGCAGCAATGAAGTACGTATCCCCGAGCCGGTTGTTCTGGCAATTAATGTCAAGTCGACTGTCGTCCAAAAATAGATTCACTACCGACAGGGAATGCGTCTGAAGCGCAAGCCACAGGGGGTCATTTTCATTCTCGTCGACTGCATTGATCCGAATCCCATCGGCGCTGAGCAGCAATCTTACCAACTCGTAGGCGCCTTGATATGCGGCAATTCCAAGAGGACTTTTTTGGCCATCTCCTTGGATGTTGGGATCCACTCTCAACACATGTGTCGCCGCAAGTATGCTAGAAACAATGCGGATATTCCTGCGCGAACAAGCAATATAGAAAGCTGTGGTTTGCCATCGTGCTCTGGTATCACCACCCTTGAAATTCACATTCAATCTGCGATCATTGAGAAAACGCTCGCTAATATCGTCACGCCCAAGTTCCACAGACAGCCAGAAGGCGGAGTTGCCGAAGCGGTCCGGGCAATTTACGTCTAGCCGTTCGCTGGATAGAAGCAGACTGAGGGCTCCTAGCTGGCCATCAATGGTAGCAATATGCAACGCCGTGTATCCATACCGATTTTTCGCGTAGAGATTGATATTTTCTTGGTCGAGCAATATTTTCATGACTTTGAGGTCACCGTAGCGCACTGCCTGCATCAACGGCGTTTCGCGTTCCGAGTTGAGCGCGTTGACATCCGCACCCATCTCCAGAAGGAATTTCATGGCATTGGCATTGTCGGGACTATTGGAGTGGTCCACAAATAACTGATCCACACTCTGGCCGTCCTGCAGGATCTCGGATATTGACATTGTCGGTCGGGAACGCAGCAACATTCTCGCTATGATTTCGTCGATGGATTCGCCTTGCATCAAAGCGACATGGAGAGGCGTCACATTCTTCGAGTCTGCAGCAGCAGGATCTGCGCCACAGTCGACGAAGAACTTCACTTTCTCATGGTCACGCATCTTGACAGCGTACCATAGCATCGTTCGACCCAGAGTGTCCGGTAAACCTATCCGCGCATTCACGAGCTTCAACACGTTTGAGAACTCCTTGACATTCCTTTGGGAAAGAGTTTTTGAGAAATGAGTACGGAGAGCCAATTCCGTAGACTGGGTTGAACGTTAGCGACCAAAGGCGAATGGTTGAATAGAGCGTGACATACCATATCGAAACTTCTTTGTGGTTCTTCGAGGGTGAGAGTTGTATTAGTTGGAGTGCCTGGACGAAGGATGGTAGGTGGTGCATGGCAAATTGCCTGGAACGAGACCTCTGGGACATCTTTATATCTTTGCGCTGTCCTCGGCTTACGCCACATATCCTAGAAAGGAGCGAAGCCACGGGGACATGTCCAAATTCCGCCGCCTCGCGGATCAAATCTTCATCATGATCTCGAGATCGGCCTCTGCGATAAGCAGCTGCTTGGACCAGTGGCCTGTACGTGGAAACAAAGTACCCGTCCCAAGATACCACATATGAATCCTCAAACAGGAAAATTCGATCCTGGGATCGTGAGTCAGCGTCCTAGGAGTGCTATAGCTCCCAGGACCGGTCAGGATAATCCTCGCGCCTATCGAATTGTAGCTGGGATAGGTCTCTGGGGTCTGCGCGTGATTCCGAACGATTGACAAATCATCCTCCCTAACAAGCTAGACCTTACTCTTTCTCGTCGCTCTCAATGGCATTCATCACTCTGCCTAGCCAATCCCTTAACTGGCTGCTGGAGATGTGGGTGACCATACACTATCAAATTTCCCTCACCCAGCAAGTGGCCGTGAGGCTCTGTGGACCGCGCTCCTTGATTTGTCCAATTTCGAAATTCCTTGTACTGGCGAGGTTTTGTGGCAGCCTCCAATATACCTGCAGCCACCTCTTCGTGCCAACACGGACATTAAATACGAGAATCCGCAGTGGCTTAGGTTTGCTGGGCATTCGGACAGCTCGATTTCCTAAGTGGGAGAGACCAAGTACTTCAGAAAGCTTCTCAATGCACCTGGGAAATATTTGCGTCCCTAGCGTTTTTCGAATTCAGATTGGCTGTGTCTATTCTATCTTGCCTTGATTCAAAAAGACTCTGGTTTTCAATCGGCCATGCCTGTACCAGTAAATCGTGTGATAACCAAAGTCTAAAAATCGATATAATTTCCACGCTAGAGATACAGCATAGACAATACCAGATTTATAATTGCGGCCATTGAGCGCGCCTTGACCGTTCAGCAGATCTGGAATTCCAACATCAAAGGCTCTCTGGCTAGCATTGGGCGAACTCCGACTTATGGTCTCAATCATCGATGTGTGTTGTCCCGGGCGGGTCAAAATAAAAGCCGTAGCACTACAATCAATGTAGCATGGCTGCAGTACACACAGTGGAAATCTTTTGAGTGGGCGATGGCTTAGACCCTGAAAATTGGATCATCAACAAGTGAGGTGACTTACTCAGAACAGAGCATGATCGCCGGCCTCTGTTTTGAATCAACAGTCAATACTGAAATCCAGATGATGGTGATAAAGGTGCATGCTGTCGCAGTCGAGCGATGATCGCTGCCCACCGTTTTCAAGTGTTGAAAGTACGGTCGTTGAGACAACGTTGAACGTTGATCAACGCTCTTCAGACCGACAATAATTAAAAGAAACATGAAAAAAAAAAACAATTTAATATTGAAGGCATGATTCACCCTGACCATGACCATTCACTTTTCATCTGCCTGTTGACTTTTGCATAACCCGTCACCTCAGTAAGACGAGGTTCAACAGGCCTAACTGTGCACAGCCAACCTCGATGCCCCCGAAAACAATGCCCCCGGAAAGCGGCAGACAGAAAAGACTTCACCGCGGCAATACAAAGCGGGCGGTAACAAGACCAGTCAAAGACCTATAAATATGGGCTCTTCCCTCGGTTCTCTGTCGAAACAATTCTCTTCCTGACTGCATCTGACGGATTCCGTCAAGCCAAAACCAAGGTGCCTTCCTGCAGCAGATTATAAGTCCCTCCTCTTTGAACCCAAAGGCTTGCTATTACTGACACCCACGGTGGCCACTCAAGCCACCAAATCACCTGCCTCTCTCTACCCCTTGGTGGTTCATTCCACTGTACCCGTCTTCGTGCCTGCAGGCCAGAGCCTGAGCCTTGACTGGCGACAATCCTTTGGTGAGTGCTGTATTCATGTGCCTTGTCGAGTGGAGCTAACCATGTGACTCCTGGCTAGCTTCTTGACCATAATCGTGCAAGTGAGGCATTCTGCAGGTAAGTCCCTTGTCAGCCCCATCCCGTTCGGCCAGTGCTGACACAACCAATGTTACGACCATCCAGGTCTATACGACAGCTCCAAGTCAGCACCCCAAGGTTATACAACTACCTGTCAGTCACACCGATAACAATCCTCATGAGATCAATTTTGGTTCCACTGCTGTCATGTGCTTGTCAAACAGTGCCTCCAGCGAGATCACCAGCGAGACCTCTGAATATCGAACGCCGCCATCCTTGAGCCCTTCCCATGCACATGTCGCCGTTATCCTGAATGGTTCGATGTTCTGATAGAGTCTCAAGCAAGGCTACTTGTGCACTTCATCGCGGCCACAGATCTCGTGCGACTGGATGTTTGTTGAAATAAGTACGCCTGCTCGGTGCTTCTGCCCCATCACCACCCATTCATCGTCAGCAATGATCGTGGCTGGAGGACAGTCGGACCCAATCGACCTCATCAAAGTCCAAGACGGCAGATACGTTGGGTCGGTTTGGAGTTGAGTCTTGTCTCCCCAAGACGACTCTTTCACTGGCTTGGCAATGTCGTCCGTCGTAGGTGCAGGGTGATACTAGATGACAAGACCGTGAGTGAGCCCTCATTATCAGACACATGCTGACTATCTCCCAGGGCCACTTGCCAAGACACTGCGAGACATATCGTGCAGCTGACCGAGCCTCGCAGAGTCGCCACCTTTTCCATGAGGCAATCTGTTTCGCCTTGGAAACAAGTCCGAAGTGTGGCAGTCGACGTGAGCCAGAATTACCTGATCACTCCACGCCCTCGCCAGAAACACTGATGACGACTGAATCGCAGTCCTAGCCGAGAACATGAGCTCCTACTCCACATCCTTGGGAGCTTGAGGCAGCCATGCGACCTACATACCGACCGAGAACACACGATGCGTTGTACATGGATGCAGCGATATGCTTGGGTGTCGGAAACTTTCATGGTGAGATCGGCTTCCTCACCTGCGGAGGGTGCGAGTAAGAAGAACGCCGGAAGTCTATTCGATAGGTGGACAGATCTTACTTTTCGGAACAGACGACGATCGCCACGCACCAGTCCAAGAAGTTAACCATGGAGCATGCAGACCTGCCATACGGCACGCTACTTTCTGCTATCCTCCTACCCTGTCAAATGGTGGAAGCCATCGTCACCAGAGGATAGAGTCATATCTTTCGATGACGGTGATGCTTTCGAAGAGACATGCGGCTGTCTGGCAACAGCAGGTCGCAAGCATACCATTCATCCAGTTTGTGCAGAACCAGCGACAGCGCCAGCTCCCTGCATTCATGCGAAAAGTGGATGAAGCAACTTTGCCTAACGCCTGAAGACAAAGTTTATTGCACCATAATCGATCAAGCGGTGCGTTCTGTCCTGCCTCTCCCAAGTGCGCGAGACGTCTCCGTTGGTAGCTTGACAGTTTCCGCCTGCTTCGCGCATCAAAATCCATGGTCCATTGTGCACATGCTGCCCTTCAAGACTGGGCGCTACCACTGAGCAAAAAAAGAAAAGAAAAGAAAAGAAAAGAAAAAAACAGTCATTCGATCCGTTCTGCGTGTCGTGCCAGAAGCATTTGTGAGCAGATCCGTCAATACAGCGCTCGTCATCGCTGAGGAAGGAATGGGCTTGACTTGGATTTGCAAGCCTGTATCTTGAGCATAGCATCATATGCGGACAGACACCTTTGTTTTCACAGGCCCCTGCCCAAGGTAAATTCCTCGCTTTTGATCTTCAGTGTCGGTGCTCACTGCTCACTGACACGGATCATACGCCTCCCGACCGATAAAGTCATCCAGCTCTGTTGCCAGTTGATATTTCGCCATCACTGGTGTCTATCAGCTAGGGCCAAGGTCACAAGTCTCAACCACATCACCATATCCCGCACGTATGACACCTATGGACTTGGCCACCAAGCCGATCGAACTTTGCTTCTTTAGGCTGATTTAAAGGAAGACGGCATGAACGATTTGTCTTGTGCAGCTTGTCCCGGCCAGCCCAATACCACACGAGACTGTGCTGAACACCGAACTTGTGAACACAACAAACTCGCGTCAAGACCTACAAGGGTGGCACAACTGTCAGCCCGGTACCTGGAAAGGTGAGTCAGAAGTTGGTTCCTGATCCAGTCACTAATACTATGCCCGGTAGGACATGCCCCAGGCACACGTCGAACAAATGATCCATGCTTCAACAGACTGCCACCTTGCAGCCCATCTTGTATCAATGGACACACGGCCAGTATTGCGCGAGAGTTGAGAATTGAACCAGTGTACCAGACAAGTCTACAAACACATTTCGGCGTCGACAAAGAGGTAATGCGGAGCAATATATGTACGAGCTGAAGAGTTGAGGTCGAAGATGATGAATTATGAGTGAACTTCATTCAGCCGGATGTATGCTAACAACTTTTGAGATTCACTTGCTAAGTGCGAAACAAACTCGACGATACAAGGTGCAAACGCGCGCATTGCTCCAGCACTACACGCCTTTCACCCCATGAACGCCATGAACCGGGATGGACGAGGAGCGCAATGCCAGACGAATGTCCTGAGTATCAGAATGCTGAGAATTCCGTGCGACCGTAGGCGCGACGGCAGGACGCTTGATCAGCACAACCAGGACGGCAACCTCTCTGCTTGATCAGATACTGCGGCCAACCAACCCATTTTGGCGACAGACATGGGCTCCTTGTTTGAGCATACCGTGTGTCGGGTATGCTGTCTCGACATTGACACGCGAGCTCGGGAGCATGCAATCAAGTGCGGTGAAATGGCATTTCCGTCATCGCCTCAAGGTCAAATGCCGACATCGAGTATCCCTCGCCAACCCCGACAACTTGGAGGTATCAATGCCCTACTTTCAGCCGAGACACCAATCATAAGACCGCCCTCACGCTACACATGAGTGGCCGAGTGATCAATGACGACCAATCTATATTCCAGGCACTCTAGGAGTTCTTGGTATTCCCGCTTCCCAATATGAGCAGCCCTCATCGTGTAGACTGAGGCGGGGATCTGAAGCGAGGATCATCACAAATATCGTCTGCCTTCAAGCCCAAATATTGAGCATTGGCTCTGTGGCCAGACTTTCCAAAAGGTCACCTGGTGATTGGGCAGGGCCAAAATGAGTTTATTCGATTGGAATACTGCACCCGTCATCCAATTTTCAGTCGCCCGTCAAAATGCTGAGCGGTCATCGGATAAATGTGAGTCTAGAGTTCCTTTCCTGGTCTGCGAGCTAACGTATGCCCAACAGAATCTGCCTCCATGCGAGACCCCATATACCTCAACGATGCCGTAGGCATTTGACTGCCATATTCCGGATTTGCAGCTCATTTCGAGGTACGCTTTGCCGGTTTCTCAAACGAAGGGTATGCTGAAGAACATGCTCACGGAGAACTTGACTGCCACGGTCGTCTGGCTCGAGTGCCATGGCTGGACTTGGTCGATCTTGAGTCAGCTTTGTGGGAGTTGGCTTGTGGGAGTTGGCTTGTGGGAGTTGGGCTTGTGGGAGTTGGCTTGTGGGAGTTGGGCTTGTGGGAGTTGGGCTTGTGGGAGTTGGCACGCGGGAGTTGGCACATGGGAGTTGGCACGTGGGAGTTGGCTTGTAGCAGTGGGATCGTGGGCATTGATATGTGGGACTCGGCTCGTGGAGCTGTTCGTGGAAGTCGGCCAGGAGTGGAGGAAATATCTGATACCTCTGCTTGAGATATGCTTCATAGCCCTTTCAGTCGGCTACCGCTGTAATGCAGCACAGAGAGGTCCGAAGCATTTTTGGAGAGCCGACTAGAGCGAGCATTGGTTGACTCGAAACTTGGAGACCCACCAATACATGGGCTGTATTGTCAGCCGGAAGCTACCAGAGCGAGCCGAGTATTGAGCGAAGTCGAGTATGAAGAGCTGTGAGAAGATTTTCGTGGCATGATGTCGACTAAAGTATCTCCAAGGCCATCGTCATGTGTAGACCAACTCCACGGGTCGTCGCGTAAACAATACTGCACCGCTGCGCCGCGCGTCTGGGACGACCCCACCGCCTTTGCCGTCGCGTCAGACTGGTGGACGGGAACGCCAGTCCAGCCTCTCTCGCTTTGGAGACACTAGGCTGATTTCCATCCATGAGGGTGCGAGTGCCGACACCATTCGACATTCTTGCTCGACAAGCAGCTCAGCTTACGAATGTTTATCATTTTTGGTGACCCTGCCTCCCTGCTGCGCGACCGACTTTTACCGATCTCCACGGACACTGCAGTAGTCGAGCGAGTATGCATTCCAGGCTGATCCAGTCGGCATGAGCGATGACACGCTACCAGATGCCGTCATCATGTTCTCGGTCCGGTCGGGAAAAGACGGTACTCGAAACTTGAGGAGAGGCTCAGCATGGGATTCATCTCAAGCAATGAGAATCTCGATGAATGGACTCTTTTGATGGAGCGATTGAACTGGACTACCCAGCGGCATGTATGACATTGGGCCCGCTGGTGCTTGATGCTCTGTCGGTGGAGCGATGATGTCCAAATGTGGGTGACATGAAGCCACATCTGCCCAGCCATGCAGTGCAGTCTGCGAGCTCGGTAAATCTGCAACTGATTGAGCCAATTTCGAAGCACCACTACTGGTGTATCACTTCGGTCAACAAGTTGTATGCAGTCTTTCATTTTCAATCATCTCTCAAAGCCTTCTCTTGATCACATCAGTCGTTCTGAGGTCTGGAAGATCTCATGCAAGGTGTTATGAATTTACGCCGTCCCTCGCAGTATCGATCAAATTGCGGTTCTGCTTGAGCCGTGCAAAGTGATTGGATGCCTCGAAATGCTTGTTGGTTGCTGACCCGAATGCACTCATTATGTCCTCTCAACCGGTATGTCACGTGACCCGTGCTTAAGGCCGCAATGCTGCTGACGAGAAGTCGATTTGAGCTTCCAAAAATCCATGCCCATTTTATTGGCGAATCGAAAAATCCAGAGAATTTGGTCACCGATGGTATCAATTTCGCCCGGGAACTCACTGTGCTAGGTGTGGGGATCTATAAAGAGGACGCCATCATTGTGTACGGTTACCCGTCGGAATGGCATGGTAAGACAAAGAAGAGATATTGCGTATTGATGCTGGATATCTAGCTCAATCGCTTGTTATGCAGTTACAAAAGTGGAAGTTACGCCACAGTGATGTGGTATGAGTTGCGAGCTCGGTGTTTCTACATTGCATCGTCCTGTCGAGTCCCTGTGACATCTACGCCGTCGCGTACAACCCTGCATGACTGCGTGGAGTCATGTTTGCTCGCTCCAGGCCCTTCTCAGCGCGCTTATTTGCTTCTTTTCCAACACAGCAAACTCTGCTGGCTTTGGCCTCGAGAATGCCATCGTTCTGAACGCGGGTGATGCGTCATGACACAACGTTTGCTGGCCACCTCATCAATCTTACATCTTAGCTATCGCACAGTCAGGTCTCATCGCACAGTCAGATCTTATCAGACACAGTCGTGCGTCGCTGCGTCGCTAATGTCTCGCAACGTATGATCACCACAAATCCTTGACTTCCTTTTTAGGCGCATCTTAGGTTCCGCGTGAGCTGCTGACTGACGAAGAGTGATTACGAGGTTCTTTCGTAGTATTTTCAGGTACATTCATCTCGTCTTGAGAAGAGTGCTCGTCATGCTGGGAAACTCTAGGTCGGTGATGCGGGCTCATTATGCACGCTGCTTCCGCCTACGTGTTTCCCTGATAAGACCTCAATGGTGTATCCTCCTCGTAGACTGATGACTGCTATCGGTAACACAATTGCAATATACCATGCTGTTCGATAGTCGTACTACGGCAGCCTCGTCGGGGTGTGGGGCCGGACAGCTTATACATTGTATATACGCACTGTACGTGCATAGTATCATTCTGTCAAATCCAAGGCTCACCGCTGTACTCAATTTCACATGGAATCTACATTTGTGGCCGGGGGTGGCTGAGCATTAGCTTCATTTTTGTATCATACGTGGTTGACTTCGAATTGACTTGGCCCGATTTGTTTCATGATATATCTATCGCTGTCGTACTGTACTTTAAAAAACCCAGTATAGGCTTCATTGGTCATCTGTTTGTGGGGCCATTAGAAATATACAAGTCCCGCGTGCGAATTTGATGTAAAGGCGTTTTAAGTTCAAGATGAGAATGCTGTTCATTTTTAAGAGAGATGCGGCTAGAATATATATATACAGTATGTACCGGGGAGCTCTAGCTAACTGTATTTTTGGTGTAAAGTCTCCCACGTCAATGACATGACATATTTCTTTTTAGTACACAGTTGCTAGCCATATGATAGGACTCTATCTCCTGTCCAGAAGGACTTGACAACCGCTTTTGGCCTATGAGAGAAATACAGTGCTGTGGGTGGGATCTTCCTGCAAGTCGGATGGAGCGTGCGCGAGGGATGACACACCGCCTGGGCGACTCACTCCGTTTGACATTTGACAACGACGCGTCCAGACTCAGCATTGACAGTCTGCTCATCGACAAATTGTTTTCAGTGATGGTCACCGTTTCCAAGCTGGTCACCGTTTCTAAGCTGGTCACCGTTCATGAAGTCGTGCGCGACTGTTTACCAACGCTCATTCAAGTGTTTGCACAGCATTTCAAGTGTTGAAAAGCCGGTGAACTGTTTCAACAGCCAGTCAACTGTTGATGAAGCCGGTCAACTGTTGATGAAGCTGGTGAATTGTTTAGACAATCGGTCAATTGTTTAGACAGCCGGTCAAATTTTGATGAGAAAAGGCTCAACTGTTTACGAATGGTCATTTAACTGTTTACGAATGGCCATTCAACTGATTATGATCGTTCAGCGAACTGTTGACGAAAAAAGGCTCAACTGTTTACGCACGCTCAATTCAACTGTTTATGAGAACATGCTCCATTGTTTATCAAAGCAGGCTCCAATGTTCATCACTGGGTCAACCGTTCAAGCACTGTCACTCAAAGCTTCACGACGCTCAGTCAACTATCACCATAACAGACTGGTTGCCACCAGACTATGGACCACCGCATCTAACCGTCACCCTCAAAGCCACCATCACCCTCAAAGCCAACCTCAACAGCAATTATGGGTTTCCTGACCTCTGGGACAGACGTGAAAAATGCGTTGTTGCCCAAGTGTGATGGTCTTGATCGAGCGATCAGCCTGGACGTGCGTATACATCCTCTGGGTGTGCATACATTTCGTGAGACCAGGTTCTGGACTTAATACTACAATGGACGGCGAATTCGGTAACAGCAAAATTCTGGGTTTATTCGTTCTCTATACAACGCTATCTTGGAGTGAAAACAGACAATGGAATGCGCTCTCCTGGCCCTACTGCCAGTCTCTTCGCCCGTGGCCGGAGCCTACACAAGTGGTCTATCGATGTTGGCGCAGGTCTTGGCTTCTTCAACTGCAGAGCGAGAGTTGAATACTGGTCCCTAGCACCACGTAGAGGTGCCTGCACTTTGCTAGAGTTCCTTAGTTTCGCAGCTTCCCCCTGCGGAGTCCCTTGATGTCGCAGCTGTCCCCTGCGGAGTCCCTTGGTGTCGCAGCTGTCCCCTGCGGAGTCCCTTGGTGTCGCAGCTGTCCCCTGCGGAGTCCCTTGATGTCGCAGCTGTCCCCTGCGGAGTCCCTTGGTGTCGCAGCTGTCCCCTGCGGAGTCCCTTGGTGTCGCAGCTGTCCCCTGCGGAGTCCCTTGGTGTCGCAGCTGTCCCCTGCGGAGTCCCTTGATATCGCAGAGCTTGTACTGCGGAGCTGTGGCCATGGAGACCCTCAAGCCCGCAGACAAGAGATGGAGACCATGACACACGGGAGTGTGAGGAGGAAAGTCCTGATTTTTTCTGGGCCGGAAATGTGGCGCCATTTATGTCAAGTCGGTTACGTCTCTCCGTAGAGACCGTCTGCGAAGATTGATTGGGATGGCCACCGGTTTTTGAGGGGTGTTGAAGTGTTTAGACAGGCGTTGAAAAAGTCTTGCAAGAATTTATGGCCAGAAGACGCACGTCTGAACGATCCGCGGCCGACCTCATTTTGCCAAGAGGGACTGTCCCTTGGTTCCACGAAAGGCGACCATTCATTTCTGCGGTGGGTTACATTGGCAACTGTGCCACAACTGGTGAACAAACATTGAATCCGAGGATTTAAACGCTACGGTAATTAGATCGCGCAATGCATCAAGTTGAGCCAGATGGGCTACTGCAAAGCGTTGAAAGAGGGCTCAACGCGTTGGCCATGAACATACAATCACCGCGCCTACAGTGGTTAAACCAGAGCATGCGATGTACATGTTGAGGAAGGCGCACTATACTCAACGGTGTAGAAACACTGCCTCGTCTTGAGCAAAGCAACTTTTGTTTAGATTGGCATTGTTATGATGTTGATAATTGGTTATCAACCGTGTAGGAAAACTCCATCTTGAGCGAGAATGAGGCGGGCAGAGGAGAAATTTTGCACACGCCGACTGCAGACCCGCTGCTCTCTCCTACCTTTTGCACCAACTCTGCATCAAGGCCGATTGTCTACAGTCCACCTCAGTGACCACGCAAGCTGGAACCATCCGATTGCTTTCTCCGCCGAAAGACAACTAAGCCCTGATGCAATATGCGCTGTTCCTACTATCCCACTTGCCGATTCCCAAAGTCTCTCTAATCCGACAGAAGACACCACAGAGAACCTGACTTCTCATGAGCAGACTGCTGCATACCCCCAGATGAGGCAGCCCAATGGGCAGTGTCAAGGAAGTTGCGCACGACTGACCTCGGGGCCAAGATTTGAAGAAAAGCAGTGCCACTCAGAAAAGGTGATGCATTGAGAACTGCAACATGGTCCTTTCGCAATCCACCGCAGAGTGAATGTCCAGAGTCTTGACTGACAGCGAGGTTTGGCCTGCATGCTAATTCTATCAGACTAGACGATCGAATGAACGCGTGTCCTCGAGTCACCTACACTGCGGACACCATCTAGAATTATGCTTCATTCTAGCCAAACCAGCTCGTGGAATTAAAATTTGTGGTGACCTGGAGGGACTGCTATGACCAGTAATTGTGGAGATAATAGCAAGAGTAGAAATGGCCACGGCGGAGGCAGAAGGACCGGATGAGCGCCCCAGTGATAATTCCCATCGTGATCAGAATATTGTAATGGATTTCACATCTCTACTGAATTCCTCTCACGTATCTCAGCACTGCGCTCTGTCACTGACAATATGCAGCCTTCTATGATTCTACGACATCATGGCCAAGGAAATAAGATATCGAACCGGTCTCCGGTGTAGAACGGACCCATTCCTTGACCAGCTGGTTCCGACCGACGCAATTCACGTGCCTATTAAGGTTTAAGGTGCCGGCCGATCCGATCGTCCCGTTTCCAATTCTCATCGTAGATACTGATCTTACTCAGGTCGATAGCCTTGTTTTCGACATCGCTAAAGCTCCTGATCAGGAGGGCAACAGCCAATTCACCACAGCAAGAATATCTTCTACTATGATTCTTTTGCCTTTGCAATCGACGCTTGTGGCAAGGCAAAACCGAGGGTCTGCGAGTACCCTTGCAAGGCTTTGGCGTTTAGGGCTGGCTCCGCCAATCAAGTCAATTCTGACCCACCAGGCAGCCCTCCTTCTATTCCAATTTAGCGGTCCTGTAGACACGTTTAGGCCCCTGTCTCAAGCAATCTTGATTGGTTCGACACCTGCTGAGGAATCAAGGGACCTTGCCTGATGCGGAGAAGCCGTGAATGTTATTATGTATGACTCAAAGTACCAGGAGCCGGTTTCCGCATTGCCTGGCCAATCAGATGCCAGTATGGGGTTCCAGAACGTGTCGATCATTTTCCATGTGGCGCAAGACCCACCGCGGATGTAACACCCCCTGGACCACGAGCCATGGTAACTCCTTTTTCGTAAGTGATCCGTTCTAGGCTGAGGCAGATGAAGAGCCTTGACCGGACTTACGAGTTGGCTCTTAAACTTCGTCTCCGGGTATGTATATTGATACTAATGGCCAACTCGGTGACGTATACTTATTCTGACATGTCCTTTGAGTTCTTCATTAGATTAGACACCGGATAGCTGAGAATAAATTGCATACATAACAAAGAACATTCTTCCAACATTCTTCCGGTTCCCAATGGGCCCTGGTTGGCGTTGCCTAACGGCTTCTACCTCATAGTTGTTTGTCGCAGAAGCTTGGAGCAGAGATATTACTTGCACCGTGGCTGGCTGGCTTGAGCGAACAGAATCTTCGACGATCACAAACTGCCAAATCGTTCAACTTTTGCCCCTGCTCGAGTCGGCGGAGCGTTTTCATCACTGTTCCATGTAATTGGTCCGAAGCGAGGGAACCGAGAGATTAGATCAGCTCGGTATTGGAAGTATTCACGGCATGTGAGAGAACAGAATGACCTCTTTGATCTCGCTGATCTACCATGGCCTTGGACCGCAAGAACAGACACTTGGAGCTTAGCTGTAGATCATAATCTCTCTGGCGGAGTAGCTGCTGCACAATTGACACACTGCCCTGTGTGATGGCTATCGACAGAGCTGTTTGACCATAAGTATTGCATAAAGAAAACGAAGACCATCACACTCCAACAGGAGATCGACAACCTCGTGATCCCTCGCTTGCACGGCAAGCATCAAGGGTGTGTGTCTTCCATGCATCTTGTTGATATCCGTAGTGCACCTGCAGAGGTACTTTTGGGGCGCATCATGCTTTGGGGATCGTTGCCTATCCTAAACCATTGCGGGGCCATGAGAGGATGAAGCTGGTGGCATGAAGGTGGTAAGGTTGGATGAATTGTATGCAAAAATATGGATGAGATGTACTGTTGATTGACGAATGTGAAGATCTGGATGTGACTCTATATATGCTCGCAAGACCATCAATGAGATTAGTAGAGAGTAGCTCATAGATCCGTATCATACTAGTAGACTGCATTCTTGTGTAAATATGTCGCATTTGTAAGTGACGGCTGTGAACTCTTTTTAGAGCATTCGTTGTGGTATAGCGTGCGTGACATTCCACAAATACTATTTAGCAAGCAGGATAATGATGATAATATCTGGTAGCTAGGACTGTGGCATAGTTCTGATCAGAAAGAAAGCTTGTTGGAAAAAGCATCAATCTGCTCCCAGGATCCATTCTTGTACTCCGAGGACCATTTATGACATCATTCAGGATCTAAAGCTATGGCCCCGGGCGCTAGGTACTGTCTTCCGAGAGCAAGTTCTTTTGACCACCCACTTGAGTGTAATGGGTAAGCGAACAGACAGCTCAGGAAAGACGCCTTTTGCTTAAGTAAAAATGACAAGCTCCTAACTCATCTCTATAGGATCCCGCCTATCGATGGTCAGAGCCAATCGCCTTGGGTCTACTTACTGAGGTACGCGCGGACCGACTTCCCTCCAAAAACGACATCGTTCACCCCGCCCCCCCTCCCAACGATTCGCATTCGCTAGGCGGAGATGATTGACGACCCCCGGATCTTCACGGAGCCAAAAAGCAAGATGTCTGGTTACGTTTTTGTATAACAAATTTCCACCTGTTGTATTCAAATCCATCATGATGGGCAAGGAATCATTCCACATCGGCCAAAGGATATGTCCATCAGAGTTTTCGGGCACAATGGCGTCGCTTGCACCGCCCTTGGCATCCTGAATAGATACCACTGGAGAGTCTTTGATAATGAAGCTTCCCAAAATTTTCTGAACAGCATGTCTAATGCCTCTTGTTGGAGTTGTTGTATCAACAGAGAAATAGGCTGTCAAATCTGCTCCGTGATATGCCGGGGTGACTGAGTACTGATACTTCCAGCTCTCTTTGCCCTTCTTGCCAGAAAAAGCATCCATCAGCCAATAAGAAGGACAGTCAAAGGCTGTCTCGGCAAAGATGTTGTACACCGTCTGCTGGTAGCCGGTTGCAAACTCAGACTGATTCACCGCAGTGAGCCCATGGTCACCTAGAGTGTCGAAGAGAGGACTGAAGGGACCAGGAGAAGATGAGGCAAAGCCATAGATCTCCAATAAGCGACTCAAGTCCGAAGCAATGAATTGTGGAAACATACCCTTCACGTAGGTCATGAAATCTGCGGTGGTCTCGACATAGGGCAAACTCAAGGGAACACCGTCATTGGCATTATTCTGCGGAAGTTAGCAAGTTTATCGTAAATGATAGAGATGCTTGCTCCAAAGCATTGAGGTCCGGCTTACTTACGCCAGATAGGACACGTTTGCCGCTCACTTTCTTCTCTAGAAGTTGTTTTGATGGCAGCTCTCTAATTAACTCTCCATCAATGACAGGCAGGAAAGCAAAGGTTCCCCAGGCTCCCGAAGCCGACACAAACCCACTGGCATTTTGTAAGGTGTTAGTGTCTGTTTCCACCAAGCATGCGAATGTCTGCGGGCTAGCGCTGTTGTCGCCGACAAGGCAGCCTGCCTGTCTGGCAAATGCCTGATAATGTCCTGTTGGCACTTCGTCGTCATGCTGATACTGGGTCACAATGTAGGGGCTCGATGCGATGATCTAGGCAAGTCAGAATGAGTCAATCGCTGTGAGATCAAGCTCAAGGGAGTCACTTACATTGTTGAATAAATGGTCTTCTCGGCCACCATAAGCCATTGCTTGGAGGATCGCTGCGCCTGCCCCAGCTGACTCGCCCCCTATGGTGACCCGAAAAGGATCACCACCGAATTGAGAGATGTGTGCCTGCACCCATTCGAGGGCGAGACGCATGTCCAATAGGCCAACGTTTGTTTGACCATACTTTGCCACATCTGCAGAAGAAAGGAAACCGAATGCGCCCAATCGATACTGAATCATGACCGAGATGAATCCATTATCGTTAGTGTTGATCCATTCACTTGGGTTGTGAACCGCCCCGGAGAGACCATAGCCCCCACCATCTGATTACCAGCTTAGCACAGACGTCTCGAATCAAAGTATCAGAGGGATCTGTGGAGGGGTGTCAACTTACGGATCCATACAAGAACAGGGACATTTTCCGCACGTGGTGGCGCGTAGACGTTCAAAAACAAGCAATCCTCATCACCCAAGTCTGAATTAAATCCATAAACTCGAGGAAGCTGGGCGGCACCAGACTGAGGGCAAAGCGGCGGCTGGTTGTTTGCGGGAATGACTGTAGTCCGATTCACAATAGGAGGCTGCGGAGCTTGCCATCGCATTCGTCCTACCGGAGGGGTCGCATATCGAATTCTGACAATAAGCAGAGATGGATCAGTGCTCTGGAAATCCTCTCAGGTAATCGGCAACCTACCCTAAGAACACATTCAGACCCGTAGTACTGTTGTAGTATCCTCGATATGTAGCGTAAGTTAAATCGACCACAGTATTGTCTGTCTGTAGATGTGCCCCTACAGAAGTCGGGGTACATATCAAGATTGCAAAAAGAATGCCGCGGAGAGAAAGGAAAGAAAGCATGTCGAATCCGCTGCCAGTGGTCAAGAGATGAAAGTCAAAATAAGAGAGGCCAGACGCTGCTGCTTTTATTTTCATGTAGTGACCCAGAAAACGAATCCGCCAATGCGCAAGGCCATCAACGCAATGCAACATATCTCACCCGTTTGCACGAGGAAAGTCATTAATTTGATGAAACTCAATTTCCTGCGATATGATCAGTAATATCGATATTTGATTGTAATGTTGATGCTTAAGTTGAAGTTGAAGTTGAAGTTGAAGTTGAAGTTGAAGTTGAAGTTGAAGTTGAAGTTGAAGTTGAAGTTGAAGTTGAAGTTGAAGTTGAAGTTGAAGCTGAAGCTGAAGTTGAGCTAAACAAAGTATGCTACCTCAAATGTTCACGATAGGAACTGATGGGCCAAACTTGAGGCACGGGAGATTTCTACCACCTTTTTCTTACGTGCTATTTTTTATAAGAAATTGCTTTATCCAATCGACTAAAGTTCTTATTCCCTCAAATAACCTGGCACCACAGAAGTATTTCATTGGAAGTGCACACTATAATATGAGAGCAAGAAACCAGAATCACACAAAGCGCCGCACGGTATGGGTCAGTCAAACGGACTCAGAGCCATGCGCGAATGTCTCTGAGATTGCATCTGCAATGGATCAAGCTATTACGAAAAAGTTCGCGGGCAAAGAGCAGATGGCAGCGCTTGAGACCGAGGGATTTCACATGAAGTCGAAAGCCTTGCATGAAGATCCATGGAGCACATTTGAGCCAATTGCAGTTACCATCTTAGATCATTCATATGTTTTGGCTCGATACAAGGAAGACAAAGGCAGACTTGTCCAAGTTCGGAAAATGGAGCTGCAAGCATTCTCCGACCTTGGATTGCAACGAACGCTAAATCGCATCTCTCACCCCAGTTTTCGGTCCTTGCTTGGATGCTATCACCATGGTGATTCGGTGTTTTTGGCCTGGGAGCATGTAGAAGTTTCCGTCGTTCAGATCCTGGCATCGAAGCTCGTGATGAGGGCGAGTGAAATCATTGCAATTGTCAAGCCGGTAAGCGGAGTCACATATTGTTTCACAACAAGAGCGATCGCTGATCATGAACAGATACTCGAAGGAATCCAATACTTGGCTGAACGCGGGAGGGTGCTGGCCACCTTGACAATGAATACCATCTTTCTCACTCAGTCTGGCAAAGTCAAGATAGGTACGCATATCAAATTGACCCCTGGTCTCCAACCTCCTTACTAATCATATCTTTCACCAGTGGGTGTCGAGGACAGCTGCGAGATAACCGCTTCGGAAATGGATGCTGCGACATTGAAGCTGTACGCTTTAGCGGATATTGTCATCAAGCTTATGGGAAAATGCCATTCGACGCATGAGTGGCCTGTCGAGATTGGAATTCTGCCTGATCGGCTTAAATCACGCTCCTTGAGAGAGATTTTGCAGGTGAATGTCCTCCTTTTCTTACAATGCTCTAAGACTAATTTCCCAGACAACCCTCTTTCAGCAAACGCCATGTCCAGAAGAGTTGATCTTGCTTGTCAACTTAACGAACAAGATCGCGTTTCATCGAGTCGAATCTCATCCTCATCGTGTATGAGAACATCAATGTCCTTCAACCTGACCCATCCAACCCTTCGACTACTGACAGCCTTTCAAATACGAAAAGATGAGCAGCACATCTAGTGCTAAGAAAGAAAGGCAAGTTCTATCGTGACCGGGCGGATTTTCTGAATATCTTTAAGTTGCAAGCTGCATGCATTAGTCGTGATACAATTTGTAAAAGATCTATCAAATTAATCTCAATCTGTATTTATCGCTAGAGAGTATCATACTTCAGACACTTAACTTAGACGTTCAATTCTTGGAGTCTTTTATGTACACGGACATCTGTAAGCATGCTTTCGTTTACAATGACATGCGAGAAAAGGAAATAAGCCAATACACACGCTTCTTGGAATGAAGTTCAGAGGGATATTTTTAGTTGTAAGGAGGACTCACATGTAGAGGCTCATCAAAACAACCACTCACCTTGTTCATTTAAGTTGGGACTGTAAGATTTGCTTATCTACCTGCAAAGATATAGGAGGAACATTTCACAATCTTGAGAGGTTTTGGGAGTATGACATCTGTTCTGGTTGGCCACCAATATCTACCCAACCTTAATCTAGAGATAAGCAAAGCGCCTCTTCGAAAGTAGAACTCCATCTTGGGTATCAAATTCATCCCAGACTTTGCACAATGAAACGTCTGTGCCATGAACTTACTTGTGGTCGAATCTTTCTACAAAATCTGTTGTATTCTCTCATAGCATTTATGACTGAGATTTATACCGCATTACCATTGGAAAAAGGCAGTCGCAATGCACAAACTGAAATTTCGAAGTATCACAGGAAGCTGTCAAATCTTATACCAAATTTCACGATTATTTTAATCCCACAACGATCCAGCGATTATCTTGTCGATCAATGGCCTTCATCTTCCACCACCTTATACAGTTTGATTGCACATCGAATGCTCAATATAGACATCACTGATGGCTCGGACTGCGGCGAAAAGCACGACAAGAGCAAGGTGACAACTGAGTGCGCGTGGAAGAAGTAGGCGGGGAGTATGAAACAGCCTTCCCGAGAATACCCTTTTCAGGATCTGGAATAATTGGTTTCATGGCTGCTAAAGCACCAAAAATAGGAGTTCCGGTGCATACTGGCTCATCTTCGGGAAGAAGATTTCGCGCCAGACCATTGAGTTCAACATTACTTCCTGGCTGAGGGAATCGAATGTCCAAATTTTGTTGAGTCATACAGCCATTTATGTTGGCGATGAACATGGGTGGAAAATCATGCGCTTGGGACTGTATGCTCTGGTTGAATACAGGCGATGAAGGATTGTCCACGGTGATTGGTGCACAGTTCATGTACATCTCACTATCTCCAATACGATTGAACCATGTCCAAGCCAAAGTATATTTCCCGGAGTGAATATTTTCAGGTATCGCGAAATCGAGTTGAATGCCATTGTCAGCATTGGCGCCTCCGCTTAGACCTCCTTCTACATTTGCAGGACAGCCACCTTCATAAGACTTAATGACCTTCCATGTGCTTTGTTTGGATGGCGCGAGGTCTTCAGTGAGGCTCAATTGGCACGATCCGCCGCCGTGGGTTGCACTTCCTTTGAATCTCATTGTGTTGACAACACCAACGTCGTATACAGTTTCTTCCGTAGGAGCCAGAAATGCATCTGTGCGTAGCTTGCAGGGGAAGTCACTTCCGTTGTTAGCAAGAGGAGAGTTGTTGAGGGTTTTGTTGCTGTAGGGCTCAGGCGACATCATGATCAGATGTCCGCTGACCACCCGTAAGACAACCGTCTCTAGCAGTAGAAGATATTTAATGAGCATAGCGATGGCCGTAGACTCCAATTGATCTTCACTATTATAAAAATCTTGAAAACAGCTGACAGATCTGGATGTAAAGTAGAGGTCGAGAATCTGGAAGCTGGGAGGGGGTTTCATTATATAAGGCGCCTGCATGACGATGAATCATTGCAATCGATCTGAGAAGAAAAAAATATGCGGACATTCTCGCGTTTGACTTGACAAATACACAATTGAACATTAATGCGCCCCCGCTGGCGCTTTGGCGTGGAACTATTATTGAGCAAGTCGCATCCAATTGAGGGATGAAGAGATGTTTTCTGAGCCGCGATTTGCATGTTACCGCAATAATTATTTAATTTTCTAGTCACGATAAGAACTTGGCGTTGGAGCCAGGGAACAATTGACGAAGTGTATCTGTAAGGCAATTTCGAGAACGACAGTATCACAACAATGAGTTTGGTATCGGACCTATATTTCTCGGTCCCGAGAGAGGAAGTACGCACCAGTACGTACTAGAGTGAACCTATCAGACAATTGCACGATGATTAGAGGATAGGTTCTATTCGGGACTATTGTGAGAACCCCTTGCGTCGGGTCCACGATATTCCATGCGGGGGACATCGCACACAAATATCACTTGGACATCCCCTCCCTCGAAAAGACATCGCGGTTTCGAGCGAGAGCCGGGCTCTCGTCGCAACGGTTTCTTCTCGCCCACCGCGGAACCCTTCTTGTATATACCACGTATCCTCCTATATAGCTATGTTTCCTCCAGAGTACACGGAGTGCCACGAGCCCGCCTGCAGCCCTCACGGCGCTGTAGCTCTCCGTCAACGAGGCCTACATCGTCAGTTTCCAGACTGCAGGTGCCCCGTGTGGGCCAAAAGAATCTCATTCGTCTCCACTTGTATCAGCGTAGCAATGGTTGGAATAGATGTGTCTATATAACTCTGGAAGCAAAATGAAGAGGCTTCCTTGTGCTGATTCATCAGTTGATGCCTTGAGAGTTGGGAAGAAAGCGCTAGTTAGTAAGATCCGCCAATTTACTACTCAGTGTTTCTCAAGATTTCCCCAGCTCCACTTCTTGCATTAGCTGAATTCCAAGAAGCGGAAAGCCTCCTATGGAGGCACTAGGTATGAAAGATTTGTCAGCTAATTCAACGCAACTTATTTGTTTAGAAGCCCACATACCGCTTCCCAGACCGCCAGTGATGGCCGCCCAATAGACCGCCTACAGACCGCTTTCCAGATGTGATTTCGTGGTTTCAATACGCATCCAGACCATCAAGAAATGTTGGAAGTCTATGCAAGTATCTTACAAATTGAAGCCAGTTAAGATGGACAAACTAGTCGCTCGAGCCTCAACTTAAGTGTTATCTGATTGAGCAAGGTAATTATAAAGTGAGTGAAAATCATTGCTGGTGATCACTGCCACTGAGTCTTTTCACGAAATTTGATCAACGTGATGCTCTTATTACTAGGGAGCTGATCAGACACGCAGCACAGGCTTCTCTTGGCACATCCTGAGGACCTGAGCTTTAAAGCGCCTACATCAGAATTTCACAAAGCGCGCTCAAAATTCCAAGGGACTGATAATTGAAGTCTCCTACCAACTTTTCAATGCTATGCCGAGAATGAGAGTCTTGTCGTACAGAGACAACAATTATCACCCCCAATTCTCCATACGAGGTGTAGCCGTGCATATTAACTCATGTACTCATAGATTTTGGCCGAAAATAGTTGCATAAGACAAGTAACGCCTACGCGAGACCTCACTGCGCTCGCGAAGATAAAGAAACAGCAAACTTGGAGTAAGCACGGACAAATACTTCTCTTAGAAAATATCAACACAACAAAAGTAATGGTTCTAGCTAGGGAGCTCAAACTCTACGTTGCAGAACGCGACATTCCCCTTGGTGCAAAGAAGCTGAAATGTTTTCGGCAATGCATCTAATGCCAAACCTCAACATCGTAGACGTAGCAAATTCCCTCATTCATGGGCCTCTTGCGAGAATGACTCATTGTCGACTTGTCCTGACTCTGTCTCTACCTCCGTGGGTGATATGGCCATGCTTCCAGTCTTTTCAAGATCTTGCTCGGTGACGAATTTCGGAACAGGGTAATATGAGTCCTAGGGAGATTAGTCTTTATCACGACAATCTCATTTGGCGGCTTACAGTACCAGTTTTGATTTGACAAATTCCCAAAACCCTGTACTATCTGCAGACAGGATGAAGACCTTCCCTGTCTCGTGTAGTCGTATCCCGACACAGACGTCGGCATCACAGATTTTGCTGTACTCGGATGCTTTTTTCATCAGACAGATTCTGCGGCGTCCTTGCTTTTGGCGTATCGAATTTTTGCTCGCATGAAATACATGCGACTGATTGGAAGTCGTAGGAGTCATATTAGTGATTGAGGAATGCAATGCAAAGTGTCACTGTGACTTTGGTAGTCGGAAGATCTCAAGAGAAAGCAAGGAGACAGGTATTCTTTGTATCGCCCATGCTCCTCAGACGTGTGAAGAGCATAAACCTGGGGTCACGCTTTCTTGCGTCTTGAATGTAACCAAGTAATAAGAGAACGTTTGGGTACTGTTGAAAATCATATGTAAGAACAATCTACATAATAATGTTTCAGGGCTCACCAAAACTTATTGCCTTCAACGTTCGGTTTTCATTTGCTTTTTCCCCTTGTTTAAAAACTTGGCCTAGCCCTCTATTCAACGATCAATTTTTCTTAATTAACGAAGACGAAGTTCTACAAGCCACGTCTGTATTTCTTGGACTCAAGTTCCTAATTGCTCTTTCAGTATGGACGTCGCAATTGCAAAAGAGGTATGGCAAGCATGACAACCGATTTACAGACTAAGCTGAACAAAAAACTCTAGTCAGGCCGCAAGGATGTTCGATTAAAAGACAATCCATGTGATGCTCAGTGCGGTAATAATCTACTTCATAACCGCTGAAAGCCAGACGCTTATGCCTATATCAGCGTCTCGGAAGTCGCTGCATGCGATTTGCTAAGAGGAATGCCTGCCATCATTAATCGAACTGTTCTTGATTGGATTGTGTGATTGAGTGCTTAAGCGGTATTCGAGTGAACGAATCCTCGGCTAGCTCATTCTCACGTAACAATTGCACACGGTTAGTCCAGTTACAACAGGTTGTCATTTTTTCCATCTTTTTTCTGCGTAGTCAATAAACAACGAGGCCGGTGCATTTCTTACTGCCTAACCTTGTCAACTGGCTAGGTATGTTGTATGTTTACGCAGCTGCGAGAAGCTTCCGTAGTATCGATCAGATATATGCCTTTAGTTGAGAAGTGAAATGCAGGCCAGGTGTTAGGTTTTCCAATTCAATTATATAGAGCGCAACCACCGCAGCCCCAGGAGCAAAAGTGGCTGAGATTCAAAAGCATATTGAACCATCTGAACTAGCCAGAGTTGTCTATATGAAGATACGAATGGATTCAAGGTGGAAATCCACATATTTGGTCTTTTCTTTGTATACACAACCTCGTGTCTTCTCAATGAACAATAACCATCTATTTGTCGTAAACACAATGCTGTCAGCGGTTCAAAGCAGCATCGCCGCATCTTGCATAAAGCGGGCTCAAATTTAATGCAAAATCAATCTGTTCCCACAATGCGAGTCAGGAGCACGTAAAAAACACATACATGATTTCATCGCTTCATAATCGCGTGGTTGTGTAGTCGATCCTCGTATTGCTTTCATGTGATTTTCTTGATTCACGTTTTGATTCCGTATTGTAATGTAAATAAAGTATCAATTCAAGCGGTCTCTAAGCGGTCTGTAAGTCTGTGAGCGGTCTGGCATGCGAAGTCACCGCCTTTCCCTCATATTGGACTAGCGTATCCCCGATTTTTTGCTCAAGAACTACACGAATCACGAAAAGCGACGTAAACAGACTAACCCTCCCTGTGAGACAGTTCGAGCTATATTTTCGACACAATATTTTCACAACGAATTGTAGAATTGTCTGAGGTTAAGCCTCGTTGGGAAGAGTAGATGATTGAGCCTGCCGTAGTTGCGATACAGCCCGGTAATTTTCTTCTTTATGTCATGGCAGCCAAATAGGACGTGTAAGGATACCGTGGTATTTTGAGGAAATTCAAAACAGATTGAGCATCGATATTGTACATTCGTCAAGAAAGTATCATCGCGAAAGTGGCTAAAGAATATTACGACCATTGCATCCGCAACGATGCGCTCACACCAGGCGTCACTCTTCGCCTACCTCAACTCAAGATGAGGGGTATAATACCGTGCCTTCCCCGCACTGTATCATCATACTTGATTATTCATCGTCTGCTTGCATCCGGACGTTATGTATGGTAATTTGGGCATACCGGAAAAACTCGACTGTAATACGCAGTACATGACCTTGAATCGTTTTATATGGTCCTTGCTAATCCATCTTGCTATCAGTTGATCATTTTCGATAGTGGCTAATTCGAGCTCATAATGTCAGGAAAATTCTCCACCCCGGGCTACTGGGCACGTGGAGATCCATTTCATCCTCGGTGGGCTTGCCATTTACATCATGTAGCCAATGATCTTCGGCTATCGTTTACCTAAAGGAAGTGAATGCAGAGTTCAGTCTCTTGACCAATTTTACAACAATAGAATGATGACTGATTAAATGCCAGAACCCGGTCATCGTGGTTCTCAGCTCCTACACGTGGCTAGACACCAGACCTTTCTAAGCATTTTTTCAAAGTGTCTTAAGGACCGTTGTCATCGGAAATAAAAAATGACTTGTGAGATTTTCTAAGGTCGCAAACTGTGTGGAATACTAAAACTTCTGGAAATTCATCGAGGGTTCAAGGAAAAGATCATCATCTCTTCTTGTGTGATGTGCTCCAATAAACTTGTATAGACCCCTTGCTTCGCCCAGGGAACTTTTGTGAAAATTGTTTGGCCACCTCCGACCAAGGGAGGTTTTGCTCATCTCTTAGTTGCACCAAAAGACGGTCTTCCTGCAGAGACCACGGTAGTCCTTTTCTTGAAGAGGTATACTGCATTTCAACCAATTCAGTATTCAAGGTTCTGTGTTCGGAGTCGGAAGTCATGCCATCACATTGGCTTGGGAGGTGTCTCAAGGGAGAAGCGGCACCGGCGCTCAAGGGTGTAGAAGCACAATAAGACAAAGCGCCCTCAAAAAGCCAGGACAGAAACTGTACACGGTCTTCAACTGAAAGTTCAGAGAACTGATCGCAGACCTTCAAGAAAGAAATGCTCTGACGATTACCAGAAGTCTTGTTGGATCGACCGGAGCTCCTTTTCGTATGCATTTTCCTCACACCTGAGGAATTTATTGTTCTTGACTGGCATTCAATTCCCATCATCTCCTTTGACTTTTGTCGTATACGTTGAGGAGGTGAGGCTTGGCTCTGAGAACGACTGGGCGTCGCGGGACAACCTTCCAGATATGTTGCAGTGGCATGAATACTCTCCGTTGTTTGGGCCTGCTCAGTACCCGGAGGATCATGACTCATCAAGACTGCGGGATCGATTGCTTCGATATTCAGAAGCTGTTCAGTCTGCTGAGCATGGCGTTCGGAATCGGCAGCTTGAGGTTCCTGGCGGGCAAAGTCGGCGAGTTCTGAGTCGTCCCATCCGAAGCTGAGGAATTGATGATCAGCTTCCTGGTCAATATTGTCGGTCGATCTTATAGAGGCGAGGTCATCAACGTCCACTATATTTTGTGGTTGCGTAACGATCTCGGAATTCGCAGACTCGGGGTAATGGATAGTTGAAGGTGTTCGGCCTAAGCTCGCCGACTCGCGTCGAGTAATTGGAGTTTCTAAATATAAACCCTCCAAACAGGCTTCCACCGGCGGGCGGGAGGGTAGGGGATGTCGTTCGGATTTGTGGAAGTCAATTTCGGTGCGCCTTACGCCTGGTTTGTTCGAGTTCAAGGGCGGCGGGGTGGCAGTGATTGAGACTGGACTTGGGTAGCGACAAGTCCCTGCAGGTTCGCGCAGAGGCCGAGTTCTAGCTTGTGGAGGATTCCATGCACGAAATGATTCAAGGCGGAAGTTCGTGCTTGACATGTTGATCAGAATGGGTAGCGAGAACAATTTTGAAGGTGTAATTTTGAACCTAGATAAGGAAGGAGATGGGAAAGGCTCAAATATGGGGGGAATTGGGTTACGGAGCAGGGGTAAGGGGGAAGGGACGGAGGATATTGATGGGTCTCTGTCTGATTGAGCTTCTCCAAGAGAAATCCCATCTCCTTTATAGACGAGGATTGTCAGTGAGACGGCGGAGTGCGCTCCGTCCACTTCCGCCAATTCGGTTCGATTCAACAAAAGGAGCGGAGCCACACCAATTACACAACAAGGTATTGAGGACCACCAATACCGGTAACAGCATGCGAATACCTTGGCTGTTTCCCATTGTAACGTTGTTCCACAAATATCGTTAGTCTGGGTCTGGCCTCCAATCGTTCAAGTGTGCACATGAGCAGGGACCATCTGCGGAAAGCACCATCGTCGGCCCCGTGACGCAGTGCATGGCATCGAGTGAGACCGGACGACAATGCGGCAATTCTGCCATTGGCCCATATTATGACATTATCGTCCAAAGTCTCGTCGACTGGGTAACCAAGGCCAGGTGAAACCGACCATGACGACACTCTTACCCTGGGGCGCTCTCGAACGAGCGGGCCAGGGTGAATCTGCACTACTGCGGGCTGTACAATGCAACCTCGGATGGAAAGTGGCAAATCGGGGCGTAGGCGTCGCGCTTTTCGAGGCATTGTTACGCGGCCGCGCAAACCCATGGCCAGCGCGATTGAGCGAGACGCGTGAGACAAGGAGGCATATTCGAGAGCTTCATGGTATATCCCACCGTCGGTGGACAGACTAGATGAAAGGGCTGGTACCGTATTGCACAGAGTAGCCTTTAGTCTCATGAAATCGAACCGTCTACTCGTGAGATATCGGACGTTGCAAGCAACGCTGGCCGAGAGGGCGGTGGGTCAAGCAGCGTCTCCGGTGAAATGAAGGGGCAGCGCATCGGGTGGCGAGCCAGTGCAGGGGGGATAGTGGGGACTGTAGAAAAAAGGGGTGAGAAAGAAAAAGGAAGAGGGAGTGCGTGGTCGAGTCGCGGAGAGGACGAGCGGTGTTTTATAGATGGAGGGCAGGCGTGGGAGCCAGTAAAAGCGGCCAGAGGGGCACTAAGCCCGAAGGGGCGCGTAGGGGTGGACGCTAACCCTGCTGGGGCAAGACCATGGCGGGAACCGGCAGGCGGTCAGAAGCGGCGGAAAACTGGTGCAATGAGAGCCGTTTCTGGCCCCCCGCTTGCCGTCGTGTGGAATACTTCTATTCTTTATTAGGTAGTCTTATTATATTAAGCTCTATAGGTTATAGTCTATAAGGGTTATTATATAACTCCCTAGGCTATTATTAATAGGCTCCTAACTATAAATAGTATAATTAGCTAGAATTATTTTTCTATTATTTATTTTTTTATTATTACTATACTCTCTTATAAAATTAATTATTAAATTTAACTATTATCTTAATAAGTTTACTTAGTTTATTAGGTTTATTAATTTATATAAGTTTATTTTTAACTTCTTCCTTTAATCTATACTTAAATAACTAAATATAGGTATTATTATTTATATCTAGGTATAAGATAATTTATTAGAATTCTACTATATAACTACTAACTAAGCTAGTTTATTATAGTTAATTAAGCTTTCTTTCTACTATATATACTATATTAATATCTCTAAAGATCTATTTAAGTTTCTATTTAAATTTATTATAAGACCTAAAGATATCCTTTATTATATTACTCTATTTTTTTATTAGTTTCTTATTAAACTCCTAGATATAGGATTTAAACTAGTTAAATACCTATCTCCTTAAGTAGATAGATATATAAATAACTTTATCTACTTCCTCAGAGTAGTAAATAATATAAAGTTATATTTCTATTTAAGTTAGGAAGCTTTAAAGCTAAGTTTAAGCTCCTTTAAAGAATATAGGCTTTAGTAGTTTAACTATTAGTACTAAGTAGTTATTTAGGGTAATAAGCTACTCCTAGAGCTAGCTTATTATTACTATAAGTTATTTATTAGTAGATATTACTATTATAGGTAATATAATAGATATTATAGTCTACTATCCTCCCTAGTTATTAGCTATTTTATTTAGTACTATATTAATTACTAATTTTATATATATTCTATAAAGATAGGATAATTAATATATTATATAATACTCTATAATTATAGTAAGTATTATTTATTAGGGCTTCTATTTACTAAGTAGATACTCAATCCTTAAGTCATTAATTCATAACTATACTATTACTAGTTAATATTAGGCCTTATATAGGCTTAGGTCTATAGAATAGACTTAAAGGGGTTCTATATCTAAGAGGGTATTACCTAGTTAAGCTATACTTAGGTTCTAAGTTAAGAGACTAGAGACTAAGGATATCTCTTCTAGTAGGGGTTTATATTATATAAAACTAATAGGTAAATAAACTATTAGGTTCTAAGTAATAATATATGATTGATTGTAAGGAACTAAATATATATAGGTAATAACTATCTTATATACCTAATCCCTTATATTATTTAATAAGTCCGGGACTTATTACTTAATATCTTCCGGCCTTATTGATTGATGAGCTGGTCTCATCGCCCGATAAGTCGTCATGTGACCATCGTCTGTGGGATCCTGATATTCCCAGGATCCTATCGTTCGCACAACACTAACAGCTATCACTCATCGTAGGATAATAGTATTCTTAGGACAACTGGTGTCCTGCGGAATCCCCTAACCGTGGTGTATCCTAGGATACTCTTGTTCATGTGATAACTGTTGTCGCGCGAAACCGTGGCCCGCGTCTTGTCGTAGGAGGTTTCCTATCCCAGGGATCCTTGATCCCTACGATATTGTCTATCCTGCGATAAGCCATTTCTCGCGTTGCCTTCTCAAATCATAGTCTTCCCGTAGCGACCCTGTATTATTCTGTATTGTCTGGGTACAACGGAATGGCCATGGTTCCTGGAACCATGCCTTCCACGTGACCTGTACGTCAGACAATTCGGTTGGGTCTCGTTGCCCCGCGGGAGCGCGACCCCTGTAGGTCCGTAACACTGTGCCCACTATATACAATTTCACCATATCCTACGCGACATTTGATAATCTTAAAGCTGCCATAGATATAATCGCTGCCACTTGCATTGATTACTACACTCTATATTGGCTACAAATTAAATTGAACCAGATGTTGACCAACTTCACGGATATTACCTCTTCTTACGACTCCAAATTGGATGACTATATTGATTATGTCAAGTCGACAATCAAAACCCAGCTGGACGACTTCATAAGTCCTAACAAACCGTTGGAACCCGAAAACCAATTATTGGAATGCACGTACAGTCGCCTTAGAGTGAATAATACCCCGAATTCCTGTCTAGCTGATATCGGCATAGACGCAGGCACTTATTCGGTGTTTTACATGCTTTTGGATGCAGACGGGTTCTACAGTAACCTTACCAAGATATACGGTATTGTTAAAGCATGGGTTCAATTTGGGGAGGACCCCTTTAATATCACCTGTACTGGGCAGTCATCACGGAACCCCTGTGAGCCGCTACATCTAACAGACAAAGGGTTTCCTGTGAAGGCACCGGATAGCGACATCACGGTGACCAATCTCAGGGACATTATGACAACTGTAATGCCTAACATTCAGAATCTCACGCAGACGATGAGTGTTGCCAAGATGGAGCTGGCGTTGGGTTCGTGGATGGGTGCAACGGATGATATGGTTCAGTCAATCTCTATGGCAATCTTCTTGCTGAGCCAGCCTGTGACGAACATACAGAATGTAGTCATAACAGCAGACGCTTATGATGTCGAGAAAAAGAAGGAGCTGATCAACGACATCCTTATGGAGATGCTTCTCATGATACCCTTCTTAGGCGAGCTGGACCTGGTAGTGGATGATGCCTTTGCTGGTATGTCACGGATTATCATGATGATTGGCGATGCTGGGGTGGGCGTCACAAACATTTATTCGATTGCAGAAGATCCTAAGATGGCACCGATTATCATTTTAGAAGCTTTACTACTTACTGGTACGCGGGATCCGGGGGACTTCTCGACCATGGCCACTGCGAGGAGAGATATGACCAAGGATGATTTGGCAAGTTTAGGCACTGAGCTGGAAACACTGGATGGTCAGTTTCGGAAGATTGTTGTTAAGTGCTTAGTGTAATAATGTATCTGTCTGAAAGGGGAAAGAGAGGAGACAGAAACAATCCAGATTATGGATGCGGTCTGGAAGGGAAAAGAAGAGAAGAAGAGGGAGAAGCCCTGATCCATCAACAAGCGCAGTCACATGAATCCTGACAATATCCAATTCTGTTATTTTCTTTTGGCTGCAATATGAGCCTGTGTACTAGGTCTCGCATGTTTTGGGATACTAGGTACATCTTTAACAGATTGACGGCGTGGCGCCGTAGAAGTAATTTGAATGATAATAATACTCCCGCAGATGCCTCAGTCCGACGTAACCTGTTAGCTCTGGTAGCTGATTAAATACCAATACCTATCTATGATGGAATGGCCAGTTAAGGACAATGCTTAGTAGAGATAGAACGGACATTTCGATTCGCTGATTGGTTTTTATAAAGAGAATAACAAGAAAGCGTCGGCGTAGTTATTCAAGCATGTACATGTCTTTGGGAGGCACGTGGGTACTTCGCCTTGATGGTGATGCAGACGGCAAATATGGTCGCTCATATGCAACCTCGAAAGTATCTCTTTCCATGCCCATGCCGGCCTCAATTCGGTTCGGATAGTCAGCAAAGAAGGGGTTCCTCCCGCCCTCATAGAGAAATTCGTGAAGTTCCTTTTCGACCCAGATTTCTTTCCCTATATATGGAGGATCCATATCCACTCCAATACTCAAGTTTGGTCGGAAGGCGGGCTCTCGCTCGTGCCATCTCAAGGTATCGCGGATCTCGTACAAAAGCGAATAGTAGTTCCCGCCGTCATCCAAAAAGATTAGGAAATTCAGCGATACGGTCTGGATAGTGGTCGATATAGCTGTTAGTAGGCCTATGAGGTCGGATTGGGTTACCATGAACCGTGATAATTGGAAGTGCCTTAGGTTATCCCAGTAACAGACGGGAAAGACCTTTTGCAACGGGATAAAGTGCGCCATCGAACCGCCACCCTCGGGTACTTCAGAACCAAGACGATGGCTTGAATCCATCCCGAGAGTGGTAAATAGACTAAAGTGCTCGAGTTCCTCGGCTTCGCTTAACATCTCCGAAAGGAAGCGAGTCCGGAAAGCAATCCAATCGCAGCGCCGGCCTTCCTGTCCGCCGACGGAGAGGGAAAGATCGAGACGCCGAAATCCCGGTCTGGAAAGAAACGTGACCAAATTGTTATATTCCTCGCAATCGGTGTAAAATATCGAGCAGTTCAGTCCCATAGGGAGTCCATTGACGTCGATCAACAGCTCTATGACACGGTGCGACACTTCTTGAGCCAGTATCCGTGTGACCATGCAAAATCCATGCCATTGTTCCTTATGGCGTTCGTCTTGATCTTCCCAGAGCGATGTCGTATTTCCTCCTGCTGGCCATCCGCGCGGAATAGGGTAATTGAGCCCATAGGGAAAGGCGCGGATCATGGGTGTTTCGTATAGTGGAGCGAATACCCATCCATGTGCAGCAGGGGTAATAGTTACCCGCCTGAGGGAGGGGAAGCGCGTTAACCCGTAAAGAAATGCTTCCTCGTGCTGCTTCGAAAGGAGCACTTCGTCCTGCTGTTGGACCAGATTTTGGTAATATTGCCAGCATATTCCCAGTGGTAATTGAGCATTGACTTGATTTGCCCGCGCGATATGATGTGGCAGGTCTACATCTTGTCCCTTGCGAAGAGCCAGATGGACGATGTTCTGGTGGCAAGCCTCGGCAAACCAGTTTGGGCAGCCTTCGGTGCTCATGGCGACAATTTCCTCCAATCTTTGTCTGTTAAATCCTGAACGCGTACCAAGTTTCCAAAAGGCGAGGCGTGCATCGTCGTAAATTATTTCAGCGATTCGCTCCCGGTACTGTTCATGGTCTGCAATGGCGCGAAAGACCCTGATATTTGTTGGGTCGGCGGAGAGGAACACGCGGGTGAGCCGTAGCTGGGCGATCTGACTGATCCAGGTACATGTTAACCGGAGCGATTTAATATCTGAGTTTAAAAGCTCAGCGCAGATCAGTCCGATCACTTCAACCGGGAGGTTGGTCACATGTGCCATTTCTGGAGGTTAGCTAGACGTGGCGGGGTTATGCCGAGTCCTAAATATTTCCAGATTAGAAAGTGTAAGCACTTGCGTTGATATGGAGCTTTGCCAGGATCGCTTGGTTTTAGCTCCCTCACTCGCCAATTTCTGCCTCTAGTCGCTTAGCAAGCCCAAGCCTGCTTCAATGTAACCATCCAATCTTGGGTTGCTTTTACGCGCTAGTGATGGACGGGATGCTTGCGTATCTGAAGTCCCGCCCCTGTTCAATACCTAGTAGCTATCCTAAATCTTATTACTTAGGCTCCGGTGGTTATTCCTCCTGTATAATCTATTCATTAATTAATTCCTCGTTCTGCCTAATTATCTACTTCCCGTCTTTTTACTACTTTCGTTGATTCTAACCTTGGGGGCATAACATCCTTTCCCCTAGGCATGTTAAGCTAACCGATCTGCTCTACAGTAATAAAAAGCAGTATTCAACAAGAGTCATGCTCAATAGTCAATATGTACCATTTTAATCTGAATCTTACACACATGCGTCATTTTGCCTATGAGATATTATTATTATTTTGCTATACACCGGCTGACAGCGTAAAATAACAAATCGCTCACGCCGAAACTGAAAATCTAACGAACCTACTGGTGGCTTTAAGCTAAATCAGCTATATACATGTAATGAGAGTCTGCGAATTTGCCGAAATTATATGCACATAGTATATGTATAGTGTCAGATATGTATATGTAGGTTGAGAATTACAACATTCAATATTACTATCTACTAGTACATATGTGCATTGATAGACGCTTTGACATATCAATATAAACCATCTGCCCTACAAGGATTGGCTAATTTGAGCCGCTTCCTGACTCAAGTGCTATCTGGAACCTTCAAACATTGAATGTTATGACCTTCAAGGATACATATAATATCAAATATATACATACATGTAAGGATAACATTTGAACATTTGAAACCTACAAGGTATTCAAACGACGTTTCAAATGTTGATGAGGATCGCCAACGATGGCAATTTATAGGTTGTAGGGCAGTATATATATATAGCATCAGTTGATGTATGAAATCAACTTCTCTGGATACTGTGTAAATATGTAGTTACCCTTTGCACCAAAATACGTTTCGGTTCTTCTTGGTCTGGATCACTCAGCTGGTGGGAAGCATTGGGGATGACCAAACTGCATGGGTCCCAATATTCCATTCCACCGACGTCGATAGCCCTCTCCCACCGTTGGAGAAGCGCAGCCTTATTGACCCAGGAAGGAACAGATTGGTCCCGACCCGAATATAAAACTAGCAGCTTCTGGTTAAGAAGGCCCCTGACCCCGACCATTCCGAATGTCTGAGCAAGGCGCTCGTCGCTGAGGTCCGAACTAAATAGATCATCCTCTTCGGGGTTTTCTGGACTGTCAGGGCTGGTCAAGCTCAAAAAGCGCCGGCTGCTCACCGGTGCCGAGGTTGGATATCCAATCCGCCCAGTAACAGACAACGGTACAAGAGTATCCACGGAATTGCCATCGTCATAGGTTTTTTTTCGCGCCTCTTCCACGGCCTTGTTGTAAAGGTCACGCATCTCAGAGGGACTATCACGCTCGGTTCCGTCATTCAGAACTTGAAGAATCCCCTCACGATCCGACACAGGGGATTGCATGATAGCTCCATCGATAGCGGGGCGTAGGATAGGTGTCCAATCGCGATCGAAAATAGGATGTGCAAGTCGAGGATTTGGACAATTGATGTAATGCATTACGTCTTGGCAACCCGTGGAAGAACCCATAACAACCACTTTTCCAGCTCCATAATGCGGTTCCTTATAAGTTCGAACATAGTCCACACATTGCGCGATCTCGTCGATATCCTGGCCTAGTCGGCCCATGCCCCAACCCCCATAGGAACAACTCAGAACCAAATTGAAGATTGTCCATTCTGTTCCCTCAAGTGCAGATGCCAGATCCGCTACATATTCGACTGTACCGAGACCATCACCTAATCCGCCAACAAAGATAAGAGTATGTGGTTTGCGGGGGGATCCACGGGTGTGTTCGAAGGCGACAAGCCGGGAAGTCTGTCGAAGCAAAACAAACAAATATTAGTTCTCGTCAATTAGAGTGTGGAGATGAAGTTTTGGCAGGGTGAGTCACAATATGGTGTAGGACACCTGGCTGGCCGCGAGCTAAGGAGCTCAGAGCTTTGATTTGCATGGTGCCGGTAGTTGTGAGTTGTGACTTGCAAGAGAGAGAGAGAGAGAGAGAGAGAGAGAGAGAGAGAGAGAGGCGGCGGAAGGTGGAGGATAAGATAAGACAATCTACAAATCAGATAAGTCGCCGATTACGGAGAATCGGATAATCACGGGGCGTCCAGTGGTGGAGAATCGAGATCAAAGTGAAGAATCTCAATGCCGAGCGAGCGCGCATCGCGCTTATTTCAACTACTAGATGCAGCCTAAGGTTTGTTCCCAATCATGGTGGATTTTATGAAGATACTGCGGATTATAAAGTCCAAAGTTGCAAACTTCAAAGGTTCACGGTGATGTGTAGCCTAGTACTAGTATATACCGTCTACAGCCTTGTCATCTTTGTGTTTGTTCTGTCACTTCTGTGTCTTTTGGAGTTTGTCTGTTCTTTCTATATTATCTCTCCTGGGCCTTTGTCTCCACTCAGACCCGATAGTAGCCCTTCAAGTCACCTGCTATGCCCTTCTAGACCACCATCTAAGATCCAAGATTCATTATCGTCATTGTCATCTTGTACCCGCCGCCATATCTGTTTCGGCTCCGATTTCTCCGATTTCTCAACAGTTTTGCCATCCGGGGCACGCCATACAGGTCGCATTAATCCACCAGCAGCAAGAAGCGGATTGTTGCTAAATGCATGCTGACCGGGAGACTTTGAAGAGGCTTCCGCATTGGTATCTATCAGATCCAACTCATTAGGCTCTGGCGTTGGGTCCACGGCTGCGGACTGATATACCCGTCGAACCTTTCCACCTTTGATATCAAGGCTCATGACGGTCTTCTTCTTTTCCCACTCCGGCCGGGCCTTCTCCTCTAACTCGCGCTGGATTCGCTGTTGTTTCTTCAGCGCGAGCGCTCGCTGCGCTGGACTCATCCACAGAGTCGCAGCGGTATTAGGGGTTTCAAAATCGGCCGCTTCGTCGACAACCTTGGTCCTTTGGGCATTCTGCGCTTGAAAGTTCAGAAGTTTGTCGCGGTGGGCCCTAGCAGCGTCTAATTTGCTAGGCGTCAACTCAGATCCAGAAACTGGCCGTGGTCCCCCATCATGATGTACACCTTCGTTGTGAGCGCGCATTCTCTGTTGGCCACGCTCATTGCGAAGTTCTCGAATCATACTTTGCACTTCTTCCGCCGATAAAAGTGGCGTACCACAAAAGGAACACGGCTGCAGCCCTTCTAATGCACAGATTATTTTCCCACAGTTCAGACAATTCGGAGCAGGATCGAATAATGGATGGATCGACGCGTAGCAGGTACATTTTCGTCTCTCTAAGCTCAAACCGGGGTTGGTTGATACTTCCAGCGCAGCGATGGCAGCCGTCAAATCGGTAATATTGTTGGTTGTGAGAGACTCGCCGCCCTTCGAGGGCTTGGGATTTCCTGTTTGTCGAGCTGATTTGGTCGTTTTTGATCGCACATTCGGCAGCAAATCGGATATCACCGGACCGGCAGCGGACGGCGGGGTTTTGGAAGAGGTTGGCATCGGCGATTGGTCGCGCAATGATGTTGATGAGCTAGGCGCGAAAAGTCCCGAAGTAGACGACGACAATGGGTGTTTACTAGCCGACATGTAGTCTTCAACTTTATCCGCCTTCATATAGCCTCCTCCCACGTTGCCAAAGTTGTCTGGACGGCGTGGTGGACCGGCACTGTGTAGCGGCTTCTTCTCCTTCTTGTTCTTCCCCCGAGGGCGATCATTGTTCGTGGATGAGGTATCGCGGGTATAGGAGGTTGTCGATTGTGAATCACGACGTGCATTGAACGATGTGATGTATTCCAAGGCTGCCGGGGAGTCGCCGAGGAGATTTTTGAGGTGATCGGCACAGGCATCTTTGGATAGACTGGCTGAGTAGTTGACGATTTGTTTCAAAGACTCTTCATCCAGCGGGAGGAGCTGGCTGATCTGAGATTGGGCCCAAGATTCAAAGGCGGCCATATTTATGAAAGGGTGGATGGAGGATAGATCTTGTGAAAGCAGATGCGGGGAGACCACTTCGAAGTGGGACCAGGTGGAAGTGTGAAATTGCGGGGAGTTCGGAGGTGCAGAGGTGAAAGTGAAGGCGCGGTTGACTCGTGAATCTCAAGGGAGTATGGTGATATGTGACAGAGATTCCTAGTCAAGAGCAACAGGGGTTGTTTTGTTTGCACTGCACTTAGAATCCGGGCTTCGCTTTTTGCTGTTGGAAAGCGGAAGCTGTTGTCAAATTGGTCGTGCGGGTGCCAAGAGAAATACTGAGCCGGCGCCTACAGGGCTACGAGTTTGTTCTGTTTGTGTTGATGATTAGTATTTACTATCAAGCATACTACTACCTTTGTCCCAGAACCTCCCCCATATAACGCCCTCGCCTCTACGGCAGCTATTAAAGGAGATAATTGGACCAGGTAAATTGGTTCCCGAAAATAATGTTAGCCCGATATGGTACGTCATCATAGATGACAATCAAAGTTGTATCGCACGACGATGATCAATAAACTGTCTATGTAATTTTCTTTTCTATCAGCTTTATGAACACAATGAAAATGCTAAGACAATATGCCATATCAGTGAGCTCAAAATCAACTTTGATGAATAAACTTGAGATTTTTGAGAGGTCAAAGAAAGTATAGAGAAGGAAAATCAGACATGAGGTGTAGAGAAGGCCCAGGAGAGCAATGAGCCAATGACCATCATCTGGTTCATTTCTCGAAAGATGAAGCATATAAGCGAACAATATTTCTCTTCATTGTACCTTTCCTCTCGAGTCCACGGGCCAGATTTCCTCAATAATGCCCCTTCGGTGGGCATAATAAAAGTCATGTAAGTTGACTGTTGGATCAATATGGCTAGGGACCATCTCCACGCGGTCACCAATGGTCAGAGCCGGCGCACTGTCGTCCCAGCTAAGCGAACCTTGCTCATCACCCAGAACACCATAAGCGTACCTTGAGTCCTTGCACTCAGCTAGGCCACTATCCGTCGTCAGGGACTTCAGTCCCGTATCAATCGTAACAGTCTGAGGGCCTTGCTTGCTCAAAACAGTTGACAGGAGTGTGAGACTGTTGGAATAGAATGTTCCCACGGCATTTCGGTAATCGGTATCCATGAAGATGAACGATCCAGGCTGAAGCTCCGTAACGCCTGGAACTGTTGCGCAAAACTCCGCTGTACCGGTCCCTCCGGTTGTGACGACATCCATTTTGAAGCCTGCCTCCCGGAACGAATTCGCCGTGTCGGTAAGGATTTTCATTGATTGTAGGCACTGACTTTTACGCTCCTCTCTGTCGTGCAAATGCTGTAGGTGGCCCTCGTAACCTTGAACGCCAATCAAGTTTAGATGCTTCAGCCTAGCAACATGCTGTGCGAGGGCCATGGCTGGCTTCCCAGGCTTGGCACCCGTGCGGTGTAGGCCAACGTCAAGGTCAATCAGAACGGCGATTGGCTCCTGAATGCCTGATGTTGCCAGTGCCTCATTTATGGCGGTTGCACCAACTTCACTATCCACCACGATTCGAATGTTCCGGTGATAGCGATACAGCTCCACGAGCCTCTTCACCTTCGCAGGCCCAATAATTTCACATGTAATCAGGAGATCATCGAACCCAGCAGCCGCTATCACCTCCGCCTCGCTTACTTTAGCCACGCAACCTCCAGTTGCTCCAGCCTTGGCTAACTTGCTCGCCAGGATGGCGCTCTTGGTCGTCTTGAGGTGGGGGCGGATGTTCAATCCTGTGGGCAGAAGCTTATCCATCAATTTCTTGATGTTTGCCTCACAGAGATCAAGGTCAACGATCATTGAAGGCGTATCAAGGCTGTCAATATGATCACCGACTTTGGGGGAATACATGGCTGTTGATGTCGAATTGGGGTGCAAGGAAGAATAGGAATGGAAACAGTATGAGTAAAATTCATCCAGTGGTTCTTGATGAAGAGAAGTTGCCGTTACTAGAAGGCTACCCCTTTTATCCCTTACTGTGTGGGATCACAACGTTATGGCGGGGTACAAGGCCTGAGCGCCTGAAGCAACCAAACTGACCGACACTTGACTCCGGAGCATCTCCGAGGAACCAGTGCTGCTAACCCCAGGGCAATTATTGATTTTGAAGTTGAAACTCAAGCACAGGAGAGCATTGAAGGGAGCTATTGGCAGACTTGATGGAGGTGTCGGTAAAAACAAGCTTGGTGATTGAAGAAGTTAGTATGCGATACAACTGGAAAGTCGGAGGTGACGCGCCGATATCAAAGGCCATGACTAACACATAGTAACACCCCCACGGCGCGCGTATAAAGAACAGCGCGGCTTTTGGTTCGTCATTTAGGACCTCCTTTTAGCCGCCTAATCAGCCCAATCAACAACCTGAAAGAATGCCAGAGTAATCCTACTACATGTGCGGATGAATCCGCATATGTATCAAGGAAATGATGCGGACAGAGGCTCGAGCAGCCGCTCGGCGTGGCAACTGCAAATCCTTGATTCAACGAATATACTACCTAGTAGGCATGCTAGATACTACAGCACTAATAGTATTACGACATTCTTAACTGTCAAGTTTGAAAATCACACAGTAGTAGTACTTACTAGTAGCTAGTCACGCAGACAGCACACTTGTTTATTAACTACTTGGTACTAGTAGCAAGAAATGTGTCATTGTTGCCTGGGGTTTAAGGTATCAGGTATTTGTGCCTGATGGATAAGGGAATGGATCTAGCCCGATTCCTCCTAGTGGAATTCATATCGGAAATAATTGTTCACGTCTGCCAACCGCCCATGATCCTTATTTTCCAGCAGAACAGGCGACATTTTTCCAATACTCCAATCAAACTACAGAGCTCGGTGACTGATAAAAAGCCAAGTTTGCCTTTCACCTGGAAATGGCGACTACAGGGGCTTTTTTGAACAGAGCTTTACGCAGTCGACTGCTCCAGCAACGACTCAACCGCAGCAGCGTCAGTCAACACTTGGACTTGCGGACTGCGTCCAGAATTCTACGACCTTATGCGACAACAACTGCAGCGCAAGACGAACCATATTCAAACACAGATTCAGAGCCCTCCCTCGCATCCCTAGCGGCGTCGCAATCAACCTACCCTGATAATGACAATGCCTCCGGTCGGAAATCCCGTCGCCACAATATTTCTTCGCGTGGGTCTGGAAATCGGGAGCTTGAAGAGTTATTGATGGAAATTGCGCAGCAATCATCGCCGCACGTTAATCCCAAGCATGTTCGGTTGGAGATGGAGTGGGTACAGGATCCGCTTCTACTGGCACAGCGAGTCTCGACGGCCTTAAAAGGAGGCGACCCTGCCATGGCGGTGGCCCTCGCTCGGGAGGCAACGAAACAGATACCAGGAACCAAGTTTGTAGTGGCATGGAACCGGATTTTCCATTGGTGTTTTGAAAGGGGGCATCCGAAGGCGGCCCTGCGGTTTTTCAATGATGTGCGTTCGCTCGGCAAACATATACCACTACGTGGTTTCTTCTCCCCCCCCCATAAAAATCGCCTCGCTGACCCTTAATCCTGAATCGATAGATGAAGAAGCGTGCCGGAAAACCAAATCCCCAGACTTTCACGATCCTGCTTCGTGGACTTAAGAAATCCCTCAAAGCCCCTGGCTTCAACATCGTACGCACAGCGGAAGCTATTTACAACTCGATCTCAGCTGAGAACTCTGGAGTCGAGCGCGATATCATTCACACCAATGCGATGCTAGCAGTCTGTCAGTACCAGGGTGATGTGGACTCACTTTGGCGCATTGCTGGGAGTCTCCCAGAACAAGGCCCCGAAGCACCGGACATGACGACTTATACCACTATACTGGGAACCCTCTTGTTCGCTCATCGTGAAAAAATAAAGACCATGGATGCCAGTCAAATTGACCGCATATTTGCCCTCAAGGCTCAGCTAGTCAGTGATGGTAAAAGGATATGGGCCGATATTCTCTACCGCTGGAAAAATGACAATTTACCTCCTGACGCCCAGGTAGTGCATTCAATGTCTGCACTACTGTTGGAAGGCGCCAGCGATCATGACTACTATGACGTTCTTGCTCTCTACCATCAAACTATGGGTATTCCCATTTTTGCCAAACAACCACCAGAAAGTACCAAAAATACGCCCAACTCGATGTGGAAGACGAAACAAAGCAGAAACCAGGAGCCGGCTGTGGAGGAGGACGTTCCGTTTGTGGACGAAAACAACCAGAAATTGAAATTGGACAAGGATGGGACGAAGGAAGAAGAAAGTTCTTTCGAAGAAGAGCAAGAGGAAAACTTTGACTTGCTCTTTGATTCTCTTCCTGAAGGGCCAGTGCCAGAACTTCAACCTGGGAATCAAGATCTTACTTTGATTCAGGAGGCGTGTCTCAATATCACGCAGGGCAGTAAAGCTGGTTATGAATACTGGAATCATTTGACGTTGGGTTCGACACCATTGCGTATCAAGCCCGATGAGGTCGCCACCACGCAATTTCTGCGTCTTCTCCGGGTATCACGAGCAAGCAACAAGGCACTTCAAGCCATTCGGGACCAGTTAGCACCTTCTGGCAATGTCAGTGGCAAGGTCTTGCATATTGCTCTCTCTGTCTGTCGTCGCGATAAGCACAATCAATCGTGCCTCGTGCATGCGAATGCCCTTATGGACATCATGGGCGAATCTTTGCTTCTTCCTGATCCTCGAGCGCTCCAGGGATATCTTGAATTGGTACAATCACTATCACAGCAGCCAAACCTTCTCTTGTATCTGCGAGGCTTGGAAATCGAGGAAAGGCGTGAGGGTCGTACCTTGTTGACACTAGGAAAGAAGTTGCAAGTGAATCTTCACCTTTTTGCACTAAAGACTCTTCGACCCCATTTTACCCGACTTCACGAGGCCATGGAGCATGGGAAACAGTCACCGAAAGGCCGTTGGGACACTGGTGTTCGAGAGGCTGTCCCGGGGCCCCTTGCTGTCAAAACAATGGCCCGCATTCGTCTCATGATTGATGAAGTTTTGAAGTCTGAATACTCGGCTTTCCTCTCCAAAGCTGACCGCAAGTTACTCCGATCAGAATCCATCATGCTTAAGAAGTATTCTGATAAGGCGATCATTGAGAAGTTCGGTGAAGGATTTGTGTTTTCTACGCCCGAGCAGCGCAGCACGCACCACTCGAGAAAAAACAATGCCGAGGCATGTGATACATCCAAGCTGGATGGGCAGAACCCCGTGGAAGGATTAGAACCTCCCTCTTTTCAACCCACAGAATCCAAGCTCTGAGCTCCTGACCTCCAGTGCAGGTAACCATGTTTCTTTTCGCCCATTCCAGCTTTACTGCATTAGTATTGGAAGCCCCCCCCCCCCCTTTGTAAAATAGATGTACCTATAATAACTCTTGTTCTACATACTTTTTGTGTTAGCCTTTTCTGTATATTTAAAAGAAGAATAGAGCATGGAGCACGTACGCTCAAGCTTCAATTGATGGTACATAGGAAGAGCATTCAAATGATTCAATACCTACCTATATATACATACATACATTGGATATAGATTCCACATACATGCAAATTAGACATCTGGACATCTGGATACTAAAGTATACACATATATATTATACATATATGTATATATTGATGTATGTATGGCTAACTACATACTAACATTGAACTATTAATCATTGATTCAATATTCAATGTTACACACATCAATTAATATATACTAGTCAACTGGTAGCCCTCAAGTGCTTCGATAATTGATAGTACCTACATTTACTATCAATATACATATGCACACATATATGTACATATATAGTATATAGTATTAACGAGGGGAACTCTATATACTACATATACTATGTCATCGAAGTGCACAAGTCGATCCAGTACTTAAGACGCGTGGACAATACCGAGACTACTACCAGTTGACTAAAGAACAGTAGTTAACTAGCAGGAGGAGGCCCTCTCTAGGTCAGATCAGAGCACTTAAGACGTGTAGGAGTGTGTATTCCAATCAATCTAGTCACTACAGGCGCTATACAGTAACATTTGAAGGACAGGCACCAATCAATGACAATACCACTGGTAACGGCACGTCAGGGCTATATAACGACATGTCAGGACATAATCCATAATCCCCTACTACAATGTGTACTAGTACCTAGTTACAGCACTTGAGGGTGCCGATACAAGTGTCTTGGCTCAAGTGCTGCATATCCACATGTGCAGGTAGCACTTCCTTCGGCGATCTTCCGATCGATTGCGTGAGATGTGCACATTATGGGCCAATGTTGATAATTGCCTTTGGGGTGATGGAGATTTTTCTCCGAGATTTTTCTCCGAGCTTGATAGAAAGAGCTATATTTATTCCACTCACCACTTGTGCATCTTGGAATCAGTACATGTACCTTGATCAACTCGCAAATTTCCAAAGGTTGCACTTTAACAGGAAAGATAAACTGCAACTTTGGAAGGTTTCGCCTTAAGTGAAGACAGACCCCAATACTGGATTTGATAACCATGGACGATATGAACAAATTCAGTGGCCCAAGCGGTTTCAAGGGCAAGAAGCAAATCCTGCTCAATGCATTTGATATGTCAACAGTGGGACACTTGTCTCCTGGGCAATGGAAAGTGTGTTTGATATTTGTTTCGTGGAGATGAGCAAATCCTTGGCTAATGGATATTATAGAATCCCAAAGACAAATCGGCCACGAAGCGCAAGCTTGATTACTGGATTGAACTGGCCAAGTTGCTAGAACGCGGTGGTATTAATGCCTTATTCCTGGCAGACACGACGGGAGCGCATGACACCTACCAGGGCAGTGCAGATGAGTGCATCCGGCGAGCTGCTCAATGGCCGATGACGGATCCAACCATTGTGAGTAGGAGTAGACTTGAGATAGATCATAGCCAATTCAAAGCTAACCACCCTTTAGCCAATCTCCGCGATGGCTGCAGTGACAAAAAACCTTGCTTTCGGCATAACAGCTTCAACGTCATTTGAGCAGCCGTTCCTACTCGCCAAGCGATTTTCAACCTTGGACCATCTGACTAACGGCCGAATAGGCTGGAATGTTGTTACATCATATAAAAAATCCGCTTTCAAAGCCATTGGTCTAGATAGTCCGATCTCACACGACGAGCGCTACCGCCAAGCTGACGAGTATTTGAGAGTCCTCTATAAGTGAGTGAGATCAATTCAGATGATACTATAACGTCCACAGAATGCTTACTGACCAATACTTTGGATCATAGGCTATGGGAAGGTTCTTGGGCACCGGATGCACTCTTACCAAACCCGGACACCGATTCCTACATCAACCCTGAGAAGATACGCACGATCCATCACAGAGGGAAGTACTTCTCCTTGAATACCAGACACATCGTGGACCCTTCTCCTCAGCGTACACCGTTCCTCTTTCAAGCAGGTACCTCACCTGCAGGAGCGGACTTTGCCTCGACCCACGCAGAAGCTATATTTGTTTCCTCCCACTCACCCGAAATTCTTCGGCCCAAGATTGAGAACATCCGTAAGCAAGCAGCAAAGCTCGGTCGCGATCCACAATCCATCAAGTTCTTCGGTACTTTCACACCCATCGTGGGGCGAACCGATGAAGACGCACAAGAGAAATACGAAGAGCTGAAGAAACACGCCTCAGTCATCGGTGGATTGGTTCTCTTTAGTGGCTGGACAGGCATCGATATTTCCAAGATTCCCTTGGATCAAGAGATCAAGCCAGCGGACTCACTGGAGGCTGGAAAAATCACCAGTCTCCTCGACTCTTTACTCAAAACAAGCAAAGACGTTCCACGCTGGACACCTCGCATCGTCGCAGAGAAAGCTGCTATTGGTGGCCTTGGGCCATTGGCCATTGGCAGTCCGCAGACTGTAGCGGATGAGATGGAGCGTTGGGTTCGCGAAGCTGACCTAGATGGGTTCAACATTGGCTATGTGACCACACCGGGCACATTTGAAGATCTTGTTGATTTGTTAATTCCGGAATTGCGGACGCGTGGTCTTTACCCTGAGGCCCCGAGTGACTCCGATGAGCCTCTGACGGCTCGCGAGAAGATTTATGGTAGAGGTCAGAGGGAGTTGCGTGATGATCACCCGGGGACTCGGTACAAATATGATTTGTACCAGGAAGATCCACCGTACGTTGAAGAACAATAGATTTCAACCTTGAAAATGTTTCAACGTTGCATCCTTTCAAGGTTTGAAATTTTGAAAACCCTGGGGTTTACATCAACTAGTATGTACTCAAGTGCTGCGCGCTCGGCATCGATGACCATTCCAAGAGCGATTAAGCCAGTGCTCTTAGAACATTCCAAGGTCAGAACATACCAGTTGACTAGTTACAGTAGTATGTATATATACTAGTATGTATGTAATATCCATCGATGACCTTGCGATGATGCAGTAGTAGGTACTACACGTACACGCATATAGGTACTAGTACGCAGCTGATTCTTTCCAGACCTTGGGACAGGCTCAGCGACAGAGCAATAGAGTAGACCCCCCAGGTAGCATTCAAATAGTTGTCTTTCTCAAGTGAATTTCTATTGTCAAATCCGGGGATTGAGATAGAAACAACAGGAATTATGAGTTTCGGATATGAAGATGATTGTTAATGATGAACTTGACAGTTACATACGGAACATCAATAAAAGCGGGGAAGCTGGTAATGTTACCATGTTATGACCAACACGGGACCATGTAATGCCACTCTAGCCTCTCCGGGAGAGCTTCCAATGACAAGCCTCCAAGCCATTAACAACCACGTTATACTTCACCTGTCACAGTATTTGGCGCTCCGGTTCTGAAGGGTGATGCTTCTTAATTAATTTCCCTCAACACTATCCCTCTTCCTTTATCCGCAGTCAACGCGAATAATCATGACGAGCCTACAACACGGCCTGTCGCATGGCGACCTGCATGACGACGAATCCCTTCTAGACGATGATTTGATCGATGCCGATGATGGTGAGTGTCTTTCGCCGCCTTTTCAAGTTTGACCATCTATCTCAATTTATTTGCTGATGTATTAAAATTCCGGTCCTTTAGATATCGAAGCCGATGACCCCCTACACGAAACTTCCGACACAGCCCCTCTCAGAGGCAACATTGAATCCGACTCCGGCTCACGAGGGGGTGGTCGAACTGGCTATGGAAACTATCTCACCTCATCTATCCCTGGTGAAGATCGCCGCGCGACTCAAAACACCATCGATGAGACTGTCTGGGCCACCTTGTCGCGCGACCTGGTTGCCGTCGGAGAGAAGATGCGCCAGGTCCTGTGGCCCAAGTACCTTCTGGGAGGTATGATGCAACGCGGTGGGGGTGGTATCGGTGGTGCTGCGGAAAGAGGTGAGGTGTCTGGATTCGGTCGTAACCTACGCGGGCTCGTTGGACGCTGGCCGGATGCCGATGTGGTCTTGCAGGGTGGAATGAGTGATGGGCTGCGCGACTGGGACCTATGGTACGTTGTGGATATTCTTTTTTGGCTAAGCCCCAACGAACCGGAAGCTAATTTGTTTCGTTTTCTTCTTCTTTAAGGGGTCCTCTGGTCTTCTGCTTGGTACTAAGCTTGTTCTTGTCCGTGGCCAAAGGCGACCAATCATCGCTTGTTTTCTCCGGTGTTTTCTGCATTGTCTGGATTGGAGAGGCAGCTGTGACACTTCAAATCAAGCTTCTTGGGGGCAAAATGTATGTTCTATTTTCATATTTTGTCCCGACATCAATGGGCTATGCTGATACTTATGACTTTCTTTCCAGCTCCTTCTTCCAGTCGATATGCATCATTGGTTATACACTATTTCCACTTGTGATTGCTGCTTTGCTCAGTGCACTTGGCCTGCCTACTATTGCCAGAATACCTGTTTACCTCGTCCTTGTGGCTTGGTCGCTGGCAGCAGGAGTGAGTATCCTGGGCGGCTCGGGTGTCGTTCGGAACCGAGTGGGCATTGCCGTCTACCCACTCTTTGTCTTCTATATCTCGATTGGGTGTCTCTGTTTTATTAGTTAATGGAACAGACCAATTGATGGACTGTCCGCTCTTCTGATCCCCAGGCGGTCCCGATCATGGTGGATCTGGATTATGTTCCAAGGTTACAATGTACATCATGGGAGGAAATCTCAGAATGACATCGCTGGGTAAACCTCTACGATTACGTTTTTTTTTTTTCTTTTCTTTGCTTTTCATCTTCGGTCATGGCCTATTCAAGCTCCGAGGACCTGTATCGCGATACCTTTGTTTTCTCCGACATGTCATATCATATCTCGTTAAGCTCTTCTGTGTTTTAACCTCACGTTGACTAGAAATGAGGCTATGGCCATTAGCATAACGCATTAGGGAGTGGCGTGCATTAATTGTGTATTAGATAGAACAACATGTCTATCAAGTTCAAGGCGCTTCGCATGGAAGCTATTAATGTTGTCTAACTGCGTCTGCTATTAAACTCGTAAACATTTGTTGATATCAATATTGGGTTAAAACAGTTGAATGAAGCCCAAAGTCAATGCGGGGCGAAGCGGTGACCGGAACAACACTCAAAACATCTTCGCCGCTTTCCAAACTTCGTCTTTTCCCTCCCAACCTTTAGCGCCGCTTCGACTTTGATCCTTTTCGTCTAGACCGCCTGTACCTCTTATCTCAACCTGCTTTACTCTAATTTTTTGGAATTTGAAACCTCACCTACCAAGGATCATCTGCAACTCTTGCATCAGCCTCAAACCGTTCCGTGGCTTGGTCATTGTTATGGCTCCTATGGACGAACCGGTGACCACGACGGGTGAGTACTTGTCCTTGCTTACCTTCTCTTTTTACCTTTGTCTTGAGTCTACTGTGGCGATCCGCATATCCAAAGGCTGCGCGTGCAAGCTGTGGAAAAACCGCGACAGCAGTCGGAGCAACCCGCCAGGTGGGATTATGAAGAGCGACAAGTCCTTATATCTTGGACACCAGCTGCGCATTTCTCTAATATTTGCCTCATGCATCCTATTCCCCTCGCGGGGAATCTGTATTTTTTTTCTTGTATTGATGGAATTTCCTCGAGCTAACACGGTGCTGTGATCTTCTAGTGACCGGCGGAGAATCTCCACCTTCCGATAATGATGCCAGCGGCGAGCGCCCTGTTCGCAAGCAACTCAAAGAAACCTCCATCGATTCCACCCATACCGCTGTGAACGAGAATTCCAGTACCCGCAAACGCTCCTTCGAAGAATCTCGCGATCACCATGATGGCCCCTGCGAAAACGGCGAGAGTCGGCGGAAGCGATCGCGAGAAGGCACACCGGAGAGTACAGATACCAAGAAAGAAGGATTGACTATGGGCATTTGTGCTGGTCCTGGGGCCCAGTCACCTAATGTAAGTGAAAACATTATTTCAACCACTTTTTGACTACCACCTGGAATGGCGTTGGACTCCTACCGTCATGATTTATTCCTCAACGCACTGTGAGCCACACTTGGTTCCATACCCTAAGATTGTGCTCGTTGAAACATGCAGTTATGCGGAGTATGAGCAGACAGGAGGCGCATTCATGTACCCTGTCAATCCAATCATGAATTTCGTCTCCAGAATCTTGATGACGAGCCAATTCGTCTGGCAGGGGCACATCGGTTTCATGGGCAAAACTACATTTTTCTCCAGAGTGCGTCTTTGAGGACAGCAGAAACTCCTTGGGGGGAAGCAGAAGGATCCCGGGAGGATTCACCCCACTGAAGCATTTTGACCCTGGTCTTTGCATCGGTCCTGTTGCCAAGAGGCACTTTTCATATTTGCGCTGCCTAGCAAACCTTGAATTTTGAGCCGTGCGCCTTCTTGGAATTCCCTGCCCATATTATCCAAGGCTTTCATGTTGCCCAGCTCTATAGGCAAAGGCGCTCCCGGGTTCGACCTGGAAGAAATCTCCCGAAACCCCCCCCCCCCGTGGATAATGACTATCCTTTGTTGAATTTGAACTTTTAAATATGATACTTCAACTCCCCTCATGAACCCCAACAAACCACCATTCCAGTTATCTTGCACAGGCCTCCCCGTTCAGAACATACACACAGGAATTATTAAGACAAAATACCAACCAAATGTTACAGGACCCGAAACAATCGGAGATTAAAACCACCTCCGCAACCATGGACGATGAATCAGCAAGATCTCTGACGAAGAAGAGAAGTCGCGAGCAACTTGACGACAGTTCCAAGAAGATGGAAGCAACGAGCGATTCAGCAGCATGCACCGCTCGTTCTGTTGATGCAAAGTTCACTATGGATGGAGAACCCGAGAAGAAGCGACACCGTGATGGCTCTCAGGAACTGGAAGTTAAACCCGACAATGTTAGTCCGACTTTAATTTGAATCCTGCTTGTAGTGCATACTAATATTTTGGAACAGAAATTCGCCGCAAGTGCATTTGGAAAAGCAGTTGCGTCTCCCTTCGCCTCACTAAGCAAGATCCAGGACTCAACCAAAGACAATAAAACCCCCGCTTCTACCTCTGCATTCGCTTCGTCTAGTCTGGCCGCATTTGCAGGCTCAGAGAGTTCACCTTTCGGTGCACTAGGAGGCTCAAATACCTCCGTCTTCAACCCTGGGGCCTCGGGTACAAGCAGCTTTTCAACTCCATCAGTCTTCAGATCCGCTTCCGGTACAAATAGCTTTGCAGCTCCCTCTGAAACCTCCGCGTTCCGTGCCCTTGGAAGTGGGTTTACAGGTGTTGGTGGTGGGTTCGGAACTGCTGCTAAAGCTGGTGGCCTGACCAGCTTTGCGTCAGCCAGCGCTCCAGTCCCTCTCGGTGAATCGAAGGCCAAGCCCCTTGGTGCGGAAGATTCGGATGCCGACGAGGCCGACACTAATGAAGATGACAACACGAACACATTCGAGGCGTCTAAGACTGATGAACGTTTCTACGTCCAGACAGGTATGCTCCCGGTAGTTTATTCCCGGTACCTGTACTAACTTGAGTCATTCAGTTGAAACTGGCGAAGAAGAGGAAGAAACTGCATTTTCCTGCAAGGCCAAGCTGTTCCATTTTTCAAACAAGGAGTGGAAGGAGCGGGGCATCGGCACTTTCAAAATCAATGTTCGCCGGAATTCTAATGGCATGCGAGCCGGTCGTATGATCATGCGGGCCGATGGCGCCATGCGTGTGATGTTGAACAGCCCAATTTTCAAGGGCATGAACTATGGGGACGCGAGCAATGAAGCTCCAATCAACAAACAAATTCTTCTGGCGAGCTTGGAAGAAGGTCGAACTGTGCCTTTGTTGTTGCGTGTAAATTCGCACTTTCTCATTGTCCCTTCTTGGATTTGATACTAACTTTTCTTGTCAGACCGGAAACGAATCGTATGCGAGAGAACTCTACGATACTATTGATGATCTATTGAAGGAGGCAGACGCATGAAGTCAAATTTTTCAGTCTACCTAGAAGGATGAGAAAAGGGAAAGATTCCACCGAACCCCTGGAGATCAGGTGTAAAGAGGAGTTTACACAGTTACAGTGCGCAATATGTCAATATTAGCGATCGATAATTCACTTATTGTCTGTTACCTAGCACCTACAATTCTTTGCGAGATCAACCTTGAGGTTTCTCAGGCTTCAAAGAGATCAATTTTGAGGGCCAATCCCGTTGCGCCGCTTACTCATGTCTGCTCGCCGACCTGAGACCAGCATTTACCGCAATCTGAAGCACTGTGGCTTCCTATTCAACTTTTTGTCAAAGCCTCCAGGTTGTCATTTTTTTCACAAAACAGAGGCAAAGACTACCTAGGTAGTCTAATGGATGGGCAGAGAGTTAATTCTTTTTGCCGCCTAATTTCCAGGCGATATTTTATTTAGTCTTGTCGGGAAGGGATCATGTAATAATTGCCAGCATGTGACGACGGCGGAGAGACTTGGAATTTGTCAGGATCATACACACTGTGCATGGGCCTAGGTGAGGTCCACAGGTCCACTTTACTTGGTCATTGGACGGACACTGTCGCATCTGAACCTTCAAATGTTGGAAGGCAATCTATGTAAAGTTTCACTTCATTCAAATGTTTAGGGCAATGAATACATAGTACATATAAGCGGTAGGACTGATTGTAATTCAAAATACATACGCCTCGTACATATGTACTACAAACATTCCTTGATCGTTTCTAGATACATCATTGGTAGTACTACATACATAGTACATATTGATGTAGTAAATTTTGGACATCATCTCAGAAGCTTCGACTCTGTACCGATCAGCTCTTCACGGTAACAACAAACAGCCGTGGGTATCGCAGCAAGACTCGGCCATCGGCAGACACGGGATATGCATTTTCCAGGCGCCTTAGGTACTCTTTCAAAAAGGCATCTTTCTCTTCCGGCTGCAAGGGATCCACGTAAGGTCTCAGTCCAGTCCCTTTGACCCATTCAATGATAGCCGCGTGATTCTCAAGTGAATGATAGTAGCTTGTATGGAAGAGGTTCACTTCCGAACAAAGCGGCTTAAGCTGATCATAAATCTCCTGTGGTGACTGAAATGTATCTCGACCGACGGATTGCAATTTGGTCGCCCAGGGTCCAGCCCTAGCAGTTTCCTCCATAAAGACATGAGAAGGCTCATTGAGATTGTCCGGGACCTGGAAAGCAAACACTCCACCAGACGGTTGGGTTTTGATCAAGTTCTTGAGGATCCGAATGCGGTCTGCTCTCTTAATCCATTGAAAGACGGCATTGGAGTAGTAAAGATCAACTGGAACTTCAGGCGTGTATGTATTCAAATCTTCGATACTGAAAGTCAAATGGGGTAGGGTGGATTTGGCTTTGTTGATCATGTCTGGGGATGAATCCATCCCTACAAGTTGTGCGTCAGGGTAACGGGACTCAAGGACAGCCGTTGAGTTCCCTGGCCCACATCCTAGATCTACTACTCTTTTGGGGGCTTGGAGTGGAACCCTGGCGAGGAGATCGCGGGCTGGTTGGGTGCGCTCGTCCTTGAATTTGAGGTATTGTGTTGCACTCCAATCATGCATGTTTGCGGGGTTGATGGTGGATATGGCAATGCGTGGCGGTGCTCGGGGCAGCAGTCCTTTCGACAAATGGAGGAGGGACATGTCAAGACCTTCTAGTTGGTTCTGAAGATTTGAAATTTTGCAACCTTGGAATGCTTTTTAGAGTACAATGACAAGGCTGAGAGGTGATGTTCACCTTCAAATGTTTCCGCGATGGTCTGTACCAGGTGGATACTAGTAGACGTAAAAGGTACGGAAAATACTAGTAGTTGACAGCTGATGACTTAAGAAGCTCCAACTCGGAAGTATTATGACATGAACAAAATTCAAAAGGTGTACATTCTCAGACGGAATATTCCCCTACTTATATTAATGGGAAACCTTACGGAAGCTTATAAATGAAATATTGAGCAGGAAACTGCCGATGATCGGACAATGGGCTGTGGTCGAATTCAGGAATCCGGTATACGCATTCAACCTTGGTAATTTCCATAAAGCTCAAATAACCAGAAAGTACAGATTGTTACTAAAACCATAATAGTTAATACCTGGTGAAGCAGTTCAAAAATGTTTTATACATGTAAATATGCATGGCTAATTGGCAATGTGTATTGGTGTAATACTAGTACTAGTTAGTTTTATGTACTGTGTGGTAAGCATATGGTGACGTCACAGTATTTGGATTGATGCCAGATTTCCCAGGTTCAAAGTCCCACAAACAATGGGAAAAGTGAGCACGTCACGTCACGTGCCCCTTGTGTAAATGCCAAAGCCGAACTTGTAGATCAGATCCAGATGTCCCGGGCATGAACATCAACCTTAACATCATGATGAAGATTGGGATGAAAATTAAAATTTGACTTTGAAGCGCACATGAAAAAGAGTCTAGATTAATTGAAAAATATGTAATAAGTAAGTACTATATATGGCCATTTATTACATAGTACCGACTACCACTCTCATCCATTTTGGGTTAAATGGGGGACACGTGATAACGCGTTTTGCTTCCAATTCATGAACCATTTTCAATCTTCCTTCTTTCAATAAAAACTTTCATTTGACAATCACTTGAATCATTACCTAATATCGCGATGGGGCATCAAAATGGCAGGTCCTCCATTACCCACGAGGCCGGTATCTTTAAAACGAAAGCTCAGTCATGACGGCGACAAGCAGGCTTCACTTGCATCCCTTGACACGCCTGTCAAATCGATTGTTGAATCCGCCGTGGTTCGTTCTCCCCCTACATTATCCGAAACGTCGATATCGGAAAACGGATCAATCAAGAAAAAGAAATCGAGCAAAGGGAAAACCACATCCGCGACTCCAAACCCCAAAGGCCAGAGAAATAGGACTCCGGTTGCGCCATGGCCGGATGCACTAAAACGCTTGTCCCAAACACAACGGGCGCTGAATCTGGTCTATACATTCTGCTGTACGCGGAAGCACTTTGCGACAACCTTCGATAACATCAAGGTAGCCGTGCAGGCACAGCTTGGTCAAGGGCGAGAGCTCACCATTGAAGATATTGCACGAGTCAAGGCCCTGGTCCCGAAAGCGGTGCGATTCGAGTACGTCGATGAGGCAAAATTAGAGTTGACGGCTGGGGAGAAAGATACAATCGATTATGGGATGAACCACCGACGTGGTCCTTGGACAGCGGAGGAAGATTGGAACAAAGACAATTCCGGCCACGGTCAGCACCAAGAAAACCCAGGGATCCCTACCAAAAATGTTCTCCTATTCGAATTCGTGGACGAGGACCTCAAGCGAGAAGTCATAAACCCGAAGACGGGAGAACCGACCAAACCGGCGCGACGAATGAGAGATGAAGATCTCAAAATGCCCGTCTATAGCCAAAAGCAGATGCTGAAGCTAATCGAAAAACGCAATACTAAATTTTCAGATGCCATTGACGCATTTCTCGTCCGGTGTGAAGATCAAGTTATCGACCCTTTGCTGGTATTGGAACAAGAGAAAGATTTATGCATCCCCACGCCTCCTGGCAGTGAATCCAGTACCCCTGCCGCAGCCAAAGCTCCGTCCACCATTCCCAGAGAGCGGCTATCTATTGCGGAAATAATCGCGGAAATCCGAGAGATGGATTGGTATCATGCTCAGATTGTTCCTGAAGGACATCGTGTATTCGATGCCCAGTCTCCCGTTTATGGGGAGTTGACATTCCAGTTATCGCAAAACCTAGTCAATACCTTATACAACACAAAAGGAATCACTCAACTATACTCCCACCAGGCGGAAGCAATCAATTGTCTCTATGAAGGTTACAATGTGATTGTGTCTACTTCGACCAGCTCAGGAAAATCGCTTATCTATCAAATTCCCATGCTGCACGAGTTGGAAAAAGACCCCGATAGCAGGGGCATGTACATCTTCCCTACCAAAGCGTTGGCTCAAGACCAAAGACGCAGCATGATAGACCTCTTGCAATATATGAATGGTCTGCAATCTATCCTAGTCGAAACCTTTGATGGTGACACGCCAATGGAAAGCCGAAATCGTGTTCGCGATGAAGCACGGATCATATTCACCAATCCCGACATGCTACACATCACCATCCTGCCCCAGGAGAGTGCGTGGCGCACCTTTCTGAAGAAGTTGAAATTCGTGGTTGTCGACGAGCTACACGTCTACAATGGTTTATTTGGATCCCACGTCGCGTTCATAATGCGGCGGCTTCGCAGAATCTGCGCCGCGGTTGGCAACCGCCATGTCAAATTCATATCGTGCTCTGCCACTGTTGCAAACCCTGAAGCGCATATGAAATCCGTCTTCGGGATACAGAATGTCAAGCTCATAGATTTCGACGGGTCTCCCTCGGGCCGAAAGGAGTTTGTCTGCTGGAACACCCCATTCAAAGACCCAGCGGACCCAACCTCCGGACGCGGTGATAGCGTTGCTGAGACTGCGCGATTATTTTGCCAGTTGATTCTCAGAGGTGTCAGAGTTATAGCCTTCTGCCGGATCAGAAAACTCTGCGAAATTCTCCTGCAGGCTGTGAGAACTGAGTTCCAAGGACTCGAACGCCCAGAGGTGGGCAAACTGGTGATGGGTTACCGGGGTGGCTATAGCCCCCAGGATCGTCGTCGAATTGAGAAAGAGATGTTCGAAGGCAAGTTAATGGGAATCGTGGCGACGAACGCCCTCGAATTGGGCGTTGATATTGGATCCCTGGACGCGGTCGTCACTTTAGGTTTTCCCTATTCAATCTCCAATCTACGTCAACAGAGTGGCCGTGCTGGACGACGCAATAAGGACTCATTATCGGTGTTGGTCGGGGACAGATACCCGACCGATCAGCATTATATGCAAAATCCAGATGAAATCTTCACTCGGCCCAATTGTGAACTTCAGATTGACCTTACAAATGAGCTCATCTTGGAAGGGCATATTCAGTGCGCGGCATTCGAAGTACCCATCTCTCCGGATGAAGACCACCTCTACTTCGGGGAGCAGCTCTACGCCGTTGCCGCAACGCGTCTCATCAAGGATGGCATGGGCTTCTACCATTGCCACGATCGCTTTCGACCTCAACCCTCAAAATGCGTCTCCATCCGTGACACAGAAGATCAGCATTTCGCCGTAATCGACACAAGTAACAATCGCAATATCGTCCTCGAAGAAGTGGAGGCCTCGCGTGCCTTTTTCACCATTTATGAAGGCGGTATCTTCTTACATCAAGGCGAAACCTACCTCGTCCAGGAGCTAAATACAGAACGCCATTTTGCCCGCGTGACTCGTGTTCATGTTGATTGGAGCACTATGCAGCGCGACTTCACCGATATCGACCCCATCGAGACAGAAGCCATGCGCCTTATCAGCGCAGATCCGTCGTCTTGCCGCGCATTCTTCGGAGCTGTTCAAATTCACGCTGTCGTATACGGGTTCTTCAAAATAGATAAACGCGGCCGGGTACTCGATGCAGTGGAAGTTGACAATCCACCCATCGACATTCTAACCAAGGGAATGTGGCTTGATGTTCCATCGTGCGCAATTGTGATCCTGGAGTCACACAGACTCAATATCGCAGCTGCCATTCACGCCGCTGAACACGCGGTCCTCTCGCTTCTTCCTTCATTTGTCCTTTCATCCCCCGGTGACGTTCGCACAGAATGCAAAGTGGCCAAAAAAGAGCTTGGCCGTCCATTCCGCCGCGCAAACGAGATTTCTGTGTCCAATGGAAAAGAATTCCAGAAAGTCCTCCAGCCGCCTTCCCGACAGCGACCTGCTCGTCTCACGTTTTATGATGCGAAGGGTGGCTCGTGTGGCTCTGGTATTGCAAGTAAGGCATTTGAATTCATCGAGTTACTCCTGCGGCGGGCCGTTGCACGTATCGAAGCATGCGCCTGTCTCTCACCACAAGGCTGCGTGGAATGCGTGTGTGACGAGCGCTGCAAGGAGATGAATCTCGTCATGAGCAAAGCAGGTGCAGGAGTGATTCTGCGATGTTTACTTGGCTGGGAGGTGGATGTCGATGCTTTACCATGGGGTGAGGATGTTGATGGTCTAGACTTTGGGGTTGGGGGTGGTGGCGAGTTAGCGGGTGGATATGAAACAGTTGTGAGGGCAAACGAAATCCCATGGAAGGCTGGATGTAGCTCCGAAAGCTCCAACGTACCGAGTACCTACTAGGTAGTATGTACATCCACATAAGCATACTGATCGACACAAATTGATGGATGCTCTTGAGCTTCGTATCCATGTATCAACCTGCGTTCTAGAGACTCAATTTTTGAGATTTCAGACAGTGACCTCTGAACCAAGACAAAGCACCAGGCAGTGCTTAGGATAAGCCTTGCAAGCACAAGAATAAATTCAAAGCGCAAGCAAAACAACACACATATGTATCATGTGTACATCCATCCATCCATCAATATGCATGGTAAGATGACGGCAAAACTGAGCCCAAGAAAATGCGAATCAAATAGTCTTTCTTCGATAACATACTGTCTAAACAGTCGGGTATATAATAAATGTACACATCAAGTCATGACTTGGAGGTTGCCAGGGTATAGAGATTGAAGTTGGGGCAATGGAGGAGATGTAGGAGATGGGTTTTGGATATGAAGGGGTAGGCATTAGCATCAAGGATCGGAGATATAGAAAGGTCTGTAGGATAGGGTGGTAAAGGAGTGAAAGCGATGCGGGTTGACAGTAAGATGATGATTCTGTTGCATAAGATTTGGTCGGAGTTGGCTGGTTTGATGTTCAATAAGGAAATCAAACCAAGGGTAAGGGGCCTAGGCGGAAGTGCGGCCGGTAAACACGTCATCGGATCTTGGGATCAAGAACAGGACTTCCTTCAGGAGAAGCCACCGTAGCTGCTGCCATGGCTGCTACCAGGACTGAGCTCACCTCCTTCTTCGTTCACGTTCAATTTCCAGAACATGGCTTTCATGTCTCGAACATTAGCGCGGAAGTCGTCGCGGGGCTGCTTGAGGCGATCATCAGTCATGGCACGGACTTCACGGATGAGATCTGAATAGCCCTCATCGTCAGGAAGCCACCAATTCATGAGTTCGGGCTGTTGCCAAAGGGTGGAGAGGACTTCGCGGAATTTGGGTTGAATTATGTAACTAATTGAGATAGTCATGTTAGCTTCTAGATTGTATTCCAGAATGAAATAATGACGATGATAGTTTAATTAGTGTTGAGAATGCAAAAAAATCGACTCACCCAGTTTGTTCCATCCGGGCAATCCTGCGCCGACACCAGATTTGGTTCTTGCTGTCCCTGGGAAGAAACATGCTCGTGATTCCGATGCTATTCTTGAACCCAATGCAAGCCCCATTTCCTTTCTCCGGCCATCGGTCAATTGTTTCCATCAACTGGGCTTGCTCCCAGGCCAACTTTGTCAGGTCTGGCAGAAGAGGTTGTCTTAAAGCGAGCATGGTTTGGTATTTGTACATCAACTCGGTCGAAAGGAGATCAATCCAGATATAATTCGCATCCCACATGGCTCCCCGGTGGATCCGACCTGGGACGTAAGGATCCACAATATCGTCTTCGGTGAGAGGCTGCTGGTCTGGGTAGGAGCGGACAGTATATTCGCTGTCGTCGAATGCCCTCATGATATTCTTTGCTCGTTCAATGGTTTGGCCAAGCTGCTCGTTCTGCACAGCAAAATCTTCGAATGGAATCATGCCCTGCGACAGTTTGGCATACAGGGAAGCCATGTCCAAGCCGAATCGGCGATTAATCGATGCAACCAATGAGAGCTGTTTTCGTGCGTCGTCGGGGTCGAGAGCAGCTTGTTCTGCATCAAATTGTTCTTTAGCGAGATACCAATCTCGACTGAGAATTGCTTCCGTGCCGGCCAAGATCCCCGCAACGACGTCGAATCGTGCGTACCAGAGAAATATGTTGGTATGTAACTCATTTAGGTTGGAAGAGTCCGGCGTTAATAGTTCCCGCATTAATGCGTGTGCGGCTTGGTGATGGTCAATGAGGTTTACCCAATCTCCGGTGTATTCCTGGTTTGGCAATGACATTAGCAAGAAGTTTGCCCAAAGAAAGAGAGAAAGAAAGATGAAGAAAAAAAGAGAGAAAATGGGACAGATATCAATACCTCAAAGGTTGTCAAAACAAGAACTGTACACAACGTTGCCTCGCTATGTTCATCGCCAGAACCGAGGGATTTCCGTAAAAGAAGCAACGATTTATTATAGTATTTGAGAAATGTAAACAGTTTTCCACCCGGGGTGTTCAAAGTGTGGTGATATGCCGCGAACCCCACCAGGGCATATAGCAAAGGCTCATATTGTAGCGCAAGTTCGATGATGCTGTGTTGAATAAAGGCCTTACTCGATTGCCTCAAGAAGAAATGAGCGGGTGTGATAAAGTCCTGATGGAAATTCAAATAGAACCTCAAATCATCTGGTAACCGGGCCGCATTGAGCATGTCGGTCGTGGACTGAGTGATGCTGGCCGACCGTACACTCACTGACTCAAAGCGTGACGAGGACTCGGTAGAGGGGGAGCTGCCCGGGTCCATACTATGATAAAAAGATCCTGATTCGGAAACCTGCTTGAGACTTGGTTTTCTTAGCGACTGTCCGCTCTGGGTTCTGTGTAGGTCTGGCCGAGAAGTGCCGGCGGTGCTGGTGGGGGATGAGTGAGAACCGAGGCCGGCACCGTCGGGTTCCTCCTCATCAATGATCGGCTCCAGGGGGCTAATCTCATCGAGATCCAAACGACCAGAAGAATCACTTCCTTGAGAGGGAGGGCGCGCACCACGCGATTTGGTGGACGAGCGAGGGACCCCCTTGGATGGTCCAGATGTGGGGGATGGGTAGACACAGTCCCTACTTCCCTTCCGGCAGCGCTCGCAGACGGGACGAGACTCGTCGCATTTAATTCGACGAGAGCGACAGGTAAAGCAGCCGCTACGAGTTCGTTTGTGTTTCTTGGGATCCGGAAGAGGTTGAAGCAAGGACGATTGCTTCGGGTATGAGGGCGCGGCCACGGTCATGGCAGGCGGCGCGGCGGAGGGATCGTGCCATAACGCCAGGTTCTCGGGATACTGGGTGGAACCGAACAGCGAGTAGGCTGACATGGTCGACTCCTGCTGCATTGGATCGAACAAGCCAGCCAGGGCGGCCTGGGATTCATAATATGACTCCATGGTAAATGGTTCGTTCCAGTAGTTGAGCTCCGTGCAGATCTTCCCCCCGCAAAACTAGCGTGATGCCTTTTCCCCCTTTCTTTGGATTATTGCATCATTTAAAGTCAAGAGATATTAGGGCAATGTTGAAGGAAATGGAAGGAGGGAAGGGGAGGGACAAGAAGCTTGAGAGAAGCGGATATGGTCAAGTACCAAGAAAGGTGTGTGTACGGAGTAATGGATGTGCAGGTGGGGTGAGGTTGACCCAGAGTCCCAGAGACAACCTTGGAATCCAGAATTTACACTGCGGAGATTAAGCAAAGAAGAGACTCTTTTTTTTTTTTTTTTTTTTTTTTTTTTTTATTCCACCAGGATTCAAAGGAAATAGAGATGGGTTCCAGTTTCATTTTCATTTTCATTTTCCACCTAGTTTTAATTAATCATTAATTATATTTTATGGATCTCGATGCTATTTTGGGGTACGTCCGGGCTTCAACACCCGATCGTTGATCGTGATCATCGCATGTTCTGTAGAGAGAAAAAGAAAAGAAAAAAAAAGGAAAAAAATTATTTCGACTCCGAGCAAAAATGGAAGATAGTAAGATCCATCTAAGCAGTTTGTAAGGTCTTTCTTATGGGGATTATTCCCAATCTCAGCTGATGCAGGAAATAAAGCCTCCGCATCGTTCTTACGTTCTTACTCGGCGGACTTGGGCGGAGGTCGCGCAGGGACATTCCAATCCGGACGAACTAGGGCTAACGCCAGATTTTTACTTGGGCATTTATCAGAATTTCAAAACAGAAAATTACCCCTTTTCTAGTCATGAGAAGGAAACAGAAAAGAAAACCACACATGGATCAAGAGAGAGAGAGAGAGATAAAAAGCAATATCAGCAAGCTAAGTCAAGTAGTATTATTACTCCATACCAGAAGTCAATGGTCCCTTGGGAATGAATGCCTACGTTCCCCACTCAAGATCAGCCACTTTGGGCTTATTTTTATCCTTAATCCCTTTAAAGGAGCCTCGGGATCCGGTGAATTCGAACATTTAAAAAAAGAAAAAGGGAAAAAAAAAACATGGTACATAAAAATTCAAAAAAAAAAAAAAAAAATAGGGGTCGGTTTGACGATCCTCTCCAGCCACATGTGTACGAGTGATATCACTGATGCCCACATGCAGGTGTCCTAGTTAATTCAAGGTTGGTGGCTCGAGCATCTCACTTTCCCAAGTGGGCTCATTGTAAGTACCATTATTATTTACAGCCTTGGAACCATGTCGGGATATCCATACATATGTATAGGTATGAAACTACATCAATATATCCAATATTTGAACTTCCATTGTACATGCATACCCAGGCAAGTCCACATTCACGGCCCCAAGATAGATATGTATGTTCCAAGTAGTATAACCAATACAAAATAAGACGCAATTTGAATAAACAGACATCTGGACCTCACAAGAGGGGGGCATGCGTGTCAAAGCGTCTAGCATCCACTAGACTATTAATATTCCGTACAAGGTTCCCGAGGTCACAACTCGACATGATCACTCAACCTTTCCCCAAGGGCCTTGCTCGGAGTCGAAGAGGAAAATTTCAGCAAAAAAAAATTATACTAGAGCTCTTTTTGATAAAAGAAAGGAAGTGCAGAATCTATAGTATACGGAGCCCGTCCGAATTCCGAATTTGGGGAGGGGGGTGGAAGCAGCTATTAGTCCTCAACCATGATTCGATTGGGCTTCAAGTGGGACCCCAAGAGGATACTTCAATAATCAAAATGGGGCTCTTGAGGTGATTTCCTTCTTGGCAAGAAATAAATGGATTTGGAGTCCGAAGCCTCTAACACCAAAAGAGAGATTCAACATGATTTGAAAGGTCGCCACATCCATGGATGTACTTCTGATATGTACAGCCAGTTTCCCGCATCATATCCATTTACTCGGCAAATCTGAAACTTTGCCAGTCATATCGCTGTATCCCGAGTAAAATGCCGAAAACGTTCTGTTCGTGACGGCGATCGGATTGGAAAAGTGGGTCCTGACCAGGGGACTCACGGATTCCGGTGGGAACTAAGCTTCATTCAGCTCATCAAGGTAATTTATGATACATGATTGGAGCATCCCCCAAAGACCCATCTCAGTGGAAAGAGAGAACACGGGGAATCCGGCAGAGATTGGGGGGAATATGGTACTGCTACTTACTACTAGTATTTAGTACGTAGATTTGGGAAATTTTGAACTTCTTGGTCTCTGGGGTTTTTCATTTGCTACAGGATACAGGCATTGTTACCGGATTGCTCTATTTCCCCTCAGCTTACTCCGTATTCTGTACGGAACTTTTCGTCTAACTAGAAGAAATATCGTGCCTGATCGACGAAGATTTGACAGACCAGAAAAAGGTGGGCCATGAAAAAAGACGCTATGTACATAGTACACATCAAAGAAGCCAAGGCTTCTCTGCATTGGACTCCACTGGAGGTACTTAAAGTAAAGAATAAAAATAAAAGAAAAATAAAGAAAAAAACAGAATAATCGTATCCGTATCTTGCCATCAGATACATACCAACTCTGTATATTTGCATGTACTATGGACAACGTAGTAAATATGAAGCAGAAAAATTTATTCTTGTTGAAAATGTTATTTCCACATAATAAAATTACAGGAACAAGCACTTAGTTCAGTAGATCACGACAGCAACTAAAGCTGGCGGATCATCATCCTATTCGTTTAAGTAAATTGCAGGCTGCTCCTGTTCCGGGCCTCCACAATGCACCGACGCCCCCCGACATTTCTCTTGCCATGTGGGTGAAAGGTGATCCGGCCTTAAGTATACACAGATTCCAAAATCATAGTATGAATTACAGTAAGATGCCGTTTTTGTACTCCATACAAGACCGTGACAGACAGTGGGGTCCAGGTCCAGGTTCAGGTCCACACCCCTGTGCCCAGGTGGCCCCGCTCCTTGGGCTCGAAAGAACCAGGCGATCCTGGTTTCTGGGCGTTTTGGTCAAGCTAGCGCTATCACGCTGGGCCAAGATGGGGAACATCTCCGTTCAGATCTCATTCAACCCCGTACCAAACCGGGACTTGAGGGAAAGAAGTGAAAAGACTGCTTTCTCCACTTGTCATTGGAACAGCTCAAAAAATTCCGGCTTCCAAGGTTGTAGCCTCAATCACCAAAAGCTCGATCCCGGCCCGGTAAAAAGGGGTGCGTGGTTTGAAGCACTTGAGCTCGTATACTTCGTATTTTCCTTCCTCTTCAGCCCTACATTGGAACTTTATATGTTACTTGTGATTGTTCAAATGTGTTATTCAATGTTCAGGACCTAAAAACATTTGAACCTGGCTCTAAATACATATAAGAATTGATTGCTCTGTCAAGTCATACATATACGTAGCTGACCAGGTCATTCCCGCATGTTCCAAACTTCAACATCCCTTTACCCTCAACTCTGGGGAGCAACTTCAATGCTGCGAGTAAATTTACCTAGGTATTGTAACATTGAATGTGCTTTTGTGCTGTCTTGTACCAGGAAAGTACATATGTATGATAATACCCATACGTATGTATATCTATGTAGTACTTATACTCAGAATATGTTGTAGACCTTCAAATCTTTACTGCATTCATACATGTACATGTATGGCCTAATATGGCCTAGGCGTTGTTTGGTGCTTAGTGAATGTTCTCCAGGGGTACAGAATAGTGTACCCCGTTGATCAAAAATAGCCCTGGAGACTTATAGCTTGAGGGTTGATTAGTAGCTTGTAAATACATTACATAGTTCCAAGGCCCATCTCACACCTGGGCAGTTATCTACTAGAAAGTAGGCGTTAGATTCAAATGTTGTTTAAAATTGGAAATTTTCAACATTTTGGGCACTTTTTTTGATGCGTACTACATACCACACATACGTGGGAATGTCCTGATGTATACGGAGTATGGCCTTGGAACCTTTCAAAATTCAAATTTTCTCCAGGCTGGAAAATATCATCCAATTTCCAAATGCCACGCACTTAAGGATTCATACTCTCAAAGAGGCGTAAAGATCGGTCGATCCCAGGACCTGTCGGATACGACTGCCTTCAATTGAGTTGGCGCCGGCCGTTTGAGCTGTGGCTCCCATGTCTAGCGCCATGGGGCGGGGGGGGGGGGGTTTTTAAAAAAAAAGAAAAAAAAAACAAAGGTTGGAGAAACAAATTGTGGACTTTTAGAGCCCAAGCCATTGACTAAATCCACTCAGGCACATGCCACCCCCACCGGTAAATCCACCACGACCGTATCCCGGGGACGCACTACTTACTGACCTTTGCCTTTTCTAGGGGAACCAACCTTGGAAGGGATATGACCACATGAATAAGAAAGAAAAAAATGAATTTAACGCCTAACTCCGTCCTAGGCGCCAGAGTACTGCATTCCTAATCACCGTACACGGTGTTGTACTCCGTAGACTTGTCTTAACTTGGGGTAAGCTGCGGACTCTCCTACTTAGAACCAGTGGAGCTGATCGAAATCATCTGTAGTAGGAACCCCTGTATGTACGGAGTACGGAGTACGTAGCATGTACTACTATAGTCATGTCTGTCCAACTCTGGAGTTTCATCTCCTCATTGTCTTCCGTATGATTCTTCTCCTTTTGATTTTTTATTCATTTCTTTGTGATTTTGATTATGATCATCGGATCAACCTCTCCGTTGCCGCCGAGAGGGGGCCACATCAACCATGATGCGTTCAATCGTGATGGCCCCAGGAGTGTTGGGGGCCCCGATTGCTGATCCTCAAGGTTGCACTGCAGCGACATCCACCCTGAATCAGTGGCTTCGACCTTTGCCTCGGATTCGGATTCGTGCAATGGATATGCACATGTGACAAAGAGAGATGGATGCAATTTCGGATCCCTGCAATTCATGCAAGCCTCATCATTTTACTTTTTCGCGGGTTTGGAGTGGATTAGATGGGGTGGATTCGCTGGTGTTGGTGGGTTTAACTTTCTGTCGTTGATGAGCATTGCTTTCAATTCTCTTTCCGCGGCAATCTTAGCCGTTCGCTTTCCCAATGATTTTCCCTCCTTTTTGACGTCTTATTTCTTCCATCTCAGGGATATATTATCCTGATTGAATTTCCCAAGCCTTTCCAAGGTTGGATGATCAAACTCCATCTCCACCGGGCTTCCAAGATCCTCATGTTCAACCTTTCCTCGTACACTTGGGAGCGATTTTCAATTGCATCATTTGCAAGCTGTCTCCATTTTTCTTGGCTCATTTTCTCTCGGCTCTGAACGGTGGCAGTCCTTATCCGGGCGGCGGGGAGGGGCGAGGGGAGGCGAATTTTGCATTTTGTTCTAAGATTCGTACATGATATTTTAGAAATATAGTCATAAAATCGTCATCAGCCCGATGATCTACATCGAAGAAGGGGCTTGCTTGCCTCTAGTGGCAAGTGATGTGTTTGTTGAGTAGTGCCGGTACTACGGTGTTAGCGGCGACACTAAACAGATATGTAGACCTCGGGACAACCTTGCAAGATATCCCGCTTTAAGCTGAATTCCGGGCCGTCAGCTCCTTGAGTACCATACCAACTCCCTCGATGACGGTGACCCATTCCGTTTCGTGAACTCGCTTCCCAAAGGCCTCTAGATCCTCATCCTGGCCCTTTAGGAAGGGAATCTCCTGGACTAGAATGGGCTGGCCCATATCCACCTCGGAAATGACATCGTGGATCATTACACCCGTCTTATCAATCTTGCCTTCCATCCAAGCAGCATGAGCGCGCTCAATCGCATTCTGTACCATCCTGACATCAGCAAATAGGAGTCTTTGAAGTCTTGTGATATACCCCATTCAATGTGTATCTAAATTTGAACTTACCACACCATTGAAAGCGCCCGGGAGCGCTGGATGCAAGTTGATTATGCGCACATTGGCCACCTCAAGGGGCCTCAGAAATTCCGGCGAAAGGATGTGCATGAATCCAAGACATACAACCAGCTCAGGTTGATCAGCGAGGATCAAGCGAGCCAGCTCGGCATCGTACTCTTCACGCGCGGCTTGAACACCCTCGGGTGTAGCAGGGTGCTGCTTCTTGTACTTGACAAGATTGTGGTATTGGGTAGGAATGCTTGCTTTCTGGGCACGTTCCAGTCCGAAGGCATCTTTCCGGTTGGAGAGGACGCGAATAATGTTTGCGTTGAGGGTACCGGCTGCGACTTGATCGATTACTGCTTGCAGGTTCGAACCATTGCCGGAGATGAGAACCGTGGTCCGGATTTGTGTAGTCATCTTGGTGATATGGGAGGTTCTAATAAGAACTTATGCTTGTCGTGGGCTCCGTTCGAGGAAGAAAGGCGCGGGGCTTGAAGTTTCTCGGGACTGTGTGGTTTTTTTTTCCCAGTCAGAAGTGAATCGGATCAAACCTTGAGGTACCGATTTTGAGCTTCAATTTGTTCGAATTGAGCAGAGCTCAACCTGAAGATTTATAGACATACCAGTGCAATCGAGACGATAAAATTGCATTTGAATGATGCTGAGCTTCCATGCCGCACTGGGAAAGTTCTACCACACGTGACCCGCGGGGTACCCGGCGGGGCATGAGAGACCTACTAGGTTAGTAACTAGGTTAGTAACTGCTAACTAGTAGTAGTATACTACAAAGTACTAATTCTAAAGGCAAGTACATCCAGGCACATAATGTACTGCAACCTCGAATGCCTACTAGTAGTATCATTAAACATGGGCTGCATAACATTGGAAGATTGATAGTACTGAGAGAGTTGAGAGTTCTAATGAAAACATGTCCACCACTTCTCTTTAATGAGGTCGCCTTTCTTTCTCCTCGCTACATTGGAGCACATGATAGGTTATTATTTCTTTCTGCTTGGAAAGAATGTTGGAAGCCGCCTGGAGGAAGGTCAAATCAACTGAGACTAGATGTTTAGCCGTTTGAGAAATTATACAGCCTGTAGGTCTTGTATGGCAGGATCACAAACAAATGCAAACGAAAGACGCCAAAAAATATGAACAAAAAAGAAGCATTTGGAACTGAATGCCGGGGGGATATCAATAAAAAACGAAAAAGTCGTTAGAGCTCGAAGCAGACGCTGAACGCTGAATTCCAATTGGGGGGAGGTGGTCAAAAGCCAATGGCCAAAGGAGACTTGTTGGTGATGCAAGGCACATCAAATAGCGGTAACTTCGGGAGCGGAAGCTGGGATAGCATCAGGAGGAGCAGCATCATCGTTACTGGGTGTTTCATCGACACCCTCGCCTCGGCATAAAGGACATGAGTTTCGCCCAGTCGTCAGCCACTAATGGAAACAGTTAGTCTCACCGCATGAAGCAGACATGATACAAAGTAAACAGACCTGGTCAATACAGTCCCGGTGGAAGACATGCTTGCATTTCACAAGCTCCCGGACCTCTTCGGCTACTTCGTAGTCACTCAGACAGATCAAACAACGCTCTCCATCCTGAATATGAATGGCGCTGGCGCCATTCACAGATTCGGCGACCAATGACCCTTCATATTCAACGAGTCGGAATAATCCGCCTGCGGAATTAATGTCGGCTTGGGTGGCAACGGGAGGCTTTGCTGGGCCCAAAAGTGACGAGAGAAGAATCATGTCCTCATAAGTAGGGTTCTAGACGCGCCTTAATTAGGCAATGAATGAGACGGGTATATTCGAGGAAGGACATACATCAGTGAAGAGACTAGGGGTTGTGAGAGCCGGATGGTTTTCTGATAAATTAGTTCCAACAACGTAGATCAGCCAGCTTCGACCCCCGCTTGGGGGAGGTTGGTCGGGCTCAACCACGCCGTTGCGACGGACCGATCCAGAACCAAGGGCACGGTGGCGAGCGTACTCAGAATCGCTTCGACGACGGTGTCGTGCAGCGCTTGGTGGTGGGACTGTTTCATCTATAACGGGCTGCATAGAGCGATTCTCGTGCAGCTGCGGTAAAATGCTGGGTGACATGGCCGATGCAGATGATGGCAGTCGACTTGGCGTCGAGGTACTAGATGACACAGCTGACAAGCCCTGCTCAGCTGGTGTAGAGGGAGGAGGGTGAGGACCTGGAGGGCTCTCTGATAATGCGGAAAGAGGAAAATTCGGCAGGCCGATGCGAGAACCGACATCGGATAATCTCCTGGATGTGTTTGTGCCGGGGTGCCGTAACAAATCCGGTAGATTGGGAACCTGGAACCCCGGGGAACCCGCAGAACGTGGAACATGCAGTCTTGCGCGTCTATCTGTTCGATGTCCAAAATCACCCGGTGCCTCGTGTGGTCGTGGGATAGTACTTGGTGGAAGAAACGGCAACCCAAGCAGAGCTTCCAGTCCCGGACCTCCTGGAGCCGGTGGGCCTTGCTCACTTCCGGTCCCATTGCTACTGCCAGCTTGAACCGATCTGACACCGACAACGACCAAGGTCACTGTGCGTCCCTCGGTCGTATCTGCGGGCTCATCAACAGACATTCCATCCGAAGGATGTGCGGGGTTCTCAAATCCATTATTGTTACGGCCAAGTGGATTGACACCAGCAGGAGAATCAGCATTTGCGAACCGAAAGACTCGTAGAAAATTGACCGGAGGTGGAGGACCATCATTTGCAGAAATGCTCGGTCCCTCTGTCGATGCCGCCGGCTGAGCTTGGGCAGATGTAGCGCTCTGCAAGCTCTGAATGAAGTTTTCAAGTGACCCGCCTAGCCCATCATTCCCAAGTGCTTGTATGTTTGGTAAGGGCGGTCCATTGGCGCCAGACAATTGAGCTGCAATTGCAGCTGCAGCAAGCTGTAGAACCCGAGAAAGAGGTGTTGGCTCTTCTCCCCGCAAAGATCGTGTGGATCGTGCTCTTAGAAGACCAGGCAGGCGGCGCACGAATTGGGGATTGCCAGAAGGAACGGTGGCATTGGCGTGAATGCTGGGCTCAACCGAATCCAACTCATGTAAAGGTTCTCCAAAATCGAGGCGAGTATCCATAGCACTGGGGGGTCTATCACTCATGGATTGTCCATACGATAGTCGTTGGGATTCGTCATGCAGTGTTGAAACATTTGACGAAGGTTGACCAAACATGTGAGATATCGGTGTTGACAAAGAATGGCGCACTCGATGCAGGCGAGCGCTCCGGCGCCAAGAACTTCGACTAGGCTCAGCTAGTCGTTCGGTGGTATTATCAAGAATAGGGGGCCCTGGTGCCGTATCCACCATGACCGATGATTCTGCACGTGGGGGAATATGATATTGCCCCCGAGCGGAACGTCGGCGGCTGATCCCCCGAGAACCAAGTACACTGAAGGGGCTGAAGCGGCCGCTGCTATGCGTCGATTCGGACCTTGGTGGAGTTCTCGATACCAACCCATGGCGGTGTGCATGTCCCTCCGCAGGCGTCTCTTCCTGACTACTAAGAAGCCCTCGGATGACTGAGTTGGGGAGGATCCTAGAGCCCAGTCTTGACATAGTAGATTGTCTCCTCGCCGCCATGCGTGTTATGGCTGCAGAACGATATTCCCGCTCATTTCCCTCCAATTCTGATGCATCTTCCTCTCCGATGCTTCGCATTGAATGCGACCCTCCTTCGGAGTATCTTATCGGCTGTTGCCTTGTTTCGGGTGGCCCATTCGTTTGGTTCGAGAAAGATTCATGTTGACTATTTAGATCTGTTTCCGCTGAGGATGAGGTGCCGGCCTCTCCATTCTGTTCATATAGTTGCCTGTGGTTCATGTCTTCATCCCGCGTTCCGGGGTCACGCACAATCGAGGCCGGGTTGAAGTAATCCGGGTAGCCAATATCGGATGGATTTCGAGCCGTAGATGAAGACTGTCCCATAGTAGCAAGTTCGGGAAAGAATGGTTAAGTTGTTGATGAAGATAGAGATCGTCCACTGTCATAGAAATCCCTGGGTTACTAAGAGCGACCGCATCAGCATGGAAAGTCCGCTTACCAAAAAGTCGCAGTAAAGAACGAACCCTATGACAAGTCCAGCGTGATCCGGTACATCCGCAGAGTGCCGATGTTTAATACCAAAGATGGAATGGCGCTGACTTGGAGATGTTCACTAAGTACCGATTTGGGGGGGGGGGGGGGGTTCGTCTCGGAGTTTCGGAAATGGCCAGTGTAGTAACAATAGACAATAGTAAAGCGTAACGGCAGCGGAGCGGCAATGAGCTTGTATGCAAGCAATGGGAGCCGAATGAGCGATACAAACTACTTGTTAAAAGGCGAGGCACAAAAGCTGTGGTAGTCTCGAACGGTCTGACGAGCCCACAGTCGAGGCCACAGATACCCACCGAGCGTTGGGAGGAGGTAGCGATCGGGGGATCCGCTGATGACGACGCCCAGGGGGCGGCCGAGACTGTGGGGAAACAACAGAAAGCGGTTGGTGTGAGGGTAAAGAAAAAGAAGAGAAAAAGGAGAAAGAAGGAAAGAAAAAGGAAAGAGTGATGTTGAGAGAGACAAAGAGGTGTAGCGATAAAGGTAATGTTTGCTTGCTTTGCTCAAGGGACTGTCTTAGTCAACAACGGGAACTGACCTGACTGCAGAAGCTAAATGTAACTTTATTTTTTTTCCATTTCAACACATTTCTTCGCTTTCAAATTTTCTCTCACGTCTCGTTTTACCGCCAACTCCTATTTGGTGGGGATTTTAGAAACAGCCCTGAATGAGATTTGTGGTACCGTGAGACCGAAGCACATGGACCCATCGTCGCTCACATGCTTTGAGTTGCCACTGCCTCCCTGGCTCCAGCAACCGAGCACTATCCTCGCCCCTGGTGGTCGAAAACGCAAAAAGGGTGCTGCATGGAGCACAGAGGGGCAAGAAAAGAAAACCACCAGAAATAAGAAAGGCAAGAAAAGCAACAACGATGAGGGAAGTGCATTGGCACATCCCGTAGGAGAGCCTCTAGCCCTCACACCCAATGAAGCCCATCAATACCGAGCTGCCGGTCTTCCGCTTGACCAAAATCTGCCAGGAGGTCGGTTTCCCCACGAGCCTGTCAAAGAGAAAAAGCCCAAGAGGCGTCAAACTAGGCGACCCAACCCAGATTCAACCGACTCTGGAGTTCTAGAAGACAATGACCTGGCAGGCAAGGACTTGTTTTTACAACACCTCAAAACGCTGAATAGCCTACTTCATCGCTTTCTCATGGACGGTGACTACCCCAGAGCAGGACGAGCACTGGGTCTCCTTTTGCGAGAAAACTTCAAAGGGTCCTCAATAGATGTGCGCCATGCAGGAAAATGGCATTTCGGAGCAGAGATATTGCTGCTCCGAAGGGCTAAGCACCAGCCCGGTAATTCCAATGAAGTCGCTTCCACTCCTGCATCATTCACTATCAAGGGATTTGCGGAAGCGAAAGCATTTTATGAAAGGCTGGTTCTTGCTCATCCATATTCGAAAACCGCTCCGCATGCCGTCTCTGCTTTCCATTTCTATCCTGCCATGTTTGGCTTATGGATTTACGTCACCCAGGAAGAGAGCAGTTTGGAGAGAAAGAAAGTTGAGGATGATAGAGATTCCGATGAAGAAATGTCTGAACACGAAATTTCCGATCATGAGGATTTGGATTATGAGGATCGGGTCTTGCACAAAAAGCAGATACGTATTTCAGCTATTCGGGCCCGGGAATTGGAGCAGGCTCAGCAAATCGCAAGACGGATTGATACTCTTCTTGAAGCGCCCCCATATTCAGAATACGGAGATTTGCTAGAAATGCGAGGCATGGTGTCTCTTTGGATCGGTGACTTGCTAGTTTTCTCCCTGGCACCACCCTCGCCCTCATTTCAGGATGGAAAGCAAAAATCCGATAGTACACATTACTCCCAAAATGTACATCCTGTACAAAGATTGGCAGAGGAGAAGAAGGAACAGAGGCGGTTACAGATTGACCAGGCACGAGAATTTTTGCAGCAAGCCAAGCTACGCGGCATTCGAGTCGCATGCGATTTGAATAAGTTTGATCTCATCAAGGACTCTCATAACGATTCGGAAGATTATTCACGAAAAAAATACGCTGATACCTAGGTCAATTGGGGATCAATAACCTTGAACTTTGGAAGGCGCCTGTGGAAATCTGTATGTAATACCTACTAGTAGGTATCGAAAACTCAACCTTGGATTTAGGTATATGTGTGTAAAATGTATACTACCTACTAGTACTAATACTAGGTAAGGCCCCAATTTGTTATGGAAATAATGTCCGCAGGTGGCGCCTTCTAAGGCTACAAGCTTTCCTGGGGTCAGTATGCATACCTAGTAGTAAGTAGTAGCAAAGTAAATTCGTCAATTTATCGATTTATCGATTTATCGATTTCCTTCACCCGGGTACAACCCTTGAAATCAAATCAATTGCCATTGAAAAAAAAAAAATACCCCTATTGTACACAATACAGTAATCCACCCAATACTAGCTACTTCGTAATGTTAAATCATGGAAGCTCATCCATCAAGACCAGTTGACTGACGTTTCAAGTTGAAGCACAACTTGAGGTCTTGCGTCCACGTGATTACGCGGTGATCTCGCGTCGGGTAGGCTTGACCACTCTTCACCCCCCTGGATACTTTTCTTTCTTTTTTGTGTCAAAGACCCCTGCTGTTAGAAGTCGTATTCCAGGACTGATCTCGAAATTACCAGGTTGTTTTTGCGCATTCATCATGGGAGTGGGCGACTACGTCCACTCCAAAGAAGTCGGGCAGCCTCGTGCACCTGCTGACCTAGGACCGTCGCATCGCCAACTGCGGGGCGCGCAAGCAAAATTCGAGGTGCCTATCACCCAAGTGGATGATTTCAATGCTCACGGGAGACCTGCTCCACTCAATTCTCTCGGAGCAAGGCCCATTGGACAACAGCCTTTTACAATACACGCTGAAAATGTGGCTCACCGGGATGCATTTGATACGGACGCTGAAGGCGTCGATGATTCAACAATTGCGGGCACCAGTGTTTTCGGATTTGACGATGGACAAGCTCATGTCACGTCTAACTCAAATGGTCGCTACATAGATACCTCTCCTCGTCCTTCTTACTTGCCTCGCCCTTCTCGGCATTCCCGGGCATCTTGGTTTGATGGTATGGGTGATAAGGCCATGAAGAAAGCGGGCTTTGACTCCGATGACGCCGATGATACTTCCAGTCAGGTGACTTCAACGGCTCCTGCGGACGATGAAAAGACCGATCAACAACAGCAGGAAAATCAGCCAAGCAGCTGGTACCTTGCTCACAAGCACCGTTCAACAGAAGAACCACTCAGCAAGCGATTGGAGAATTTCTGGGCTGCAAGTAAGAAGGCGCCTAGATCGGCGGATCACCAACAGGTTGATACTTGGCAAATGACTTCTGTGGAACCTGTCAATGAGCCTAGCCCACCACGAAAGTTGGGACATATGTTACCTCATACAGCCGCTAGGAAGATCATACTCCCCCACAGCATGTCCGCGACGCCAAGAACGCGTTTTAGCCCACCCAAACCTTCCTTGCTGGATCAATTAGACAGATCTCCAACCCGCCACGGCTCTGAACCGCCTCCGCAGGCTGGGCGAGCTCTCAGTATCACAGCCTTTGCGCAGCCCGACCACAGTGACGATGAGGCCGGCATTGATGAAACTATTCGTCTGAGCAGCAGACGAGATAGTGACCACTCCTCAAATATCTTTGGTATCACAAACATGTCAGATCTGGACCGCGATGAATCTGTGATTGAAGCCGGACAAGATCCATTCCTCGCTCAGTCGGCCTCCAAGCGCGGCCGTCGCAACACGGTCATTCATAACAACAAGCGCGAACTGGAGTCGGATTACCCACCACAGCAGCTGTATCAAAAGTCATTCGCCGAGCTACAGGCTGAACCATTCGAGAAAGCACCATCACCCACTCCTTCCCCCATCAAGTCACCCTCTTTGCCACCCGATCCTATTTTCGCGTCGAACAGCGAGTCATCAGACAAGGCAGCGTCTCAACTTTTAACCCTCACAGACCAAGACCGCCAAATTTACCTGTCTCATATGACTGTGGATGAGTGGGAAGACTGCGGAGATCAGCTCATCGATCAATTCAGCCACCTTCTCATGCAAATGAAAAAGCTGCGTCGCGCCCGTCGAAATACAGCCCAGGTGTTTGAAAACGAAATCAAGCGCCGTCACGAACAGGTCGAGACGCAAAATCAAGATCTCTCCGCAAAGCTGGATGAAATGAGAACCGGGGGCGCGGAGGTACTTCGTGGACGGAATCAATGATTTCCGGATTTCTCACCAAGGCTGGCTTTCTATCCATGTCTGTTGATTGGTTTTTTTTACAACTTATCATATGTTGCATATCGTTTTGTGTGTTTTTCTTTTTTCTGTTTCATTTTTATCTACTGATCGAGACGATGTGTCTATTTATGCCCAACAATACCCACCATTGCACCCGTTAACGCCCTTTTACGAATGTGCTTCTTCGTTCCAGCCACTGTCACTTCTGTGGCGCGCCTATAAGAAAGTGAGAAGAGAAGAGAAGAATCAGGAGATTGAGGAACTTCGTATTTCTTTATAAGTGTATATCTGGGGTGTCTCTATACTTACTAGTATTTCCGAGTAAAATTACAAAGAAATTTTAATGAAATATTTTCCGCGTTTCCCATTAACGTGTCACGGGATAGGAACTTGTGAACTTGTTCGCCGCACGGAGCTCGGACCGGACATGGATCCGCATGAACCTATCAGCTGGACTTGGCGGAGTCACTTACGACTTAGCGCCATAGGGCCAAAAGTCGCCCCTTGTAATAGAGCATGCCTGGCCCTTCCGACGATGGCTTTGATAATTTTTTGTATTCCACCCGGTCCTTCTCCAGAATGGAAATCTCAGACACCCCCCCTTCGGCCTCGAAGGCAACACCCGATCGAGACACCACTGCCCAACTTTTGTCCTTAACCGTCAATAAAGAGGGCCAGCAGAACGGATCTGATGTGTTCGAAAGACGAGGCTCCGCCGATTCTGCTGGGGCAGATGCCCAGGCTGACGAGGGTTTTGTGCTTTCACGAAGCGTGCAGGACCCATCGGAGGAGCTTCCCATCGAGCTGATCAGCTTGACAGATCGGTAGGCTTGGGTCACCATGTATCATAGTGGTTTGTTGATTACAGAACTGACCTTTGATTTGTCACTAGCTTCATCAACTCGCTGAGCGCAAAAGTACACAACTCTCCTCCTACAATCGATAAAATTTCCTCTCTTTTCCAGGTTTTCTATGATCGTGCCGAATCCCACATTGCTACACACATATCCGCGCTTGCATCTCGTATCAATAGAGATCCAGCTCCGCAGGCTTCAGTACCCCGCACCAGTCCGTTTTCGAAACTAGGCAACAAAAAGTCACAAGATGATGTTCGGCAAGTTGCTGCTGGCCGGCAAATGTTGACGGCGTCAGAGGTTGCAGACAGGCGGAGGGCGCGTAAGGCTCTGGAATACAAACGGACGGTGATGGAAGAGGCCGCAGAACGAAGAGTTTGTGAGCTGGTTTATGATAAGATCTGGAGGCATAAAACCACTTTGGATGATGTTCGGGATGAGAAATTACGCTCCAAGACTGCCGCATTGTTGCTGGTAGGGATCAATCTGAAAGATCTAGGAATCGACATCGACTTATCGGCAGTCGAAGAGACGAAGCAGCAGGAGGCCAATGATTATTTGGCTCTGGCCCGAAACTTTCTGGAAAAAATGAATGAGTACAAATATCCTCTTGGCAAGCTCCAACAACTAGCAGCCGCCCATAAAGCTATTGTGGACGCATTGACCAAACTTTTGCCTTCGTCATCATCAGCAGATGAGATTCTACCTACACTGATCTATTCACTCATCACCTGTCCGGCTGATGGTATTAACGTCATCAGCAACCTTCTTTTCATTCAAAGATTCAGATCATCGAACAAGATTGATGGCGAGACGGCATATTGCTTGACAAATCTCGAGGCGGCCATTAGCTTTCTGGAGAATGTCGAGCTTTCCAGCCTACGCGCAGATGAGCTCCAGGAGGGGCCTCTCCAGACCCCGAGTGAAACAGCAACTCCATCCTCGGAGCGAACCGATCCTTTCAAACCAGCTAAAGAGACTACCACATCGTCAATCACGAATGTATCTGCTTCACCTGAGATAACTAAACCGGAAGCCAAGGAACCGGTGTCAGCTATGTTGGCTCGACCCCGCCCCTCTCCAACGCCCCAGCAACGACGTCTCAGCAACCTGTTTCAACCACCGGCAAAGGTACTAGAAGCAGCTAATGATGCAGTCCGCACCACGGCGGACCAGAGCCTCAAAAACATTGGTGCCTCGCTCGACAATTCCTTCAACTTCCTTTTCGGTCGTCTCAAAGAATTACAGACACAGGGTCCCAATTCAAATGGACCTGTACTACCAAAAACCTTGGCCGAAGCTCGTCGGCTAGTCGCTCAGCCCCTGGTCAACAAGCCTATCATCATTCAAGAGGATCTAGTGTCCATCAATTCCATTCCATCTGAAGATGGCACACAAGTTACCAGCATCTCAAGGGCAACCGGTGTGACCAGCGGTAGTCGCACACCCCGCGACCGAAGTACTGACAGTGCAAGAACACAAAACAGTAGCAAAAAATCAGTAGCCCCATCTCAGCGAGATGAGCCCCTCCAAAGTCCATCTTTGAGCGCCCCTCAAACCCCATTGGAGTCGATGCGAAATTTTGGGAACTCCCTCAACCCACTCAATCACATTCCCGGCATGATTAAGAACTTCGGCCGCAATGCCCCGGGTCAGGATGTCCGTGGTGGGCTGGACACACCGAATTTAAGACCCCTTTCCCCTGCAGCGATGGATCGCCTCAGAATCTCGCCTATATCAACAGAAACCACAAGTGTGATCGTGAGCCCACAACCTACACAGAAGATCGATCCTCCCATCCAAAAGTTCATCGATACGCAGGATGCCCGAGATTTACGGCTTGGAGATGTGGCTGCTCTGCTTGAAGATTACAAGCGACTCGCGGCGGCCTTTCACAATTCTGGAGCTGAATCTCAATGACTATGCTATCGATGAGTTTTCATCCACTCCACCGCCGTCTCTTTTTATCTCTATCTCATTTCGGTTAGTTCATAGATCTCGCTGGGCGTATTTTCTCAAACGGTCATTGCATTGCGGGATGAGTCGTGGTGTTATAAGTATTTGTTCATGCTTCGTATAACCTTGGAGCCGCAGAAGTGAGTTGAATATTTTGATTGCATAAATACCACATCAATCAATTGATACATGTATTTCTTTAAATCCAGTTACAGCCTTCCAGTGTTAAAGATTCCAAGGATATATTAGTTGTTTTCAAGGTTCTAAGCACTTCTAATGGATCAATGTTGGAAAGAGGCAGGTACATCGGTATAAGGAACTCGTCGAAGTGGAACTGTTCATAGAATCTACTGAGGAAGAACAAGCAAAAGAATGAATATGAATTGGATTGTTTGAAGGAAGAGAGAAGGAAGAAGCGAGACGCAGCCTGCTATCTAGAACAAAGAAGAAGCACTGACGCAAATATGGGTCATGTGATTCTAAGAACTATACGCCTCGCGCACGCGATCCAGCTTGGAAGTGACCTTATCAATCATATCATCCTTGTCGGACCTGGAAGCCCACTTGGACCGTAGGGACTTGACTTTTTCCAACCTCGCAGAGATTATATCCATGACGACAAGTAGGCTAGTTTGTTCTCTCTGTGTTGCTTCCAAGCGAAATAGTTCAACAAATTTTATGCCATAAGTTAGCTGGTCCCACAGCAAACAAGGGACATTGAAAAATGTATTGGACGAGCATATCGAAAGCCACTCGAATAAGCCACGGACACCTTCCAGGCATCTCGATACAACCAGCATACGGTGCTGCCCAGGGTATGCGTGTCTAGATTCCCACAGCTTTTGGTGGATACCGGCACCATCCAGATATAGCTGCGATCTATGAAATTGATCAACAGGTAGGTGCAAGCCGGCTGATGTGTTCTCAAGTTAGGATCTAGTATATTTGCTTCAAGAAACAAGAAATTGTACTACTCACGGATGCGGCTATCTTCGTTCGATAATGCATTCCAAAGTTTATGACTTTGGTGATCCTGCATGATCAAAGTGTAGTCTTCCGAACAGGTGGGGTTAAGGTCTTTAGCCATATATCTGGCGCTTTCAACCAGTCTCTGGTGCTCCACAAGCGGCACCAGAAGACTATGATCGGTCAAAATGCTTTCTTGGTCGTTCAGTTTTTTTAATGCATACTGGACGATTTCGGAGAACAATGATGGCCGTATAGCGTCTATAAAAGAGAGGTATCTGTACATATATGCATTAGTAAATGATGATATCATTAATTTACAACTCAAAACGAACAGTGAAGACAGGTAAAAGGTTCCGAGAAGAAGACGGCAGTCGTCACTGTCCGCATGCACCTTTCCTTTGCCCATCCAGGCGACCCAACAATAGAGAAAGACGGAGGTGGCTAATCCCTTTAGCGCATTGGGCAGTTGGCCGCTGTCTCCATTCAAGAAGCGGTGTCTCCTGGATTGAACGCAATGGTTAGTTCCGGAATATTTCCAAGGATGAAAGTACGGTTGCTCAAGGCAAGTAAGAGTCCGATACCATGAAACGCATATGAGCACTGCTTTGTGCAATTTCTTGTGCACTTCCGGTTTGTTTATAGTCTTCCGGCCTCTTCTCAGCTGTTGTATCAAATCTTCCGCCCTTTTTTGTCTTATATCTCTCGTGGCTTTGAAGTCTGTGGTAATGATAATTGCCTTCCAAAGCCAGGGATCACTCATCCATATTTGTCTCGATGGACAATCTGGGACGGTGACAAAGGGTAGATACTTGAAGTAACTTTCCCGATACTGGGCTATCAAACGCTTGGCCTTGTTGTCGTTCGGCCATAGATCGCCCATATATGCCTTATCATCCAGCTGAGGCTCAAGAGATTCCAGTTTCTGCTCGTCTTCGGGACGCTTAATAGCTTGAGAAGTCGACCGGGGCGGAATTAGCACCACAAAGTTATGGGTGCGGGTGCGAGGACGGGGTGGCTGTTGTGGCAGGCATTCTGCGCCTTTTTTCTTGCATCTAAGTCAACTAAATTAGTAGCTTGATTCTTCGAAGTTGGATATGCCTCAGCTAATCAACATACTGTTTGCATGGTGATTTTGAGTCTTTAGTTCTGTCGCAGCGCGTTTTGTATTGACGGCATCGAGCACAAGCTCGAAAATTTTGCTTTTTGACGGATTTTCTTTGGCTGGATCTTATCTCCCTGGTGGGGTGGAGATTGGAGGAGTGAGGTCGTTTCATGACACTGCACATGTGGTCTTGGAATAATTCAGCCCTGGGGGATATGGAGAGCATTCTTATTGAAACGTGTGCAAGATTCTTTGAAGCAAGTTGAGGAGGAGGCAGGCTCTTGAGGCAAGTTCAATTGGAACTGTACCACAGGCAAATCTCAATGACTATTCCTGACTCGGAGATTCGTAAATATGTACTTATGTCGGGGGGAAGTTTCAAGGAAATTTCCCAGTACATCTCCTATTTATAGACATCCCATGAAGGTGCCTTGAGTATTCAAGCCACATGGACTAGAGTACCCCCCCCCCAACTCCCTTGGTGCCCCAGTAGTAATGAAGCAAACATACATCTACATATACTGAGTCCCGATTAGATAGGTCATCGGTAATGTATTTTACATATAAGTAGATCAATCAACATTCTTGAGTAGTGGGCTAGCTGGTCTGCAAACAATAGTAGATAGGTCATCCATGAATCCGTAGTAGGTAGCTGCTGTCTCATATGTACATGCACTGGTGCCACTTGGCCAGGTGGCTTCTAAGGTTGATTTCGACTTGTAGACATGTCTTCACGGGTCACGAGAACAGGGGGAAAGAAGTGGACTCGTTTGATAAGCCCCTAATTGATTTGGACCACTGCACATCTGTTGACGGTTCCTTGGGGAACAACATTGAACCCTCAAGCGCTCCACCTGGCAGATGTCAGCAGCTACGATGCGTACGGCGCACAACGCATATGACCCGTAACCCGTTATTCAAGGACCTCGGGACCTGCACAGTCAATCGGGAAATTTTTCGACAACTTTAGAAGGCTACGTTGGTATCTATGGGTTGAGGTGGCTCCAAGCCTCCTGTCATTTGACTTGTATTCAATGTTGCCCACATGCAGATGGCATACCTAGCACTTGAGGTCGTCAACTCAAGGGTAACGAGTTGGCGGAGAAAGCCCACATGCCAACTTGAAACATTGAATTGAAACATAACTATACATGTTTGTATGACATATCAGATAAGTTGAATATTCGGAGGACCAAGATGAAAAGACCTTGATGAAACTTGGCGAAAGGAAGAAAAGGAGTAAAAAAAAAAAATATGCATTGACGGGGAATCGAACCCCGCTCTGCCGCTATACAATATATGGAAGGCGGCAATCATAACCACTAGACCACCAATGCTTTTCATATTGGGAAATTAAGTATTTCGTTATGAGTAGCTAATTACTGGTAGGCTATATTTTCATGACATCTGGATGCTCTAATGTTCCTATTTATACACATGGGCATGGATCATTATCAATATACTATACAGTAGTCTCAGGTGCTGTCTGAGATGGAAGTCGACTTCCAATGTTTGACTTTCCCCCGCTCTGTGTGGAGTAAACCGATCTACGAACGAATAAAAAAACAAAAAATAGATATAAATTGAAAAATTGAAAAATTGTCTCACTTAGTATATATTCCAAGCCTCTCTCTTCCTCTCTTCCGGTGAAATACAGGCCAGATGCTGATCAAGACTTTGAATTCCCTTGGCGTGGCTATGACTGCGTCCTAAAATGGCAAGTGGCGTTGTAACTCCCAACATTTGAACGTGCATTTCAATCCTCCAGCCTTGGAAGGTTCGCCCCCATCTGGAAGTAGTATGTCTTGAGGGCGTGATCAACGACGTATACTTTGTCCTGCATTTGACGCTCAGGTATCTATGACGTAGAAGCACCTCAACTCTCCGCATCCGACCCGTCTTCAAACATTTGAAATGAAGCCCTGCTGCCCTCTGTTCACCCCTGCCCCTTTCACCAACATTGAAGTTCTTTAATTTTTCTTATTTTTTGGGGGGCTCAAGTGCTGCATCAAATTTGTTCTACCATGGCAGACGATCTTAACACGACTCCGACCTTAGAGAACTTCGTGGCCACGACTAATAGAACCGGCTCTGCTTCCATTACAGTCGATATAAATAATCATGACAGTAAGCACAACCCTGGCTCAACACTACCCGACTCCAAGGAGCGCGACTTCATTGGCAGAATCTCGCGACAAGCAAGTTTCTTGGAGAATTTGGCAGCAGATTCGAGGGATTCTCAATTTCCTGCACAGGATAGAGGCGAGATAGAGCGATACTTCGTATGTACTTTGTGCGGCAAGTGGGATGATGATTTAACAACTCATGGCTTCATGGGAATTCTCACACAACGATAGCACGGTCCTCGGAATATGACTCAACACTCAAAATGGCCAATCGTCATGAGGGTTCAGGGTAGTGTCATGCCCCAAATGATCCTACCGCTATTTCTCGTGGGCGGTTGGGCGACTCTTATCACCTGCGTTTCCCATTTCTATCATGATCGTACGTCCCCCCCCCCCCCTACCTCCCTGATGGGTAATGAGGAGGTAAAATGATTTGACTAATGAGAACCCTGTGGGGTAAGTTAGTCGGTATCAACAATATCCTACTTACCGTCCTTGGGTTTGTGGTGGGCTTATCATTGTCGTTTCGTGGCTCCACTGCTTACGAAAGGTAGAGTCGCCAGATGCTTTACCGATTATCCAACATTGACATGACTCAGATGGGCAGACGGACGTAAGTACTGGGCTGCACTTATACAGACCTCACGTAACCTGGCACGCGTTATTTGGGTGCACTTTGGTGAAAGAGAGGGAGAAGAGGGAAAAGTTGACATACTGAGGAAACGGTATGTACCACTTACTTGAATGATGGATGGGAGAATCACTACCATGCATAAATAGGTCTGCTATGAACCTCATCCTCGCGTTTGCCGTCGCATTGAAACACAAGCTTCGCTTCGAACCTGATGTCGCATACGAGGATTTAGCAGGTCTCATTGGCCATCTAGATACATTCGCCTTCCAAGCCCATGACCGCAATGTCGTGCACCCCCCGTCGAAAACTACATGGAAGTCAGTTGGAGAGTATTTAGGAGTCTCATTTGCTAAATCAAACCCGCGAAAACTGATCAAGAAATCGAAAAAACCGCTGGGACATCTTCCGATTGAGATTTTGATCCATTTATCTGCGTATATGGAGTCATGCGTGAGAAATGGCACACTTTCTCTGGCTCAATACCAAGGTCAAGCTAGTAAGTGCATGAATTCTTGCAGACTAAAATTTACTTACGGTATTGTAGTGACAATGATGTCCACGTTGAATGAAATCTTAACTGGAACAGAGCGTGTGCTAGACACTCCTCTACCTGCCGCATACAGCATTTCTATTTCTCAAATTTCTTGGATCTATGTGATGCTTCTTCCCTTCCAGTTGTATAATTTCTTACACTGGATCACTATCCCTGCTTCCATGGGTAGGATCATTGATTCTCTCTAATAAATAAGTCATCACTGACAGTATCTCTTCACAGTCGCGGCGTATATAATAATTGGCCTACTTACCATTGGTAGCGAGATCGAAAATCCCTTTGGAGAAGATGTTAACGACCTGCCACTCACCACATACTGTCGCCAGATTGCAAAGGAACTTGACATAATCACAGCTACACCACCTCCAAAAGTTGAAGACTTTATGAGCCGACCAGAAAATCTCGTGTTGTTCCCACTCAGTCAGGAAGGTTACCCATCCTGGAAGAGGCACAGCAAAGCGGACATTCGGGCTGCACTTCGGGCTATGGCCATTGCAAACACAAGCCGAGAACCCACCTTAGATGGATCAAATGTTTCCACTCGAACAATGAGTCTCTCTGGGAATGCCATGAATCCTGTTTAACTCAGGGGGCGGGGCTTAAAAGTCCCCAAATTTTCCAGAAAGACGAGCCAACAAAAAAAAAAAAAAGAAAAAAAAGAAATGGAACTAGTACAGACCCAATCTGAAGCAACTTGGATGCCCACTCGAAACAGATTCATAGATTGATTTACGACCGCACTTCAATCATTACAGGAATTGAGTTATATCGCATTCAATAATACCTACTGCACATCTGCCGAAAACATGAAATGGACTCGAAAATCGTTCCAGAGACTTGATCGAAACTGGGATTTGCAATTTTCATCTCATAACCTCTGCCTGGTCTTTCAAAGATAAGATCAAATTGGCAAAACCTGATCCCCTGGAAACCAACAGACTGCACGTCACCATATTGGCCCGGGAGACCCTGCTTGATCACAACGGAGGATGTGGAGATGACAGTTCCAAGTTGAGCATGAGCTCTAACAAACTATTGTGCTGCCTGTCAAGTACTTCAAAAGGGGTGGTTGGATAGCTTCAAATATCCGCGAACATTGAAAGGAGAGTGAAGTTATGATTCATGAACATGGTGATTTCCTTGGGTATTTGGAGCTGTACCATGGCGAAGAGACGACCTCGGGAAGCTTGGACATGCAATGAGCAGCAATGTTGACTTTGGAGGCCGAGCACTTGAGCACTTTAAATGAAGAAGGATTGAATTCTGCATGTGAACTTTGAATGCTTATATAGTGCACATGTTACGACTCACGAGTCACGAGTCACGAATCACGATTTATGCTCGTAATATCGCTTATGTAATCCGCGTTTTGTCACGACGCGAATCTGGAACCTGGAAATGTTGATAGTTGAAGAGAATCGTCACGGCACAACTGCCTTTCCATAATCTCCAGCAAAATGACGTCTCTAAGTTTCAGGTTGAATCCGGATGCAATGGTGAAGTTTCACGATGCCTTTGCATGTCTAGCAAAATTCAGTGACACCATTGCTCTAGAGGCCGAGCATGACTTGGTAAGACCCCCAACCTTACCACAATTTGCCATCAAGATGATCGAATTGATCCTGACTCCCAGTGAAAGCTTCGAATTAAGGCCCTAAACACCACGAAGACGGCATTTGCCTCTTTGGTGTTCGACAGGGAGGATTTCTTTGAGGAATACGACTTTAGCGTGAGCAGAAACAATGGGCAGTCGTTCCATGGTCAGGGAATAGATCGGTTTCATTTTCGAATAATGTCCAAGGTATGAAAACTTCACACCGACCTATCAGCCTGTGTGTTTGTTTGCACAAAAGTGACAGTTTACTAAATACCACAACCCAGGCACTACTTTCCGTTTTTCGGGGGAAAGTCGACAAAGGGAAAGAAACGGCGATCGAAGTCTGCTATGTTGAGCTCTTTGAAGATGACGAGCAAGATGAATGTCGATTGAATATCAGAATGATTTGTGCCATGGGTGTTATCAAATCATATAAGCTCACATATGAGCCTGGTGCGATTCAGCATGCCATATTCGACCAAACAAAAGCAACGAATAGGTGGTCTGTCAATCCCCGGTACTTGAAGCAGATCATCGATCATTTCAGTGTATCCGCAGAACAGTTGGATTTGTATGGAGATGAAGATCAGGCCGTATTTACGAGCTTCACAACGAAAATCATGGAAGGAGACGGTGCGCAATCATTCATGACCCCTCGCCGGTCTTGTGAGAACAAGTGTTATATAGTATGTGTACTAATGATGTTAAACAGAAGTTCTCAAAAATCCGATTCACACGTCAGTCGCCACCACAAAGTCTGATTTCTATGAATTTTCGGTTGAGGACAAGATGCACATCACGATCACTCTGAAGGACTTCAAAGCAGTGGTATTGCATGCTGAATCGGGTGGGTCCACAATAACGGCTCGGTATACCCGGCCCTGCAGGCCAATACAACTAGCATACGAGATAACTGGCATCAAAGCCGATTTTATCCTGATGACTCGCGGCGAAGCAGAAGATGTGGATGGATCATCTTCATCACGTGCGAAGGCCCGAGCTGCAGCTGCGGAGGCCCCTCGACGCAAGACAGTCTATAAATCCTCGGTTGCCCGGTCTGCGGCGAACAGGGTTGGCTCATTCTTTGACATAGAGCATAGAGCAAAGATGCCGCCTCCCCCAGTGCGAGCTAGGCCTCTACGTCCACTTCATGGGTCTTCGACCTTGGATCATCTTTCTCGCAACTCTGCCTCGGAAATTTTATCGGCCTCATCCGTGTCCGAAGTGCCAGAAGTATCGGAGGCACCAGAGGTACCAGAGCCAATGGAGTTTGATAGCCTCTTTGTGACCCAGGATAATGATCAATGGGATGAATTGGTTACAAATGAAGAGCCGCAAGATATTCTTGGGTGGGATGCAACTGGCCAGGTGCGTTGAATGCGTTTGTTTGACGAGAGAATGGTATATGGCTAATGCTAAAAAAGGAGCCACTCGAAAGAATCCTCCGTGACGCGGAGCCAGATTTTCCAAAACCTGTACGACTTAATCGACTCAATCGGACCGCGGAAGACGAGATGGGCATTCCGCCAACGCAACGCATGTCGCAAGTAAGTAACTTGGTTATTTATTGCATTTCTCTTTTTTCTCTTTTTCTTTCTTACAACGCTAGGTGGTTTTGCTAACATTCCATAGGTACGCGGCATGGGTCTCTTCGATTAGAGCTCTCCATTCAAATGGTATCGAGGATTGACGGTGTTCAGATGCAAAGTTCGCTCCAAGCTGTGAATCAATCCACAATCACCCAACTCGTTGCACACCCAGCCCCTACCCCAATGACCCTTCTACCGGCCGCATAAACAGCATCCGGTAGCGAAAGCACTTTATACATGCCGGCTACATTGCCGTGGGGATCTGTATCCGGTCCACAATTTCCATGCTCGCCCCACCCGAATGCCGCCACGGAACCATCCCGCAGAAGCGCAACAACATGCTCACTCCCAACGGCAAGCCTAGCCAGAGGCGGGAGGTCAGATGGTGGGAGTTGACCACGATCATTGCGGCCCCAGGCAAATAGCGAATTCTGACTCGCGGCAGCATCAGTAGTAGCAGCAGCAGGCGAGGATCCACATTCAACTGGCGTAGAGAGATGGACATAAATCCCATGCCAACTAGCCCCAATTTCCTCAAACCCCCACATTGCAGCCCCACTTTGTTTAGTACTAGCAGGAGCAGAGTTATCCACACTAGCTCCTACACCTTCTTTTCCTCGTATCCGTAACCGTAAAGCCTCAGAATCCCTCACATCCAAAACTCCCCACCGATTTCCCTCATCGCCGAGCACCAGAAACTCCCCCTGCTCTCGATTTCCAACCACAACCGTAAACTCGCGCCCACATATAGCTCCTGTCGCAGCAAACGGGATGCCCGATACCTGCTCCGGTGACCATACTATCTTCTCGCGCTTCAGTGCCTCGCCCAATTGACCTTTTCGAGACCCGCCCCATCCGTAGACATCTCCGTTTGAGAGAATAGCCACCGAGTGGCCCATCCCGCTTGCCAGCGCCAAGATCGTCGTGCCGATTGGTGGGAAGTCCGGGATCGATGTACACGGTGGCACGGCCGTGCCGTGTGCCAGAGGGTGATTTCCAAGGCCGAGTTCACCTTTTAGAGCCGACCCTTGAACAAAAACTTTATCTTCGTAGACTGTGCAATCCCCATGATCGTCGGTATAGTTGGCTCGTGTTGGTGGTACACTTGCGACGAGGATAGACGCCTCCCAGGTGGCAGACACAGATGTAAAGGTGTCGACGGTGTACCCGGTAGTCGGATCAGTGAGAATCACGCGTTGGAACCGTAAATCATTGTTCTTTTCTTCTTTCTCTGTTCGGTCCTTGTCACTATTGAGCTTAAAGGATTCATCCAAAGGGATGATCTGTTTGACTGGACCGCAACGTCCATCCGAGTTGTACCCCGCCGCATAGACGTGACCCTGGCGCGTTAAGAGGAGTGTATGGTTTCCCCCAGCGACGATTTGAACAATTTTGTCTGCCACTTGGCTCACTGAACCCTGTTCCTGATTTTCAAGGGCAGATGCTGCGGATGCTGTAGATGATGGTGTGAAGAGGCATTGTGTTGGGGTAGACACGTCTTCTTTGTGGCCAAGACCTAGTTGTCCCGACCCATTGGAGCCAAAAGCAAAGAGATTCATCAGTGATTTATTCAGAGTTCAGTTTTTTCCCCCTCCCTCTCTTTGCCTACAACACCATCGAAGTGGAGGGATCTATTTGTTGAATATTGGTAATGTAGTATAATGCCATAGCTGCCAGTGGGGACGATGATGCAAAGCTGGACCGCATTTTTTGTCCTTTCCTTTTTGGGATTTATTCCTTGGCACCCTAAGCGATTACATAATAGGTTTCTTGGCTTGCCATAAAGCGGCGGTATCTGTTCCCGGTAGATTAAAGGTCACGATATCTCCCGAGTCAAGGGCGTACAGTAAACGCATTCAATGTTGCAAGTTTCGCTCTTGGAACTTGAAAACAAATTCTGATCTGGATAAATCATAGTAGTCAACTAAATAACAGCCTTGGGGGGGGGGTTTTTTTTGGCTTTCGCTTAGTATGAACACTTTTAGTAAACATTGAATTCATCAAGCCGGGGATAAAGTGGGCGCACACGCATCCATGGATATGATGCGCGATGAAATTGAATTTTCCCCCAGTTCCAGGGTTCCACAGGTGCATAATTCGAAAGTTCTAGATCTCGGTCCAGGGGCGATTTTCACCTGTGGACATGGCATGAGTTCCTCCTACCTTTGAAGTACTGTTGCAAGGTATCTGGAAGGTATGAAAATTCGAGACTAGATTCCAATCAATGGAATCCATGATCATTCAAGCCGAAGCTGGGTATGTGAAGATATCAACATCTATATAATTATAAACAGGCGCCAAATCAATGCAAGTCATGCAATGTCCAAAGCAAGCGGTGATGTGCTTGATCAAATATAAACAGCCAAAAGAACACTTTTCCAAACGTCCCAAAAGAAAACAGAAAAGCCCCCCCCCCCCCAAAAAAAATAAAAATAAACAAGCCTGCCAGAAATGTGTAGAATATGTACTGGAAGATCGAGTCCGATCATCCATCTATGAGCGTTTCTCACTTGATGAGAATGTATGTGACTCGCTCGAGATTGTGCGCTGCTCGTTGTTATATGTAGTGGCGGTGGCACTGGAGAGTGTGTTTTGCTCATCGGAAGTGGCGGGCACGTTTGCGGGATTGTCGTGTCGCTCAGCATTGGTATAGGCGTCCTCGTCTACTTCAGCAGCGGGTGGCAAGGTGAAGTCGTCCTTCCTGTTGGAGGAACCAGGCTTCTCCATGGGACTCTGACCCTTGAACATGGGACTGGTGCGGTGGAAGTAAGTGTGCACATGACCCTCGAGCAGTGAATCATCGGTGTCATCGACGCTATCATCGCCGCTTTCCTTCTCAGCGTACTTGGAAGCCATGGCAGCCTCCCACTCGGCACGATACTCCTCAACCTTGTGTTGGTAGTCCTGCTCGGCATCATAGTTGCGATCAAGGTGCAGGACGTAGCGCTCGTACCAGGAAAGGTGCTTAGGGTGGACTGCAGGGCCATGATATTCACTTTCCCGACCCTCTCGGATGTACTGCCAACGACGCTCTTGTTCTTTCAAATCCAGACCAGTGGTATCCGGCAAGAAGGCCAGAGTCAGAACGACACCGGCCAAACCGAACCATGGAACGACTAGAAATTTCGTTTGATCGGAGATGTAGTTGTACAGAACTGCTGCCAGGAGGGCGCCAGATTTACCAGACGCGGCAGACAGGCCATGGGCGGTGGCACGGATGGGGGTGGGGTAAACCTCGGCGGCGACCAGGAAGGTCACGCTGTTTGGACCAAACTGGTTGAAGAACGAGCTAAGGAAGTACATGGCTTGGAACTCCTTGATATGCTCGGCCGAAGTGTAGTACTCGTAGTGAAAAGCGGGAATCACGAACAAAACAAAGCACATTAAGAAGCCGAAGGTTTGCATCCACTTGCGGCCATATAGTTTGTTGTCGATGACAAATGAGGCACAATAATAGCCGACCAGAGAGACACCGACGTTCACCAAGCTCCACAACCAGGTGGGCATGATGGAGTCAGAGGATGGACTGATAACGGAGATGAATTCACTTTGGAACAGCTTGTTACCGTAGAAGAAGACATCGTTACAGAACCAGCCACCCATAGTTGCAATCAGGCGAGGACCGAAGTACTTGAACGTGAGGCGTAATGAGTCGACGTCATAACCAGTGACTGCTGACTTCTTCTTCGCTGCGGTCAACTGTTTGCTCGCCGCTTTCATGTGGTACGCGCGGTAGTAGACCAGCCATAGGGTTCCAGCAGCCGGAATGGCAAAGGAAATACGGTATGTCCATTGAGTCGAAACGGCAGAGTATGGGTTGTTGCCGCTCCCGTGGTGGAAAATCAACAGCAGGATAATGAGTAGAGCCTGGTTAAAAAATTGACCCCAGCCCTGCATCAAGAAAGCGCTGGTGACCTTACGACCACGGTGGAGGCGGTCCTCCTTGGTTGAGATCTTGCCAGAGCCCACTGCATTCTCCATACCGCTTGTTGCCGTCATCGGATATTCGCCACCTATTAATTGGTTAGTAAGGCATTAGAGAATTGAGGGCGATTTTCGCCTCGCGAGGGGCACATGTTGCCTACTTACCAACACCAACACTGTAGAAGAACAGCGACCAGGCATAACAGATAATCCAGCCATTCATAGTAAGACCCCAAGCAGCCGTAAGCATAATCAGACCAATGAACATGATGGTGGCATCTTGAATCAAACCCCACCGACGTCCCAACCTATAAACCTTGAGTTAGTCTGGGTTCTTTTCCTTTGGTTCTTCATCCCAGGTGTCCGAGAATTGCCGATAAAACATACCAATCACCAATAATTCCCACCAAAATCTGACCGAAAATGATACCAATGATCTCCAAGTAGTCGACAGCGTTGATCCATTGCTGATTGCAGGTGGTAGCTGTGTCCCAACAATCGGGATATGTCTTTTCGAACAATGGCTTAATGTTACCGATGGAGAACAGGACGTAACCTTCCAGACCTAGACCGGCACCAGGCAGGACCATGTTACGGAAGTAATATGAGACGGGCGAGAGAGGGTCAATCTTGATCATATCCCAAATGTTTCCCAATTCACGCTTGGCCTCGGCGGCGTCGTAGGAGCTGACGAACTTGATCTTTTGACCAAGTGGCAAATCTGCCCAATAGGTTCCATCTTTTGTGTAGCTATCGTCGGGGCGAATTAACTCGTCAAAGGCACCTCTCTCATAAGTATCCATATCCTCCAACGGGTTGTGAGTGCCAGTCATGTCGGGCCCATGAGGGGCACGCAATCCAAAGTCGGCCATGATGAATTTAATTGGGTCCGTTGCCGATTTCAAGCTTGATTGGGAGCGCGCAACCAAGCAAGGATTGGCTTTGGACTGTGCAGGACCAGACAATGCGAGTCCTAGGCCAGAGGAGTTTCGGAGGGAGGAGGTTCGGGGGAGGAGAGGAGTAGGAGGGTAGGACCAAGATGAGTAGTGGTATATGTGGTTGACCACACAAAAAAAAAATTGGGGTGGTCCGAACCAAATCCGGCGTGGATTTCAAGATCTTATAATTTTTTTTTTCTTAGGCAAAGGAACGGGACTCACGGAAGAGCTGGGCCCCGCTTCTCAAGTTCGGCCTTATGGTGGCAAGCTCCACTTGAACATTAGTATGAAGGGGAAATGTTCAATGGGCCTCTTCCAATGGACCCAAGAAATCCCAAGGAAATCCAAGAAATGGCCATTTCGTTTCGTTTTCGCCTTTTTTTTCGGTCATCTTTTGCCTGTGGTTCGCACTGGAACGAAAGCAGAAGGTGCAAGTGGATCCGGACGAAAGAAAATGGCAAAAAGAAGAAGAAAAAAAGTGGAGATAAAAAGTGGAGGAAAGTGGAAAAAAGCGGAAACTCTCAGCCAATCATCACCGCACGTGGTGGCAGATTGCACCACAGGAACCCAGATTGGACCCTACCGCTTACCCAAAGAAGTATCGGGATCTGCGAAGTGGAGTAAACACGATTCCATTTTCTCTTCGGATGCACCGTTAGCCCCAGACCGACATGTGCTCGCGTGAGGGGGGACTTTCTCGCGTTGGAGATAAAAAAAAAAAAGAAAAGAAGAAAAAGAAAAAGAAGGGGGAAAATAATCAAAAAAGAGAGGTCAAGATCAGCACTGAAAAAAACACTCGGGGCATCTGGAGATCTTTTACACGGTGACACGTTCCTTAATTCTGGGGAACCCATCTCTACTCACTGTCCAGAGCTCAAGAGCTCAAGAGCTCAATAGGCAAAGAAAAAAAAACCCCAAAATGGGAAAAAGCTCGCGTGCCCAGACGAGCACACACGTGCTCACTTTCCTCTTCTGCTTGCTAGTGCGGATCTTTTTCACTGAGGTGCAATTCTTCCTATAAGCATAAATCTAACCCGGTTTTAAAAAAAGACCCTCGAGATCTGACGTCGCTGGTTGGCTTTTTTTAACTCGACGCTAGCATCTGGAGAGGGGGATGTGCCCCATCGGCCAGTCATATCCCCGGATGCGCGCACATGGTACCTTTAGCGCTTAGGAGCCCCTCCTTGTCCAGCCCAGAAACCCCCGAAAAAAAAATAAAAATCTTTGGCTGGTCTGTTTCCTGGTCTCTTTGCGCGTCGCATGGGGCGGCTTAGTCTGAAGGTGGATTGGACCTCCCCAATCTCCCGCACACTTGGTCTTCCTAGGTCTTCCTAGGTCTTCGGTCTTCGGTGCCTGAAACTGTACTTCCGTACTCCGCTTGGAAAACTTGCCGCATTCTCCGGCTCGGTGGAGCCAACGGCTCTTTTTAATCATGAAGACTGCGGGACTTGAAAACAATTGCATATACTTACCACCCACTAGCTGAAATGAAAATTGGACACTCTAGGGGCTTTTCCTTGATCCTCATTGTTGATCACTTCGCTATCGGGACAAGCCCTTTAGCTTCATAGCTGTATACCCTTGGAAAAAGTACGGCAATACGTCTTCTATTATGCCCGAGCAGACGGCCTCCTTCTCCCTGCAAGTACTTCGTACCCACCGGAGGAGGCTGACACAGGTCTTTTCCCTTATCAAATCTTCAAATGTTGTTTACGGATATACGGAGTACTATGAACACCAGGGGCGCTCGCCCTGGAAGCTACCGGAGACGATCGCTGAGCAGCCGCATATCTGCAGCCAATAAAAATTCCGGACAATGACATGTACCTTCTCTATATAGGGATACCGATCTAGCCGATCATAAAGCAACCGCCACCCGCATACAAGACCGCGCCTCCAGGGGCCCGACCGGGTTTCTAGAAAGTTGCCTTGCTAGGCAAGGCCCTTCATCTCCAATGAAATATTTCAAGAGACTCAAAACAGGTGCTTGAGGTATCATCATCATCATCATCATCATCATGAACATGACCTAGGTCCATCCAACATTAAACTCCTTTTCAAACACATCTCGCACCGTCCCCTACCTACGTATACTCCGTAGCCATTCTAGCACATATCCCCCTTTCAGGATACTTTGCCCATCTTAGCACTTGGTCAACTCGTTGAGATGAGCACAAAGATCGGCAACTAATGATATAGACTGGAATTTACAATCAAGGCCCCCTGGTTTTAGCCCATGGATTCGGAAAAGCGGCACATTCCCTCGTGGTAATTGTCTCCCTCGCCCCTTGATATCAAAAGAAATACTGAACCTTTCGTCTTGGGATGACGCAACTGGCTTACGAAAACTTTCCCCTTAGAGCTGACAATCAAAAGTCACTACATATGTACAATTAATGTAATTCCTGCTGAGCTCAGGAGCAATCATGATACATGTAAATTGAGGTCAACCGCAGAGAACAAGCGGGGCAGCAACTTGAGACGGGTTTTATGGAATTTGATTGGTTCATTACTCCCAAATGACCCCATGTTCAAATGTTTCTAAGGCGACTATGAAAGTCCTATTCAATCGCCACGCGATTTTGAGGGAACACATTAATAATAAATCGTTTCTCTACTTAAACACATTCATGGTAAGACTTATTTAACCGAGGCTTGGATTTTGGTGTTTCCTAAAAGCGGCGGCGGTTTTCTGTACATGTCAGATATGTCAACGTTGATGCAATCGATTTTCCGAACTCTAGATGGCGTCATGAGCCATTAAGATTGCAAAAGGCTACATAAGCTACCTAAGTATTAGGGGAGAAGTCTAACATAATGGGGATTTGAAATCAAAACGAGGGGAAACGAAAAGAAAGAGAGAGAAAAAAAATCAGTTAGAGACATTAGACGTCCATTATTCGGAAGTTCCCTTCAGTGAACCGATCATTCGCCTGGATATTTGAATAAATTGAGATAAATTGAATCTATTATCTATAATCAAATACAGGCCCACCACGGCAGCCAGAAATATGGCAAATTTGGCAGCCCTCGAATACATCTCACCCGATTCAAACACACCCATTACATTACATCCGAATTTTAACCCCAAAATCAAAGATCATGTCCCACCCGAGCCTATTCGCAAACCAGTCACCCCGCCTCGAGATCGGGCCGAATTTGCAGACCCCCAGAAGAAGGCATTATTTGCAGTAGCGAAACGTGTGGACCTTACCGAGTCGATTGGCACTCTTTTGGAGAATGTGCAACTATCACGACTGAACGGACAGCAGCTGGATGAGTTGGCGCTATTAGTTAACGAGAGAGGTGTAGTTTTCTTCCAGGGGCAGGATTTGACGACCGAAGAGCAGGTGAAGCTATTCGAACATTATGGTAGATTAAATTGTTGATGGCCTATACTATTATGTTCAATGACTGAGTATAATAGGGATTTTGGACAAACATCCTGCACAAAAGGATCAAAAGGTAACATATGCTTATATTTCCAAACATGGGTCACCGGTATTAACTTTGAAAACACTGAAATCACAGTTTGTGACTATCCAGGGTAGTCGCGAAGACCATCGTGAAATCCTGAAGTATACTCCATGGGTAAGGCCTTCAAAAAATCAAGGGGCGTCTCGTGAAGAGGATCTGATAATACTAACTTGTGAGCAAAGCCGAGCGGTGACTTTCATGCCGATACGTCCTTTGAGATAAACCGTAAGATTCTAAACCTTCAACTTAGTTCCGACCTTGTCATGTCTAGTACATATGTCTAATCCCGCTCCGTAGCTCCATCATATTCTTTGCTCAGAATGGAGGAGCACCCTGCTGTGGGAGGTGATACGGCTTGGGTAAAAACATGATCTCTCTCCAGAAGGATTGTTTACTCGGGCCTTGACTCACGCTTTATCTAGGTCTCTCAATATGGGCTCTATGATGCACTCAGCAAACCCTACCAGAAGTTCCTTGACGAGCTGCATGCCGTACATACATCAAGATTGCAGTGTACGTGCAACTATTGCCGTTTAAAATGTGCATATCGCCTGACTTGAAGCAGACGATACGATTCTGGATCTCTGGGATGCCGGTCCCAATCGTCCTCCCATAGATACTCATCATCCCGCTGTCCGAACCCATCCCGTTACGAAGCTGAAGGCACTTAATGTCAACCCGGGGTTTGTGACTGGATTCGCAGAGTTGAAAAAGCTTGAATCCGGTTTGTCATCCAAGCCCAATAGCTAAACAGGTCTCTGGCCTATTCGCTAACTTGCCAATACAGACAAGATCCTTGATTTTCTGACATACCACATTCATTCTGCTGACGACCATTACGTTCGATGGAAATGGACTGTAGGAGGTGTTGCAATGTGGGATAATCGGTTCGTTAAAATTACCCATTCAGGTGTATCCATGGATGCAAATCTATCTGTAAAGTGCATCTGGGAGGTTTCTTTCGATACTGAACATTTGAATGTCACAGCTGTACACTTCACCGTGTTATCCCTGGTACCTATAAGGGAACGAGACGAGGAATCCGAACTACAGTGTTTGGCGAGAAGCGTAAGTCTTGACTCGTAAAGTTTTGTTGAATATAAGCTAATACAACAACATACGATTGAGTAGCCTATTTGGACCAAAGTAGTGAGAGTCGTGAACAGCGCAGACAGCGAGAAGAAAGTCTGGATTTGAGTACACCATTGACTAAGTTTTGAGCCAAGTCAAGGTGCATTGCTATTTAACACTGTGAAAGGTTTTTGGATTAGCTGCGGCCTTTCATCAATGTTGATCGATGAGGCGATACATGTATGTAAACCTTGGAAGTTTTGTAGGTGTCTCAATGTTGGAGTGCTGCTTGCACTTTTGCAGACATGTTTAAAGAATCAATTGATCATTTAATAATTTGGAGGGCTCCAACATTCAATAAAAATTTGGAACAGATAATCAAACCTGACCCAACATTGAAGACTTTTTTTTTTTTTTTTTTTTTTTTTTTTTTTAAAAAACCAATGATGGCGGCCTGAGTTGACAAACAAATCTCGAAAGACACGAAGAGGGAGAAAAGAAGGGGATTCATTATTCACAATTGATCAATTCAAAAGCCATGTTCATTCCCAAGGTCACGCATGATCTCAGAAATCCACCTCCAAATTATTGGTGTACAAAATCCCCAGTGGCTGGCAACATTCCTCAACCCACCCCCACAACCCCCTTCCAACCCAACCAAACGGAATTCACGAATTCCCATCGGAGAATCAATCGATAACACTGCGATCCTTCTCCTCCTCCGATGAAAATGCTGTGGAGGATAGATCCTTGATCCTTGGGATGACAGCCCCCCGACATGTGGGATCGCGCTCCTGGCCTCGCCTACTCCTGCCTGCAAGCCCATATCGAGAATGATGGCGCGCATACATGGAGTTAGGAAATGCTTGTTGAGTGTGTTGTATAAAGGGTTTGAGGGTCGAAGAACCAAAGATCCCTAGAGTGAATAAGGTAGGTTTTGCTTTTGCTTCAACATCTTGGTAGGTTACGGACCAAGATTAATCGACCCCATATGTCTCCCATGTATTGACTCTCGATTTCTTCTTATTGCCGCAGTGTACGCCATCGAGTTTCCTCTAACAGCCTGTTTACTGTTATCTGATCTTCGAGTTTTTTTGGTTCAATAGGTTAGTCTTTTACCCCGAACATGGTCTTCAAAATTCACGATCAGACTCTTCAATACTGATAGTCCTAGCCCAAACCAGCAGAAATGTCCCGACCCGATTTCAAGGGTCTGTTCCCCGTGGGGGCAGTCTTCATTGCATTCATCCTTACTCTCCTATGCCTGTTCGCAGGGACTCAAAGGAATCTGCTCGATGGAGCCGATATTCTCACCGTATGTGCCAAATCACAAGCCTCAATGAAGAAGAAAAAGAAAAGAGCAACCCCGAAGACTCCCAGACTAATACGCCTAATCTTACCTAGCTCTATACTCCAGAAGGCGAATCCACTTCCGACGTCCACGAGTTCTATTCTATCCATGTCATGTCATACTGCCAAGGCACTTTAGGCACAGTCGAGCCAGGCCTACCAGGTAACGCGCGGAACGTGACACAGTGTTCAGACCGCCAGATACTTTTCTCATTTGATCTGACGGATGCCTGGTCGGAAGGCATAACACATGGACCAACGCTAGAGTGGCCACGTGTGATCAGCGATGACTTTCACGCCTTCCGACTCACGACACAGTCGATGGCGGTACTGTTCTGCATTGGTGTGAGCGCGATGGGTGCCGTTCTTCTAGTGCGGGTCTCGTCGCTCATTACACAGAGGACGCAGCAAGGGCTATTTGAGTTTGGATTCCTGGTGGTAAGTATTGACTATTCCTTCAACTCCTGTGCTCGCACCCCGTTTTCGCCTTGTCTGTTTTTCTTTGGATTATTATTTTTAGCGGCTAACATATTTTTTGTCATTGGGGTTTGTGTCAGCTGGGGTCCCTTAGTATGAGCATAGCGTCTATTATTGCGACGGTAGTAGCGTTCGAATTTGTGGCTTTGATCAATGCCCACGGGGATGGATCAAACGTTTCGGCTAGCTACGGGTCCAAGTTCCTCGGCATGACTTGGGCGGCTGCCGGGTTACTTCTGGCGGCGAGCATCGCCAGTTTCATTAATGTTTTTGTCCGAGTACCGCACGTGGCACCTCCGCCGGTCACAAAAGACGAGGAGGAGGGGTTGGAGGGGTAAGAAATCAGATACGACACATGCGAGAGGATCTAGCATGTTAGGAGGGGGCAAAGGGGGGAGAGGACAGTGCGCTCATGCACTAGAATCCCAATTGGAATTAGATGCAGGGTTCGGGGAAACTCGTACCCTGATGACTTTTGTATTGAAGCGTAACCATTTTGAATAGGTTTTTATTTATTATTTGAATGTGAAATGACGATGCCAGCTGAATGAAAGCAAATCCCCGTGTCAAACCAATCAGATATGGACCAAGCGACTGGGGACGGAAATGAGCCAAGCCATATTTTAGGGAAGGGGGGGGGGCACTGTCCAATGTATACGGAGGACCAAGTGTTTTGAATGGCAGGTTGACGACTCACGATGGAGTCATCCTTTTCTATCGCCCCAAGCAAAATGGCACGCTAAGTTTAGTATCCAATTATAGAAGGCGATTCAAGGGAGGGGTGTATCTCGGCAGTAGGATCGGTTAGGACATGCCAGGGGACATGCTAGGACATGCAACCCGCATGGAAAGAAGAAGAAGAAGAAGATGGTAGTAGGGACTAGAAAGCGACGACGAAGTAGACTCGAATAAACCTCGGAACCACGACGCTCACATCTGCGACTAACGGAGTAAAAACCGGGGCAGGTGAGCGGGTGGCCTGTCAGGACTCAGAGGCTGTAGTATCGGAATTAAGAAGTGGGGAACGGTGAGTCGATCAGGTCTAAGTACTATGGGAAATAGTACAAAGATTCGTATATCAGATTCGATGCCACCCAAAGTTTGAAATACGCTCACAGGAACACAGTGCTCCGGGAGGGGGATCATGGCTGATGTATGGGGGAATTCTTTTTGGGTAACGTGAACTAAGCCTCATTTAGCCCAACGGATGTGTGAAGAGAGAGGGAGAGAGAAAGAGGGAGAGTTCGGGGCGTTTTGCCGGCAAATGCGGAGTAAAAAAGCGCATAGAGGCAAGAGAGGGAGAAAAGAGTAACATCGTGAGATACGGGAATTCCCGCAATCACGAAATGCATCATCATTCAAAGCTCGGAATTCCAGAGCCTTTGAACAAATCAGAATGGATTGAAAGAACATGAACGGTTTGAGGGATAAATGCGAAGCCGAATCAGGTTAAGCGTTAAACCGTGATCTCGGTCTTAGTGCCCGACGTAATAAAAAAAAATGAATAATAAATGAGTAAAAAAATGAATAGAAATGAATAGAAATGAGAGTTGATTAACTAGTATGTTGAGTTTAGTAGTTGCTGTAATGCTGTAATGCTGTAATGCTGTGTAATTGATTGAGAAGTAATCTACTTATTGGTGTATTGATGCACATGTGGATACTAGTAGTACATAGAAGGCAGTAATGATACCATACTAGTACTATACCATACTCTCTTTCCCTCTCTCTCTACCTCTATACACAACTCTATACAATATCATTAACTTCAAGTCCAACGTAGTACATTCTTTGAAATTACTTTTATAAGGAAAATAGAAAAACAAAAAAAGGGTTACACTTCATCAATGGGCATTGTCCAAAAGCATAATGATGTTATGGCAGTTGAAACAAGGCGGAGGCTTGTTCCGTGCGCCTCCCGACATCGATGAAGTCATTCACTTGGTCTCTGATATGCTCTGGTCGTTGGTTCCTTGGAAAATCTCACGAGAATTCCGTTCTTTCTCTTTCCAGTAAATAAATACAAGAAAACCAGAGAAAAGCGTATTGATTGGGTTTTATTAAAAAATCCCCTCATTCCTTCTTTTTCTCCCTCCCTTAAATACTTCCTTGGTCCCCCTCCCTTACCTACCTTCTCATACACTTCCAAACCCATCAACAAAGTCAACTCTCCATTTTCCCTTGATCCTGGATCTATAACATCATCTGTTAATTACCCATCAATCACACTGCATCCCACCATCCCCCCAGTATCCAATCATGGGTAAGAAAGCGATCCATTTTGGCGGCGGCAACATCGGCCGTGGCTTTGTGGCGGAGTTTCTTCACACGGCCGATTATGAAGTCGTCTTCATTGATGTGATGGATAGCATCATCTCTGCCCTACAATCCACCAAGTCTTACCAGGTGACTGAGGTCAGTGAGGAAGGGGAAACCACCAAGACCATTACCAACTACCGTGCCATCAACTCCAAGACCCACGAACAAGATGTTGTCCAGGAAATCTCCACCGCCGACATTGTCACTTGCGCCGTGGGCCCCAATATCCTCAAGTTTATTGCTCCCGTCATCGCCAAGGGCATTGACATCCGATCCACCCCCAAGCCACTCGCAGTCATTGCCTGTGAGAATATGATCGGTGGCACCGACACTCTGCACGGTTACATCAAGGACAAGACTGACCCGGCCCGAGTCGAGTCTCTCGGCCAGCGAGCCCAATTTGCCAACTCGGCCATTGATCGTATCGTGCCTGCGCAGGCCGCCGACGCGGGACTCAACGTTCGCATCGAGAAATTCTACGAGTGGGTCGTCGAAAAGACTCCATTCGCCAACGTGGGACACCCCGAGATCGCCGCGATTCACTGGGTTGATGATCTCGAGCCCTACATTGAGCGTAAGCTGTTTACCGTCAACACCAGCCATGCGACCGCCGCCTACTTTGGGAAATATGCCGGCAAGAAGACCATCGCCGAGGCTATGCGTGATTCATTTATCAAGGGTGCCGTCCGGGATGTCCTGAACGAGACCGCTTCACTCATCGTTGACAAGCATGAGATTTCCGCCACAGAGCAGCAACGCTACGTGGAGACCATCATCAGCCGTATCTCGAACCCATACCTGGAAGACAGCGTCGAGCGCGTTGGTCGGGCCCCGATGCGCAAGCTGGGTCGCAAGGAACGGTTCATCGGTCCTGCCGCCCAATTAGCGGAGCGCCACGCACGCTACGAGGCATTGCTGGGTTCGGTGGAGATGGCCCTGCGTTTCCAGAATGTTGAGGGTGACGACGAGAGTGTGGAACTGGCCAAGATCCTTAAAGAGAACTCACCTGCCGATGCAGCTGTTCAACTGACTGGCTTGGAGCGGGAGCACCCATTATTCCAGCCCGTGGTGAAAGTGATCGACCGGGTGCAGTCCGAGGCCAAGTACGTTTGAATCTCGTTTCTTACTCTGCCTTTGCCCTGTTGATTTCCCAAATTTAAATTTGAAACTATGAGACTAATCATTCAGCTAACAGGGCCCCGGGTCAGCCCCGCATCTAAAGAGGCTTCCTTTTTTTGTGCATTCTTCCGGTCGCATGGAATATGGGCATACACGGCGCCATGGTGAACTGACTCCTTTGCTTTTCTTATTTTGTATTTTTTCCCCCACCTCTTTTTTTCTTTCCTGACGACTTCACGATTCTGCATATATGAATTAGCAACCTGGCAATTGAATTGAACTCAATTATGTGGCTTATTAACGATCCGAGTTTTAAGAAGAAGGGGTAAATTTGTACTTCTGCTCGTGTCTCACCTGTTTCTTTATAAGTATGATGCATTCAAATGTTGGGGGGTTATTTCCCTTGTACAAGCATTGATGCAATGTCTATGCAATCCGCTAGGTACACGCTACTACATAGTTTGAATAGGTATCCACACTGGGGTCTGGACTCCCACTGAGTCCCACACATGGATGATCGGCAATTCACGTATCGGCATCAACTCACTTATGTAGATTACCGTCTTATTTACCGCTGAGTCAAGCCGACAACCCCGACCTTGCCCGTCGACAAGTAATATCTGAACTGGATATCGAAGAATGACGACTTTATCAAACCGATCCCCGCCAAAATGACGGCGCCAGGAATCAGGGGTACAGTGCGCCACAACTTTCCAGCACCTTTAGTTTCTCCACCTACGTAAGCTTCCACGGTGATTCATCGACATCTCCTTGAGATCAATCCTAGCATGATTGTTCAAGGCCCCGGAGATTATTCCTTTATTTCTCACCGACGGCTCGGTCACAATGGAAAAGGGCTTGAATCATGGCCGAGTAAGCCCATTGCGAAACGTCATTTGTGTACTACTACTACTACCCCATCCCCAGTGTTCCACGACCAAGCACTACCCCGCAAACCGTGATCTTGCAATCTTTCAGAGTCTCAGCAAATTCCCCCCTCTTGTTTTCTTCTCTCTTTTTTTTTTTTTTTGGTAGAGTTCTCGATGGAGAAAAAATTAGGAAAGCAAAAATAAAATACACAAAACCGAAATAGCTGAAAATAATCAATCAAGAAGATAAAGTATCAAGTACATAACAGACTCGGTATTATTTCTCGGTATCTCCGGCTCTGCTTCCTAAAAGATTCTGCTGCGCAATCGTCCCTCGACGAAGAAGGTCCTCATAGGCTAAGGTTAAGTTATCAGCACTCAACAGTTCGAGTCGGCTTCCCAACATTGAACGCCGATCAATTGATCCTTACCTTCTGTAGGGGGCGTAGCAACGTGCTCACCCACTGGCACATCTCGATATACAATTGAGGTTTTCGGTATGGAGATCTGAACAATCTGTCTCAGCCCTTTCACATTCACCTAGGCACATCTTGTACCTGGAACGTCCCAACATTGACACAATCTTGGGAGAGTGGGAAGAGAAAGAGAAAGTCCAATGTTGAATTTTCAAATCATCTGACTTACATTATGGGCCTTCAGATCCGCACAAACCAATGCAGCTGTGCGCTCAATGTTCGACATCAATGCTTGAAGCTCCATGGTCGCCGACGAGCTCCAAAATGGCGGGATTCGATTTTGCCCCCGAAATTGCTTCCAATTGTACCACTTCACCGAAGTTGCGGGAATGGTGTAATTCTTTTGATTTAACCAAGATATCAACTCCATGTGGTTGTAAGCGAGGAATAGACCACGGTTGGCGCAGTGAGGTTCTTGTCTTGCGGCATTCATGATTCTCCCATCTGACTCGGCACGATTCGAATATAAGCCGAGTAGTCTCTGAAATTCTTTCCGGTCAAGTCGATTATGTCGAAGGTTTGTTCTGATGCTATCGATGATGTGAGCTGTTTTGGCTAGGAATTCGACCCCCGTGGCGATTTCTTCGGATGATTCGGTCATTGCGATTCTTTTGGGTTATATTTCCAAGAGATCAAGTTGAATGATGATTTTGGAGATGGCACTAATGAGTAGTTTTCAAATGTTCAAAGGAGGGGATGTCAGAATCTATCTAGATATTAGAGTGTATAGTAACTGAGAAAGGGCAGCTGATCACATACGAACTGGTCAAGAAACCAAGAAACCAAGGAACGCGAGGACCCAGGAGATTAAGATTACAGGAGTTTTTACATTATTCTATTCATCTCTTTCACTTTAAAAACCATTTGGATTGTGGCTGCGAATGATTCAAATGTTATATACGATATGTACCATATCAGAACCCTTGGTTATAGTTTCCCGTGACGACATCTACTCTCAACCTCGGGAGGTCATGGACTCATGAATCATGATTAATGCCGCACCTGATTGGTTGAAAAATGTTCGCAAATGGCCACATTCACCGAAATCATTCATGCAGATTTCAGTCTTATGCCACTGGAAACTCCCCAGACCAATGACGCAGGAGATTTTAACTCACCTCGTTTCCCCCTCATTTGCCTATCAAAGACTGTTGTCCCCTCGATAACCAGGGGCTTTCAATTCTAGATTCATGTCACTTAAGTTGTGTGGGTCTAAATTTTGAAATTAACATTCTTCCCCCTAATTCTAGTCCATATAAATACCAAGAAGCATTAAATGTACCACATGGGCAGCAGACGTTTGAGTCGTTCTGTCTCAACCTTGGAAAGACTTCACTGAATATCCTTCCGCATGAAAATAATCTCGATATCCCATCTCTCGCCATTATCATCCCAAACATCATAGTAGTTCGGCACGGTCTTGATCGGCATATAACCCCGTCGGCCATACCAGTCCTCATTTGTGATCTGAAAGAACTTCGAGATTAGTGAAAGATGTACGGTACGGCCCGGCCTGTAGGGCGGGGGGGGGTGATGATATGCTAACCTTTGGAACGGAACCGTAAGTAGACATTGCAAAATCCTCTCTTTGCTGATGTTTACTTGTGACTGTGTCCAGCATGAGCGTCTGTGCGCGGAGTGGCTCGCGGGTTGCCATATCCTCGACTGCGTCCATCGCAGCTCGCCCAATTCCCTGACCTTGAATGGTTTGCAGGATGAAAAAACTTTTGATCCAGAAGACTCCTTCCGAAGGAAGATCAAGACCAATTTTATCTGCATCTTTATTCTTGGAATCTAGGGAGATGTGGCCAATGGGAATAAAAGGCTTTTGTGATGCTACCCGTCGACTTCCGTTCACGGAGTCGGCCGTATCATATAGCACTTCTTCATTCTCGTCAGTGCAAGACTCTGCAGCCGAGTCATTGGATTTTCGGGCCTATAAAGAATGTTAACGTGATTACTTGAACCTGATCGGAACTCCAATCTTCAGGCTGACTGAAAATGGATAACTCACAATCCAGTACATGCATTTCGTGCCTTTGACTTGTTCCTCACGCCATTCTTTCTCCACCTTTTCGTGATCCCAATTACATTCCACTCTCTGTTGATAGAGCAAGGTTCTATGTTTTGTACACTTGGCATCCCAGGGGAAAAGGATGACCTTTGATTGGGAAGTCATGACTGGCGAGCTGGATGTAATGTCAAGGATCTGGAGGATTCAAATTCTATACTAAAACTCAGAACATTTGAATTCTCACTGTCGGCATCTTCCGCCATCTAAGTTCTTTCGAATGGCGGTACGCTAACTCGCATTAGGAAAGTGACATGTCGGGATTCGGAAATCGGAAATCGGGAATCGGGAATGAGTCAATGACATAAGCCGTCAATATCCTCCAAGCATAAGAGAAGCATAAGAGATTCACACTTGTTCCAATGTTAAGCTTGTGATGCTCATACTATGTACTATGTACAAGAGTCTATTGACATTTAAACTAGTGAGAGAAACCTCAATGCACACTGTTGACCCAAACTGTCACTCGACAGAGTGGATTACAACTTACTATCCTTCCAAACAGGCGCCCTCTTCTCCACAAATGCTTGTAATCCCTCCTTGATGTTCTCCCCTTCGTACAGTCTCTTCACCCAAGTATCAGACAACATTGCCGTCGCCTCATCTGCCCCAATTCCCTCCCATCCAAGCTTAATCCCTTCTCGGCTAACTAGCACCGAGTCAGGACTATTTCCAGCAATAACAGTAGCAACAGCTAGAGCCCGTTCCACAATAATTCGATTTCCTTCATCAAGGGGAGTCTCCGTATTCCCAACATCCACAATCTCATTCACGAGTCCCCATCTCTCCGCCTCGTCGGGGAGAATATTTCTTCCCGTAAGCGCCATATCCATAGCACGCTGCTTCCCGACTGTCCGAACGAGACGAGGTAACGCCCCTGCGAGTGCGACAACGCCCCGCTTCACCTCCGGTAACCCAAAGACACTGCGTGAGGATGCAATGACCAGATCACAATTGATGATCATTTCCGAGCCGCCGCCGAAACAAAGCCCGTTCACCGCGGCGATCACGGGTTTTTTGCCCTTTCGCCTGGCAAGGCCTCCGAAACCACTGGTTGGCATTGGTCTGCGGCTATTGGAGCCGGCATTATCATTCCATTCTAAAAGCCATGAGCCGGGTTGTTTCTCTATAGAAAAGTATAACAGGTAGACCCGATTTAAGGTCTACTCACCTTTCAAATCAGCCCCGGCACAGAATGCCCTCCCTATCCCGGTAATAACACCCACCCTCAACTTCGGCTCCTCGTCCATCCATTCCCACACATCGTGAAGATCTGAATGACCTTGCGAGTTGATGCAGTTTAGCTCGCGAGGCCGGTTCAGGGTTACCAGCAGGACATGCGGTGCTGGGAAAGAGAGGAGCGCATGCGGGGGGGTTGGGGGTGGATTAATGAAATTGGCCATGTTGTTTGATGTTAACCCGTTCAAATGTCGTAGAATGACTAAATTGTTTCGTTGCGGGCTGATGTTGGGTTCAATGAAGAGTTCAATGTTATGGAAGTTGGAGTGAGAATGAGATTGCGGGTCTGATAAATCCATGGATGTGGGAAGCGATAGGAGATGCCGAGGGCCGATGCGGAGAACAAGAACTCCAGTGCTGGCTTGCTCTTTTGTTGTATTTACAAAGTCACTTTTGAAAATACTAGTACTAGTACTTACATGTAAACTTCACCTCTACGAGTACACATAATTGTAATGATCAAGTGCTGAAAATCTTCAAAAAATAATCAAACTGGTGTCACCACCACCTGGGTACCTCGGTACATGAGTATCAGATCAAATTCTCCCCCCTCTTCCGCATTCCAAACGCCTAAATAATAAGTAACGCTCTCAAAGAAAAATCATAGCGAAATGTCAGACCAAGCACAGTCTCAGATAAAGTCTGTAGATCAAAGCTAACCCTTGCTGATCCACCCACTGTGTACCATGAAGTCATAAATGCGGCCAGTTTTGGTGCCTTCGATCTGGGGAGAAAAACAAATTTGTAAATCAGCGAAAAAAAAATCCTTTTCTTTATTTCAAGTTGAGTGCAAATGGATTGACGCGCAGAAAAACTCACCTTGCAAATCGCGCGTGCATCCTTCTTCTTTAGATTGCCGCCTTGTTTCATCGCTTCCTTCAACATGGTCTCTTTAACCACTAGATATGGTTTTGGCATCAAACGCAGCATGTTGCAGACTTCGGCCTCTTCCTTGGTCAATAGATGCAGGTCGGCTGCTCCCTCGCTGTCTAGTTTCCATGGGGATACCCCGCTCAGAGGCTGCACGACATACTTGGTCTTCGCTGGGGGAGGCGGGGCCGCATCGCCGAAGAGGAACTGATCAAAGTCATTCGGGGTCACGTCAGCCAGGTCAGGCAACTTGTGGGGGTTTGCGGCGCTTTGGAGGCGAATAGGGAGTTCCGGGGTAGTGAGCTGTATCGCGGCCGTGGGCGTTTCGGAAATCTGGTTTTGCTTGGGACGCGCACCAGCAAAGCGATCAAAGGAGCCTTGAGGCAATAGTCGTTGTGCTCGCTGCTGCTTGTCCTGCTCGTATTTCTCGCCTGCTTTCAAATCCCCAATGCCCATCTGGCGCCATTCCTGAAGTTGAGCGATGGCCAAGCGTAGATTATGTTCGTACTCCAGCCCCTTGTTGAGATCATCAAAGTCCTTCTCGTTCATCATCCGGGCTAGTGGTTTCGCTTTGTTGAGTAGATCTCGCTCTTCCTTGGACCGTTTCTTCTCCAGCGCAGTGTTCTTCCGGTACTCGAGAAGGTTGTGCTCGAAAAGAATCTTCTTGCGCTCAGTACGCGCCGTCAGACGCGAATTATAGATATCAACGACAGTCATTTTGAGCTCATTCTCAGCGTCTACCTCGCCGTTAAGGCCGATGCCAGCACCGGGCTCGAACGCCATGTGTTGGACCGCCTCCTCCGCATCGTTCAGGAACTCCGTCTCAAACTCCAACCGACCAGGCATGTAACCTTGCACTTCATGACAAGCGGGAACACTCGCCGTAGGTTTCTGTTTGGGGGTTGTGGGGGGCGCTGCCTTGGCTGCCTCCTTGCGCTCCTCGATACGTCGCTTCTTGCGCGCTTGGAAATCTTCCTTGGGAATAGCATCTTGAAGACTGTGATCATCCGGATCGGCACGGTCGGGGAGAGGAAAGTTGGAGCTATTCACAAAGGTATCGATGTAATGATCGCGCACTTCGTCCTTACTGCGGTAGCCACCGATGTGGTCGGCGATATCGGCCCAGGAGCCGAGTCCGTAGATCTCGGCGCCCTCGAGTAGGAGCAACTCTTCGTCAGCACCCCATTCATCTTGGAAGATAGGGACGGAGTTTTGTTCGATGACTTGAAAGGGGTGGGAGGATGGATCGTGATTTTTGGATTTCTCGCCAGCTGCGAAGCAGGGGACGCAGAGGTCATATTCATGGCAGTTTGGGTGGGCGCAAGAGATACGGACCTAAGCATTTACAGATTAGTAAATCTGAATCGAGAAGTATATAAGCTCAAATCAACTCACCGTCGAGGTCACGTCGGCCGAACAAACATCACAGTGGAACTTGGTGCCAGCCTCGGTGCCGCGCGAAGCGGTCTTCTTTCGTATTACACCCATCGATTCTTGGGTCCTGTCATCCTCCACTGAATCCGAAGCCGTTGCGAAATAATAAAAAAATCGCCCTCTCGAGGTGTGAGAGGGCAATGAGTGGGAGAAGTTGGGGTTGAGGGGGGGATGGAGGTGATAATAGCTGGGGTAGGATCTCCGCGCGCTGATCGGGGTTTGAGTAGCTTAGTCCGCGTCAAGGCAAAAGATAGAAGTTAAGAAACAGGAAGGAAGAAAAAAGAAAAAGAAAAAAAACCAACAAAACAGAAAGAAGAAAGAAAGAAGAAAGAAAAAAAGGTACAGACTTGTGCGAGATGTCGAGTCGGTTGTTTCAATAAAATCAATTCACCTTCATATTGTTTCGTTCCCATACAAGTTCAAGTTCTCATGTTTCCTTAACAAAAACTCCCTGTGGCTGACACTTGCACTGCCTCGTTGTGTGGCTGATGTCCAATTAATACCAGAATCCAATACCAGCTCAATACCAATTTTACCCGATCTGACAGCCCTATCGCACCGCTATCTCACCTCGATTTCACCTCTAATTTCACTGGTAGTATTTCACCTCCCCCCGGGAAGGCTGTAACCTGTGTAATTGACATACGCCACTTTCCCCTCTTTCTTTAAGTTCATATTTCTCGACTCCCCTGGAACTTCTTCTCCTTTACTTTTTATACGTCTTGTTCATTCATCTTTTCTCCATATCCCCCCCCCCCCCCCCCACACGTTTCAATAAGTGCTTTGGATTTAGCAAAATAAAAGCGATCCCCCCGAAAATCAGCGCGAGAGAGGAGACTGTCAAGGTAGGATCGTCTCTTTTGTGCTGATCTCGTCCCGTTGGTGGGTTTCAAAGGGAACTTTCGATGTTGACTTTGTTTGGTGACCCCAGTCTACACAACCGCGGTCAACTTTGGTCTTCGTACTTGTTGAGCAACCTTCTAGACAAGACTCCAAGAACAAAAGTCAACAAAGAACCGCCATCATGTCCTGGAAGCTCACCAAAAGTATGTTCAGTTGGTCTCCCTCCCTATTTCCCACCCCTCAAATTTAAATATGACACCCCTCCTTCAACAAAATGTGGAGGCGGTGCATATGCAAATAACCCTCAGGGGAAAGTCGGATGGGCTAACCAAACCTTTACACTTCTTCTTATAGAACTGAAGGAGACGCACTTGTCACCTTTGACACAGGGCTTCGGTCGGTCATCGTCCACTTCAACAATCAAGGGCGACTCGAATGGCGGTGGTGATGAAACCCCCGTGGCCACTCAGGCGCCCACTATCCCCCCGACTCCCTCAACAAACGGCATCGGTAAGGAGCACTGTTTTATTCATTGGACTTCAATTCCGACGTCAATGCTAATCTTTGGTGGTTCGCGGTTCCCCAGTCGCCTCAGAGTCCCTCGTTTCCCCCCCAGTGGCTCAAGTGAACCCAGGTATCCTCATTGTTACCCTTCACGAAGGTCAAGGATTGGCCTTGTCTCCTCAACTCCAGCAGATTTTCAACTCGCATTTCCAAAACAACTCCTATGCCCCCTCGTCATTGCGTCCTAACACCTCTTCTTCGTCACATTCGTCGCATGGTCAGACCGGTTCGTACGTGCAGAATGCCCGACCGCAGTCCACTAGTGGAGGTATCAATGCCGCCCCCACCATTCATGGTCGCTACTCCACGAAATACCTCCCTTACGCCCTGCTGGATTTCGAAAAGAATCAGGTCTTCGTCGATGCCGTGTCGGGTAACCCGGAGGCCCCTCTGTGGGCAGGAGACAATACCGCCTTCAAGTTTGATGTTTCCCGCAAGACTGAGTTGAACGTGCAGCTTTATTTGCGCAACCCTGCTGCTCGCGCTGGTGTCGGTCGCAGTGAGGACATCTTCTTGGGCGCCGTGAAAGTCCACCCTCGCTTTGAAGAGGTCGGCCAGCCTTATGTGGAGGATCCCAAACTAAGCAAAAAGGATAACCAGAAGGCTGCCGCCGCTCATGCAGACCAAGAGCGCACCCGGGGTCAGTGTGGTGCTGAGTGGCTGGACCTTCAGTTTGGAAGCGGCTCTATCAAGATTGGTGTTTCATTTGTTGAAAACCGACAGCGCAGTTTGAAGATGGAGGACTTCGACTTGTTGAAGGTCGTGGGCAAGGGAAGTTTCGGCAAAGTCATGCAGGTCGTGTAAGATGGTTCTATACCCCCCGTATGACTGTGCCCTTGCTGATGAAATATTACATTTAATAGGAAGAGAGATACAGGCCGAATCTACGCCCTCAAGACGATCCGCAAGGCCCATATCATCTCGAGATCCGAAGTTACTCATACACTTGCGGAGCGCTCGGTACTCGCGCAGATCAACAATCCTTTCATTGTCCCCTTGAAGTTCTCGTTCCAATCACCAGAAAAGCTGTACTTCGTGCTGGCATTTGTGAACGGCGGAGAGTTGTTCCATCACCTGCAAAGAGAACAGCGATTCGATATTAACCGGGCCCGGTTCTACACGGCAGAATTGCTGTGTGCTCTTGAATGTCTTCATGGTTTCAAGGTCATTTATCGTGATCTCAAGCCCGAGAACATTCTTCTTGATTATACTGGCCACATTGCTCTTTGCGACTTCGGTCTGTGCAAATTGGATATGAAAGACGAAGACCGAACAAACAGTAAGCTACCTTGCGTTCTATATCTAGCCTTCTCGGTTGCTAATTCGTTGTAGCATTCTGTGGAACTCCTGAATACCTTGCGCCTGAACTCCTCCTTGGTAACGGCTACACTAAGACTGTGGATTGGTGGACTCTCGGTGTCCTGCTTTATGAGATGCTGACTGGCTTGCCGCCATTCTATGACGAAAACACCAACGAGATGTACCGCAAGATTTTGCAAGAGCCCCTGACATTCCCCAGCAGTGACATCGTCCCGCCCGCTGCTCGAGATCTTCTCACCCGACTCCTGGATCGTGATCCCCAGCGCCGTCTCGGTGCCAGTGGTGCAGCAGAGATCAAGTCTCACCACTTCTTCGCCAACATTGACTGGCGCAAGCTTCTTCAGCGTAAATATGAGCCCAGTTTCCGTCCTAACGTGGTATGTTATTTCTCTCCTACCGATATCCTCTTGAATTTTTTATGAAGGTGGTTTAACGATCTTATATAGTCGGATGCTCGTGATACCGATAACTTCGATGAGGAATTTACGTCAGAGAAGCCGCAAGATTCCTATGTCGATGGGCCTGCCCTGTCGCAGACCGTGCAGGAACAGTTCCTTGGATGGTCCTATAACCGTCCGATCGCCGGTCTTGGTGACGCCGGTGGCAGTGTCAAAGACCCATCGTTTGGCAGCATCCCCGAATGAAGGCATAAATCATGCTTAGGGCTGTCGGTTCGACTAGATCGGGAATGACAGATGTGCGAGAAGCTCATAGACGATTCTCCTTTGTACTGTGTTTTTGTTCTGGTTCACATATCACCAATCTTGATCTCTTTTTTTTTTCTGTCTTGTCCTTTGTTACTTTCCATCCCAAGGAGTCTGTGGCATCCTGATCTTGAGGTCTCTCCAACCTCCGAGACTTTCGTGTTTCAACTTTTTTTTCTCATTTTTCTTGTTTCCTCATCTCGCCTCCCCCATTGAGCGCTCTGTTTTTTTTTCCTGGTGAATCCATCTCAGCGTCATCGAACCCCTACCCTTCCCCAGGCAGGCTCCTCCTCAACCCTTTTATCTTCCGTTCGACATTATCAAGCGGTCAGTACTACCTGTCTTGACTTTCTGTTTGTTTCGGGCGCGAGAATGATTTTCTGTATCCTTGACGGTTTACAACGGACAATGCCAAACACATTTCCTCTGAATTGACAATTTTATATGCGTATCATCCTGTAAGATCTGTTTTTATGTTACGAATTACCATGTGCAGCCTTGGAAGAGCAAACGTTTGCAAAACTCGATCCCTGACTTTCGGGACCATGAAGAAATGAATCTGACTTCCTTGGTTTTATCCATCTCAACTGCACTCCACTTCATGGACCCTGTCCCTAGTACATGTAATACAGTAGTTACCACATCGCCCTGTTTGTGTGATGCATTATTTCAAGGAAGCCAGGATCTGTGAATGGGACCGTATCATTGCTCTATTCATTCATCTCAGACATCTCGCCTGGATTGATGATATGGTCAGGAATTACAACACTAACGTAAGGAGATAGGAGAACAACATTGGGGGAAAAAGCAACAAAGAAAAAAAGTCGGACACACGTTAAGACGCCGCTCGCAATTCAGAAGTGGCCGACTCTGGCAATCGGAAATAACAAAATCATCTTCTATCAATGCTTTGCCCGAGCACATACGAATACAACCTGACCATTTTACTCCTCGGCCTCAGCCTCAGTCTCTTCTTCAGCATCTTCTTCGGCCTCCTCTTCGGCCTCCTCTTCGGCTTCTGGTTCGACTTCGGCTTCAGCTTCCACCTCAGGACCACCGTTTGTTGCACTTGCAGGCTCGTTATCATCGTCCGCATGTACGTCAATCAGGGATTCGGACGACGGGGGCTCGGGAACGCCCTCATTCTCGAGTCTAATGTACTCATCCCACTCTGGGAAAAGGTCATCGTCTGTCGAGACAACATTGGGAGCACCCGGTGGAACTCCAATCAGACGAGCAACCTTAGATTTGCCCGAGGTGTCGAGGGATTCCTTCCACTGTACAACAAGGGCAGGTGCACGGCTAGGCTTGTAAGTCTGGGCAAAGAAGACGGCCTCGGCAATACGGTTTGTCTGGACCAGCAGTTCTATGCCACCATCAATATCACCAAGTGACCAGAGAGCAGAGAAGGCAACATTGTGTAATCCTGACTCGGAAGCCTGAGCAACTAAGGCACGGAGGCCTGCCCGGTTATTGCTAGCGGTGTGTAGCAATAGAAGAGATCCCAAATCTTTCGAGTTGACAAAACACTCCTCGGCAAGTGCAAGGTTCCAAGATTCCATAGATTTATCGCCAAGGAGCTTCCACCGGTGGCTGTTCTCAACCTTTGCATCGCGAGTAATCTGGAGGGCGGTTTCAAGATCATTCAGTGAGAGGGCCAAGTCGAAGCGGTGCTCGGGGTCTGTGGCGACTTCAAGGGCCATCTCCTTATACCCTTGGCCTTCGAGGAAGCGCGCAACCTTGTTCATTTGATCCTGAGGCACATCTTCAAGGAGTTCGGCAGCTGTTTCCATATCACCGCGCAGAACGACGGTCTGGTAGCTGACCATGCTGAGTGAGAGGCCAAATGAGACGACATTAACGTCCTTATCGCATAGGTAGATTCGTCCATCACGAGGCAAATATCCAAGAACATAGGCCGGTTGATCCATGTGGCTGATCGAAATGACCTGATCACCCACAAGGTAGTTCAACCGGTTGGTGGAGCTGGAAAATATGAGAACGTCTCCCACCCAGCAGGCACTTGTTATCGTTTCATTAATAGATGCGACGAGCTCAACAGCTGCCTCCACACCATCTTCGTCGGCTTCTCCGTTGTTGACGCCTTCGATGAACGCCTCCTTGGAGTATCTCAAAACGTAGAAAGAGTCTTCACATGCGAGTGTAACAAGTTCGCCAGACTCGGACCAATAGACCTGTGTAGTATGGTGTTAGTTCATTGCATCTTTTGAAGCTTCATTGGATCTCGAGCTCACATTCTTAGGGTCAACTTCAATTCGTCGGACCAAGCTACCGGATTCCCAATCGAAAAGACCAATGCCACCCTGACCCTTGACACCCAACAACACACCATCAGTCAGTCCCTCAGCTTGGAAGCCAACATCAAGGCCACCGCTTTGTTCCTTGAAGTTCTTGAAGATCTTGACACTTGTTGCGGATTCACGAATAGCGTAATCGTTACTGTTATCTTTGGAGCCCCAGGCGAAATCCAAAGCTTGGCCAAAGGCCTTATTGCGCCACGCTAGCGCTGTGTAAATTATGTATTCGCCATCGCCACAAACGGAGACAAAACGTCCATTTGGAGAATGGGTCAAGGTTTGCGGGTATATCTCGCAGGTCCCCAGATCCTTTGCCGGCAATGAAAGGGGCTCACCATCCTTCAGGCTCGCTTCGCTGCCCTTGATGACCGATGAGACCACCTCACTGTGTCTGGCCCAGATGAGCTTGCCAGATCCATCCATTGAAACTGCGGGCTCTTCGCGACCCATCTTCACAACCACCGCACCATCGTCGAAACCCATTGCGACGCCCTGTCGGCCTCTCTGGTAGGCGACACACCATGCGCGCTCTAAGCCATAGCTTAGTGACTGTTCCAGGCGGTAGGTGTTTGCATGCCAGATTTTAATGGTTCCATCTTCTGAGCCTGAAATAATGACCGGTAACTCAGGGTGGTAGCACGCGAAGGAGACATTGCTAGTGTGGCCCTCCAGTGTTGCAACAAGCGCTTTTGTAGTATAATCCCAGACTTTGATCGTCTTGTCGTCACTGGTCGTCAAAAGATAGGGCTTGTCGGCTCCAGGGTAATAGTCAACATGGTTGACACCCTTTGTTTCGTGGGCCTCGAGAGTCGAGTTTGCGTGGGGAGAACCAAGACTCCAAATCTTGACAGTCCGATCGAGACAAGAACTTGCGAAGGTACTGTTTTGCGTTTAGTATATGAAGAGCGCTGGATATAGATGGGCATCATGCTTACTTGGTGTCTTTGGGATTAATCGCCATTCCCATCACATAGTGGCTATGGCCCTCGAAGACCTGAACGCATTTCCAGCCCTTCTCCCAGTCCCACAGCTTGATGGTCATGTCATCACTGGCGGTGAGGATGTAAGGCAAAGTTGGGTGGACAACAATGGAACGGATATAATCCGGGTGTGCTTCAAAGGAGGTGATCTTCTCGGAGGTATTGTAGTTGTAGACACGAAGCTGGAAGTCATCCGAACCGCAAACGATCCAGTTCTTTCGCGCAATGAATCGCCCGGCACGGACGGGAACATCGGTGAGCTCGAAGGTTTTGATAATAGACTAAACCAAGGAGATAAAAGATTAGCTTGAATTGTTACAATCAACATCGGCCAGAACATACCTGTGTCTCATATGACCAGATGTAAACGTGACCTGGCGCAGAGAGCAGGTTAGTAGATGAAGGGATTCGCGGGCCACATTTCCCTGAACATACCGCTGTACAATGTGGTGAGAATCTAATGATATGTCAGTATGGATCAAGACTTCCGGTGATCATGAATCAGACTTACCCATGGCTCAGTGGGGTGGAAGTCGATACCCTTCACCCGTTCGGAGCGGGCAAAGAGTTGCCTCTATATCAAAATGACCCCGTCAGCACACTTCCCAGTTCCAATGATCTCCATCACGGCCGCTCATATGTTTTCAATCATGGGCAGTCAATGCCAAATAGACTCTGCGTACCTTGATGTCGAGCCGCATGTTGTGTGGGGGGGTGAGCGGGTTGTTGTTTGTGTGATGCGACGATTGGGCGTAAAGGAGCGAGAAATCCACGAGCCGCTCAGACAGCCCGAGGAGATGAGTGACAAATAAAGCGCCCGGTCAGCAGGGAAATCCTTTGCAAGATAAACACAGAGCTTTTCCCAGGCTGGAAGAGAGCTTAGCTAGAGGGGACTCAGGGACAATCAATGTGTCCACAAGGGGATTCCCGTTCTCACCGCTTTCAACCTCATTCGAGATCTGGTGGACCCGCATATAAGTAGTGGAATTTACGGTATAGATGACCAGGTCAAAATGTGATATTAACAGAAAAAAAAAGAAAAGTTAAGGAAACTGGAAACACTTTCAAGATTACTACTAGTTGTCTAAACACTAGCCATTCCTACTTAGCTCTGTTCGCCTAGTACTAGGTATGTATAATCTTAGCTATGTACTAGTAGGTACATGTACCCTTCTTCCATTCGTTTGCCACACCTATTTCGCTCATACTATGTAGTATGTACACGCACTACAATAGGTGCTACGAATATCAATATGTACTACATACATTGATGTATATATGCCAACTGGCCTCTGCTGACCTATGGATATTGATAGTAGATATTATTGGCGTCAATTCCAAGACTGCATTGATCACAAAAAATAAAACGTGAAGGAAATTTATTCGAACATCCATCCTCTAATAGTTACAGAAACCGGCATCCCGAGCGCTTTTCCGGTATCTTCTTAGTTGCCGCGCTCAAAGTAGGTCCACTGACCAGGTGCGGGCTTCTCCTCAAGCTCCTCCCAGCTATAGAAACATGTTAGAAATCTGATGAACCTTCTGGGGGCGGCGAATGACTGGTTTTAAATGCTACTCACACCTTAGCCTTGTACAGCTCATCCACGAGTTTGGATTCAGACTCGGCAACCTGAATGATCTCCTCGATGAGACCTGCACCGATCTTTTGCTCAATCTCGGCAATCCTATGTCAATCATTAGCTTATGGTTTATTTGACACAAATTCCCGGGGATGAAATCGCATACTGGTCAGCCTCTAGGGCAGGCTCACTCTCCCACTTCATAGACACCTCGTGGAAGTCGGTCTCATTCTCAGCTGACTCGCTACCTTCCTCAATGATCTTAATCCACTCGGCTTCTTCTTCTGGGGTACGGGTAGGACCCTCGGTTGTGGCGGATAGACTTTCACCATCCCACTCCTTACCACGGGCCTCGTCGCTAAAGTCTCGCTCCTGCGAAGCTGCGTAGGCGAATGCGCCGTTCTTAAGCTGGAGCTGGGCGAAACGCTCAGGCTCGGCACCAATGGTCTTCTTTGCGCGTTCCAACCACGTGTCGAAACCGGGGGGCTTCTGTGATTCAACGATCTGAAGTCGGTGACGGGTCAATGCCTCGACAGACTGGCGATAGGCAGATGATTCGGGGAAGGACTGCAGCTTCTGGAGGGTGTTGGTGTAAAGAAAGATCAAAGTCGGCCGGGGGCTCGGGTGGGTGAAGAGGCCAGTCAATCCGGTTGGAGCAAAAGGCTCCAGGTACCGGGGCTTTACATTGGCCAACAGTCGAAGTGTAGACTTCATTGTGGTTGTGATATGAAAGGTAATAGAGGATTGCTGATTGCGGAGAGCCCAATTGGTCAGGGAGAGACAGCGGGCAAGTTCGACGGTCGGGCCCGGATTAACTTAAGCTCCGTAATATGAGGGAGAGGAAGCAGGGGCAACACCGTTTTGTTCACAGTATTCCTCACGCCCGCTCAAGTTGGGACTTCGCAGGGTGTGTTGTCTGATTTTGTTCTTTTTACGGCTCGGGGCTTGGTCAATCCTCCCTGCTGCTATCACAATTTCCCTTCGATATCTCGCGCTTATCCCTTCCGGTTGTCCAATGTGCCACCTGTGACATTTCGCAATTTCCCTCGTCAACCTCCGTCCTTCGTTTAAAGAGCCTCCAAGGCTACTTCTGTACTGATCCTTCAATTCCTTTATTCGAGGCCAATCTTCTTTATCACGACCCGCCATAATGAGAGCCTCCTGGCTGGGTTGGTCCCTTATCTCTCTATTGGCCGTCCCAACACTGTCCGCACCTTCGGACGGGGAATCGCCCAATAGCAACCGACTGGAGAAAAGAACCAGCAAAGGACTTGATCCTGAAGAACCCTCTGTGTTTAATGGACTTGATGTGCCCCCGTTGTTCCAACTGACCCAGGAGAATTTTGAAGAGACCACCAAAGATGGCATCTGGTTAGTAGTACTTTCCATCTCCTGCCAGTAAATCCCGGAGATTATCGATGATTCTGACAGTAGCAGGATGATCAAACACTACTCCCCAGCCTGCGCCCACTGCAGAAAGGCTGCGCCATACTACCAAACAACCTACGAATATTATTACGTGAGTGATCTCGCTCAAGGACCACACCACTTCCACGTACTAATAACACGCTCTAGACCTCGAACCCCATTACACCATCATCTGGAAAGACCCCGGACCCTAAATCTATCAACTCTTTTACTCAGTACTACAACTTCCATTTCGCATCCATGAACTGTCTCACCGACGGCGACCTTTGCGAGAAATTCGGCATCGGAGCATACCCAACCTTTGGTTTTTACGAGAATGGTGTGCAAAGGGACGTATATGTCGGCGCGAAGAAAATTGAGGATTTGAGCAAGCTCATTGAAGAAAGGCTCGAGGCGGCAAAGCCTGGATCTCGTCCTCCGCAGGGCATTAAATTACCGGAGGTTGGCGCATCCGGCGTGGACTCAACTGCGGAGCCCGATTCGCCGGTTTCAAAGGACAAGGATCCGGAGGCTGGAGTAAAGGCTGGTGAGAAGCAGAATGAACTAGCCTCTCAGGAAGTGTCCGCATCATCTGTTAATATCAAATCGGAGGACACCAATGTCGTCAAGACCAAGCCGAAAAGTGCACCTGCCAACCCCCAGGGTCTTTCTGTGCCCCTGACCGCCGAGAGCTTCCAAAAGCTCGTGACTACTACGCAGGACTCTTGGTTCATCAAATTCTATGCGCCCTGGTGCCCCCATTGTCAGGCTATGGCCCCCAACTGGCAGGAGATGGCAAAGGAAATGAAAGACACTCTGAATGTGGGTGAAGTGAACTGTGATGTTGAATCCCGTCTTTGTGAAGATGCACGAGTCAACGCCTTCCCAACTATCTACTTCTTCCGCGGTGGACAGCGAGTCGAGTACACTGGTCTCCGTGGCTTAGGCGACCTGCTCTCGTTCACGAACAAGGCTATCGGCCCTTACTCTGAGATTGAAGATGTGGATGCAGCCACCTTCAAGGAGCTGGAGGAGACCGAAGAGGTCCTGTTCTTGTACTTCTATGACCTCGCTACCACATCGGAGGACTTTGCAGCCATGGATCGTCTGACTCTTAGTCTTGTCGGTCACGCTCGTATTGTCAAGACCAGCAGCGCTGCTTTGGCGGAGCGATTCAAGATCTCCACCTGGCCCCGCCTCTTGGTGGTTCGCGATGGTCGTCCTAATTACTACAATGCTCTTGCACCCAAGGACATGAGAGACTTCCGGCAAGTCCTGTCCTGGATGCAGACTGTATGGCTGCCGATCGTTCCCGAACTTACAGCCTCCAATGCCCGAGAAATTATGGATGGCAAATTCGTGGTACTCGGTATTCTCAGCCGCCGCCGTTCTGACGATTTTAAGCAGTCCAGACGGGAGTTGAAGGAGGCCGCTTCCGAATGGATGGATAAGCAGATTCAATTGTTCCGACTAGAGCGATCCGAGCTTCGTGATGCCAAGCAATTGCGCATCGAAGAGGCGGATGACCGTAATGATCAGCGCGCCTTACGAGCCGCCAAGAATATGCGTATCACCATCCGTGAGGACGATAAGAAGCCCGTTCACTTTGCCTGGGTCGATGGCGATTTCTGGGAGCGCTGGCTCCGCACTACCTATGGTATCGACGTGGAGAACGGTGACCGTGTGATCATCAATGACGAAGATGTAAGCGCCCATATCGAACCCAATCTATGTAAAATTATTACTGACACATTATAGAACCGTCGTTACTGGGACACTGCTTCTAGTGGAGCCCCAATCATGGCCTCGCGTACTTCCATTCTTGAGACCATCCCCCTCGTCATTGCCTCGCCTCCCAAGCTGTCCCCCAAGTCCACCATTGGAACCCTGGAAACTTTCTTCTTCTATACACGATCTTTCCTGAGCAGCCATCCTATCCTCTTCTTCATCTTCCTCGGGTTGACTGTGGCTGTAGCCGCTTTCTTTGGCCGTGGACGCTTCCTGCGCCGCACTGGTCTCGGTCGTGGTGGCATTCTGGGCAATTCCAACGGTGGCACTAGTGGTGGCTTCTTCCACCTGGATGGGAAGGAGGGATTCTTGAACGGAGGTTCGACCGGAAAGGTCGACTAATGAGAAAATGTACAGTTCAGGTGTTTGGCTGCACGGTTTCTTATAATTTTTTTTGTTCCTTTTAGACTGTATTTGGTTTATTCCAGGTTGTCTTGCTATTGCACGGTCTCTTGGTCTAGGCATGTTTGGTTTGACCCTGGGGTATTGAAGCACATACGTTTTTATTTTTTATTTTTTACTGTTCCATCCTGTCTTCGTTTCAGCAATCAAGATCACACAAAATTCAAATCTTCAATGTCCAGTTTCAATGTAAAGTACTTTGCCTGTACTGCTATGTACTAGAGCACTTCCACAGTTCCCCGGGTATTGGAATCAATTGCAAGGCCCCTGATTGGTGGATGGGCTGTTAATCACGTGTTCCTTTCCGTACTGAGCGGTGATTGGCTCCGAACTCGGGCGCTCCCGGTTTTCGTCGAACAACTTGAAGTGCCAGCTCCTGTCCCTCCAGCAATTGTCCGACTACCTGCTCTCGCTGATCACAATGGTATGTTTTTCCACATGCAGACAACATTTAATTCAATCCTCACCCTCTACCATGGGCTTGGCTTCATTGAGTCACTTCAATCGGGGCTCTGATTGAACACATCGCGTCACCGACGACCTTCCGGGATAGATTCGCGGGACGTACGGATTCCTACTTTTGAGTCGATTGCTAATGCTGGTGTCTTTCTTCAATCTACAGGTTTTCACTCCTACCCTCCGCCGTGCCGCGGCCCAGGCCACCGGCTCTGCCTTTGCGCCCAAGTAAGAGACCCGAAACCAACCCTGAACCCTACCCTTTTTTGGTCATATTGAAACCCCGTCGACGATGCTCCCGAGCCAAACCAGTCGCCGGGTTCCAATTTATCAGTACCCTCGACAAGTTTTGAAATACAATACATTCTATGGTTTTCTACCTAGTGTGGTGGCATCATGGCGTAGCCTATATGGTGGACTGTGTGACAGATGCAAAACTTGGATAATCGTGATCGGAGGGTTACATACCCATGCTCAACGATCTACGGTGACTTGGGAAAATACGATGCTAATTTAATGCGTGCAGGATCACCATCACTCCTCGTCTTGCTGGCTTTGACATGAACGGTGCTATCCGGGCGTAAGTGAACGAACTACATTTATCAACCGCTCTGTGCTCATAATTGATTATAGTGGTACCCTTGCCGGCTCTTTCGGTGTCTTCGCCGGTACCGCCGCTCTCTTCATGTTTGGCGAGGTTCCTCGTGTGCGCCGCGATATTCTCCAACAGTTCCCCTTCCTGGACACCTACTTCGACCGCACCATTGCCCCCGAGGACAACGTAAGCATTTTGCTCTCTATGTTTTCCACCTTGCGTTATGTGATATGGATACTAACCACTGTGATGATAGCCCTTCTAAATTATTTCGCTTTGGTGGACCACTCTCGGGCGACAAGCCATTGGCCCGGTACTAGAGACCAGGGGAAGTTGTGTAGAATAGTGATCAATTGATGAAAGTCTTTTCTGTTTTGGATAGCACATAGAGGGCAGCCGTTCCCAAACCAAATGCATGGTTAATCTTCTTTGTGAATCTGATTTATCGTCAGGGATCTTAAATCATCCACTCAAGTGCTGTCAGGAATAGTACATATATTAGTACATACTACATAATCAATTGATAGATCCCGATATCCGGTACCTACTATCTACCAGTTGACATAGCAGGTACTACTATTAGTCAACTGGTACCTTAGATATACACATGCATCAATACATTCGACTGCATCTTAGTATGGTACATATACATGGACGTACCTAGGTCAACTGGTATTAGACAGGGCCATATCAGATCTTAGGACCCACGGATCTTCTTTTATTTTATTTCCGATATTCTAACCTTCAAATGTTCAAAGATATATATATACTATGTATCTAACATTGAATAAGAAAGAAAGCCACTTTCCTCCCATCTGGGCAGGTCCATCCATTATAGATAAGCGTTGATGCATATGTAAAGTCCAAAACGCCGGGGCTTATCTCTGACGCCCCTGATATCATTACATTTACTCCGTACCTAGCAGGTAAGAGATAAGACATCACTTTCGATTTTTTTCGATTTTTCGCCTCCCCTTGACGCCTGAAATTACCCTACTGGGCTTGGTAGTTGTCTTGCCAAGCTTACTGGGGTAGCACGGATCTCATTATTCGAATTACCAAAGGCTTTTTTGAGTTCCATGTCTACGAATCACGAGCCCCGCGGTGCGGAGAAGTCCTTACGCTTGGCCCGAATTTATGGAATCTGCTGTCGTTCCGAGGGAGCGCTTTGTTCAGGGATTGGTCTATCTTGCAATTTTTCATCTATTACGGCATATCTGATGTGATAGACCAATCGTTATCTTGTCGGTCATCTGGGGAGAGAGGAGAGAGAGAGAGAGAGAGAGTCATCTGGAGACTCAAGCCTTGACCAAAAACAGGCCCCTGTTCGTCCCACCCCCTCTTGGCTGCCCTTCTAGCGGCCTTCTTCGCTCAATTTGACATTGAGTCTGCATGGGTTGATTGGCTTGCTCATCTTTACCTGCTCTTGATAAACAAATCGTGGGGATAAGCAAAATTGCCGTCATCGATAGATTGCTATAGGCCCATAACCGATCGAGCCCCTAGCTTCGTAGCTTCCCACCTTGGAACTTTGACCGCTGCTGCTACTTTAAAATAGATAGCGGTCCCCTCGTGGTCATGTCGGTAGGTCCGATACAATAGGCCTATAATTGACTACTATAGATAGTACCCATTACCTTGCTGCTGGAGATTCTTTGGTGCGCTTTCTCCCCCAGAGTCTCCGCTTTCCCTGGCCCTTCCTTCTATCAATATCTAAATATCTGCCTCCGTGGGAGCATCTGGGACTTTTTATCCTCCACGATGGACTCGAAGTCGTCTAATTCGGGCACCTACAAGCCGCCCTCGGTATACAATGATGTTCAGCATGCCCCTGTGACATCTATCCTTGCAGATGGCGACGTTCCATATACGGACCATGAAATGGACTCGGACGAGCGGGTGATTATGGCCCTGGGTTATAAGCAGGAATTCAAGCGGGAGTTTTCTCTGTGGACGACTTTCTGTGTCAGTTTTGCGGTGCTCGGATTGCTTCCCTCCTTCGCAAGTACCTTGTACTATGGTCTGTTCCTATGTAACCGGGTCTGATGACCATGTTCTCCTCTCCAATCTCTCCACTAACGCCCGTGAACAGGTATGGGATATGCAGGAACGGCAGGAATGGTTTGGGGTTGGATCATCGCTATGATCTTTATCCAATGTATTGCTATGTCCATGGCAGAGCTGTGCTCGGCCATGCCTACCAGGTATGGCTTTCTCGCTTGTCTTGATCCACCTCTTGAGTCGGAAATTAACTTGACGTTCGCACTTACAGTGGCGGACTCTACTATGCTGCTGCTGTTCTCGCACCTCCCGGCTGGGGTCCCTTGGCTGCATGGATCACTGGCTGGTCAAACTGGATTGGACAAATTACCGCAGCACCATCGGTCGACTATGCGTTGTCCGCAATGATTCTGGCGGCTGGGTCAATCACTAACCCAGGCTACGTCCCGACAAATTGGCAAATCTACCTTCTGACAGTTCTGATCATGATAATCCACACCGTGATCAGCAGTCTGCCCACAAAGCAAGTAGCCCAATTTAACTCCTGGGGCTCAACATTCAACGTTATTGCGCTCATCGCGACGCTCATCATCATTCCAGCAGCGACAAAGAACACCCCTAAATTTACGCCCTCCCACGAAGTCTGGAGTCATATCAAAAACCAGACCGATTTTCCGGACGGCGTCGCCGTTCTCATGACTTTCGTCGGGGTAATTTGGACCATGTCCGGCTATGATTCGCCTTTTCATCTGAGCGAAGAATGTTCCAACGCCAATGTCGCCTCACCACGCGCCATAGTCATGACATCTGGCGTCGGTGGCGTAATGGGTTGGTTCCTACAGTTAGTGGTTGCATACACAGTGACGGACATTGATGCAGTCATCAGCTCTGATTTGGGCCAGCCTTGGGCTTCATATCTACTCCAAGTTCTACCCCAACAGGCCGCATTGGGGATCCTCGCTCTGACGGTGATTTGTGGGTTCTCCATGGGCCAGGGATGCATGGTTGCCGCTTCACGGGTGACATATGCTTACGCGCGAGATGACTGCTTCCCTTTATCGAACTATTGGAAAAAGGTGAACAAAACCACTCAGACGCCAGTCAATGCCGTGATCCTCAACACCTTCCTGGGCTGTCTCATGTGTCTCTTGGTTCTTGCTGGCAGCACCGCCATTGGTGCACTGTTCTCCATTGGCGCCATTGCCCAGTTTGTGGCTTTCATCATCCCCATCTTCATCCGCGTGTTTTTCGTTGGAAACCGATTCCGCAAGGGACCATGGAATCTAGGCCGCTGGGGACCTCTGATCGGTGGCATTGGAGTTTCTTTTGTTGCACTCATGGTGCCTATTCTGTGCTTGCCCAGCGTTACAAAGGGAGATCTTACTCTGGAGCTTATGAACTGGACCTGCCTTGTTTACGGTGGGCCGATGCTGATCGTTTTGATTTGGTGGTTTGTTGATGCCCATCGCTGGTTTACCGGTCCCAAGGTCAATGTCGAGCATGCCATTCATGCTGTGCATGACGAGCCTGAGATCAGTGAAGGTATAGAGCCGGAACATGAACAAGGGGAAACCGAAACGACGAAGACGGTCAAGTATGATGAAGCTCGGTCCAAGTAGTAGGCATTTGGTATATTCGAACTGTCACTTCTTCTTTGTCTTTTATGCAGTACTTGCTGTTATTGAGAATAATTCCATGTATTCCAACGAAGAAGCCTCTTTTGAATGTTTGACATTTCAAATGCTTCTCCATATATACCCACTTTAGTATCTAGATCTTGCTCCAGTGCCCCATCGGAGCTCATTTTTGGGGTTCCGGTGCGATGGGCTCCCGGAGTGGGCTCTCCAGTTACTCCACCAGCCCCAGATGTTTGACTTCTTTATCCGTTACAATCTACCCGGGTATGTTTCACATGTTGCCAACTTTGGAATTGTATTAGAGGATTTCAATGAGGTCTCGGTTGCTATCAGACTATTTTCTGTCAGTAAATAGGTATGTAAAAATGATATCTGGAATTAACCTTGGTTCAGATACGTATTTATTGAAGAATGCTCCAAACATTGCATGTGAAGTTGTGCTTCCACGTGCAAATGAACTTCCAAGGTTGGGGGTTGTATGTACCTACATATTGATTGGAAACAACACTAACATTTAAACATCAATTGATTTGGACACCTCTTACATATCCATAGATGCGCACCTGCAGCGCTCAGATCTCCAAGTCCCACGCTAATGTACTGGTAAGTAGTGCCAGAAATCAAAATTGGCCGAAATGTCAAAATCAACGAAACAAACGACAGCTGGGAGCCCACTCAATGCAAGTGCTTAAAAAGTGGGTGACATACATACTGACACTCCAAAGTAGGTATCGGGTACAGGGAGCCTCCTAATGAGGCTCGTTCTATATGGGTTTGGAAAATAAAAAAAGGGCCAATTAAGTGGTCGGGCACAGTGAAGGGTCAAGGAAGACACCTCACCTATCAAAAAAAGTAGTACGTGTCTTGATGAGATCTAGTCAAATATTGACCTATTTTCTCCTCCTCCAAGTACCCTGTACTCGGTCCCGTACCTCGAACGCTGGGATCCCCGGGGAGAATCCTACGAATAGATCCACTGGGCCCCCCTGGACAAGACCCCACCGCCGCGGTGGGCACTGGACATGGATGTTCACGGAGAAATAAGTCGATGGAACACGCAGATATGCTTAATCTGACTCCAGATGGGGGCATCCACAACCCCTCCTTTCTTTTTTTTTCTTTTTTTCCCTTTTTTCTTTTTGTTTTCCCACGAGATACGTGACACGAGAGGGATCCACAGTTAGATGAACTCTATCTTCCAATAACGCCTTTCATTTTAACTAATCTGTGGTACTATGGTTTATTAGGTTGGGAGTTATACATATGTACACCGTAAGTTCAATGTTGTCGACATAAGCCATCATGACAGAGAGGTAAGGCGGCCAGGAAAAACAAGAACCAAAAAAAATAAACCGAGAACTTCCGTAGCGGCTAATTGATATATATATCAATGATATATTACGAATATATATATAATAAATATATTCAATGTTGGTTAAAAACAACATTGAAAGTCTTGGTCCTAATTTCCTCTCAATTGGAAAGAACCGGTGAGATAATACTAATCTAGGAATTTTGGGTACGAACACCTTGGGTCGAATTATTCGTAAAGTTTCAAAACGAAAGTGAAGGATTTTCCACACGGCTCATATTGCGCGCAGTACCCGATCGACAGTGTCAGGGCGTCTGCGACTGGCGTGTCTTGCCGACGATGATGTATGCGGTTCCTGGACCCAGCCTTCGGATCCTTGCCACAGCTTCTGTGGAGTCGTTGTTCCTGAATCGGGAGACCCATTTCCCGAGGAATTCCACATTACTCGAGAGTTACCGTTAAAATACCTGGAGATTATCGCAGTAAGCGAGCCACGAGAGCCAAAATTAAAACAAAAATAAGAAATCAAATTACAATAAATCAAAAGAGAAAGAGAAAAGGACAAAAAAAAAAAGCAAAAAGAAATAAGAAATAAGAAATAAGAGATACTTGAATTTGAATTTCATTTTGTAACTGATTTCTTTTTTCCCCTCTCGTACTGGCACCGTAATTCGGGGAAATCTCCATTTTGCCGTTTTTCCCAGGTCCGCCACTCAACAAAAAATTAGCAAATCAATATTTACCTCCAAGATATAAGCCAATCATGAACAGACAGAAAAGACAGAAAAGACTGAAAAGACATGAGAGATTCGACATTCAAGAGCCATTTGCGTCGGGTGAAATCTTGGACAGAATCCAACAGTTTGAAGAATTTTCTCTGGATTCCCCTTGACATTCCTCGTACGCAAACAGCATATAAGAACAATATAAATTACACATGCGTCCATGGCTCCCTCCAAATCGAACCCATTTTCAATTTTCAATTTTCAATTTTTTTTTATTAATTTGCCTTTGCAAAAATCAGATCATGGTACAAGCAATCATGATGAGTTTTTTTTTTTTTTTCTTCAAACATAGTAATACAACCTCAGTCGTTAGCCTTTTGGTTCCATTGAAAGCCTATCCGAAACGAAATCCCATGACGCGGCAGACAAGGGGGAAAGGAATTACAATATTACGAAAACATTAGAATTGCCTTCTTTTGGGATATGTCTTTTTTTCAAATGTTTTTTTTTTTCTGTTCTATTATTTCCTAGTATCCAACCTTTTCAATGTGATTTTTTACCTTTATAGAAATCCCAAGTCCACGGTACAACAAGAATGGTTGGAAAATGTACTTCCGCGGCGTTCCCTAACCCCCCGATAGTGCAGATGCTATAATCGATCCACCTTGTAAGCTCAGATAGAAACAAAACTTGGGGACAAGTTTAGTACTGGGATACATGATACAGGTTTTGTATGTATGGATTTTAGAAAAGGAATCCAAAGAGAAATATCAATCTGTAAATGAAGATCAAAAACCTCGTGAGCCTATGAGGTGGGTGGCGTCCACGATCCTCTCAACCACTGGAGGCGGTGTGCGCATGTGATTGGTGTTCAACTTTTCGATCCTGAAACTCGACTTGGCTTTTTCGGGAAATATTTGGAAATATTTGGAAATATTTTCAGCTTTCCGGTCTCTGCCGGTAATGTCCCAAACATTCAATGTTGGGAAAAATCACTACCAAGAAATCCGATGACTTTTTTTTGGCTTGCTCATCGGTTTAGGGTGTCTCCAAGGTTGGAAACATTAGTACCTGAATATCATCTCTACCAGGTATATCGACGTATACAGCTCGAGTACTATGTAGAATCAAAACTTATACAGAGTTCAAATGTTGATATCTTAGCTCTGGAAAATATCTAGCCAAGTACGTATTCAATGTTTACCTGCCAAATACCCAATCCATACATTCAACGTTGAATCTTGAATTCATCCGTACTTGACGAACATCTAGTTGACTCAAGTGCTCCGTACACTCCATAAATATTTGACTTAAAAAACTCGGCAATGGATGCGGGCCGACCGTTCTGTCCTCGTGAGGTCTTAACCAGTTCGGCCGAGATGGAGACGGAGAAGACGGGGATCATTACGAGCTTAAAGCCGCACCAACTATTATACTATTTTCAATGTTACAAAGCCCCATCCTTGACTAGAGAAACTGATCAATTGATCAATTGAGACCCCCATTTAGTCGCATGTACCGAAATACACACAAATGTACACGCCCCCTGGAGAGATGGTGATTTCCCAGGTGTTTATATACATACCTACTAGTAGGTATTGGTCGGCATATGGGGATTAGCGAGGATTACCGCGCGAAAAAAGGAACGTTGAACAAAAAGAAAAATTTAAAAATACAAATAACGCCCATTTGAAGATTGAAAATTACCATGACGATCACCAAGTGGATTGGGATCTCTGCGCTACTCTGTTAGTGCTGGATAATGGGACCTCGAAGCGGAGTTTGATTTCTGCAGTGAGTCCAAAAAGGTAAAAAATATTTGCTGGCCAAAGGACAAGACGGAAAACCGTCTCACCGTACATCTGAAAAGATCAGCCACAGTTGTCTAATCCCCTCAATCTACCTTAGTTTGTAGTAGTTTAGAAAAATCCAAAATCCAAAAACCAAAATCTCCAAAAAAAAAAACATGGGATTGTTCTTAGTGTACTTAGTCGAGCCCGTCTCGGGGAGCCCCTGGGATGTGGATCCTCGCCAATTCCCGGCTATGCTGCCGAGTCTCCATTGTCATGGCTTTGTATGGTATATACCAATTTACCGAGTCATGTATTTTATCATACTTTCAATGTTTGGGTAATGAATGATTGATACATGATCAAGTTCAAATTCAAACATGAACGACTTCCAGCTTACCTGCCAGATCCAACACATCGTGCAGTAGGTCAAGCCACCAAGCTTCCCCTAGTACGAAAAAGAAAGGGAAAAAAAAAGACAACAATCTCAACATCCCGGAAACTGCCATCCGGAGCGGCGCAACATACCGAGATCAAACGAGAAGGTTAGGCGAGGGTAATCATTTTGGTCTGTTTGGCCTGCCTTTTCGGTCACTAGCTTGGTAAATTAAATTTAGTTCAACTTTTACCTCTCTCTCGCACGGATCAGGACTTTCGCCAAGGATCTGATAGTTTCATGGCAAAGTCACGAGGGGACTGGATGGTCAGATCCGATCATTGGTTTTCTGCAGAACCCTGGTCGAAGCCTTTTCACAGGTCCACAATCGAAGCGGGAGAAGCTCTTGCGAATTTCTGCTGGTGGAGAACAGAGGGGCCAGGGTCGTACAAGAGCCATGTACTTTGTTTTTCTTCTTCCTGGGAACATAATCTGATCAACGGAATTTTGATTTGATCTGTAATTCCTCAAGATTGAAGGTCCTCCCCCCCCCCCCCCCCCCAAAAAAAAGAAAGACAGAAGGAGACACTTTTTTTGGGGGGGGGGGGGGGGATTTCGGATCAAACTGGGATGCAATAGGAGAACTCGGCTGAGACATGGAACCATTCCCCCTCTCCTATTTCCCCCCTGGACAGTAGCATTGCTGAGCAATTAGGTAATAATGGCGCGTCGAGATCGGGCGAAAGTACGGCGAAAGTACTGCGAAAGCCGGAGCTTAG